AAAGAAAATTAAATTAAAACTATTTTTATATTATAAACGTTATATAATATAAAATAAATATAATAATGCTAATTAAATATTTATATTTTATTTATAATAGGTTATAAGCATAAAATATTAAAAGTTTTAATTTTAAATTCAAGGAAATATGCTTATTTTTATAAATACTTATAATATAAGTTTAAAACTTAAATATATTATAATTAAAACTTAAAAATATATATATAATGATTTTAATCTTTAATAAATATTAATATTATATTTTTTATAAATTTTTAAAATACGTTTTATTTTAAAGTTTTAAAATAAATTAAAAAATTATAAAACGTATTATTTTAAAGCTAAAATTAAATTTAATACTTTTATTATACGTATAATTAAGTATAATTAAAGTTATTTTATTAATATAAATTTTATTTATTTATTTATTAAATTTATAAAATAAAATTTGTATTTTTTTAAAAAGTATATATTAAAATAAGTTATTATAGCTTAACTAAAAATAATAATATTAAAATAATTATAATATTTATTAAGTTATTTATAAAAGATATTAAAATAAGTTTCTCCTTATTTTTACCATTTTTTGTTAATTAATTATAAAAGATTGAAAAATCACTGTTTTGCGGGGAATCCTGTTGCAAAAGGGGGTGCGTTGCATAAGTGGGTTCGACTGGTTAGTATGCTTTCAAGTTTCTCCCATGAGATCGGACAACTGATGATTGTCCGCCCACAGCGAGAAGCCGCAGAATGGATCGCAACAACTTGTGTCTATTCGCACTATCGGCGCTTCCATCCTCCGCTACTCCACCCAGAATGTACACTGAGCCACAGGTCAACTGCTTCGACCTGTATAATGCTGAGTAGTGGATCGTATGCTGTTGGCCTTGCCATGGATCTGGATTCGCAAAACCTCGCCGGCCGAACACCGAGTATAGCTATTCAGTATCGAGTGAATGACAGATGAACTTACTCACAGTGGAGCATCTTGATTGCATGGATACACTGTATTTCCACAGCCTCTGGTCTGTAACATGTCCTCCTGATACTCCGGACACGATGGTGTCGACCAGTATAAGTGAGATGGCCAGCACCCGAGTTTTCATTCTCAGCATAACAAATTATATCACATCCGCAACTTGATCGACTCTTACATTATGGCATCACCATCCGAAACCAATCTTCCCATTCTTGTGGTTGGAGCAGGTATTGCTGGCCTTGCCTTTTCTATTGAGGCTCATTTACGTGGTCACCGTGTTCACGTCTTTGAGAAGCGCGAAGAGCCTGGCGACTATGGCAAGTCCTCTGACTAGGCAAATCTTTCAACACAAAGACTAACGATTGGTACAGGCGAAATATTCTTCATTCAATCGCCAGGGTTGCATACTCCATCCAAGTGGCCCGGATTCATGGACCGGCTTAAAAGTGTAGCCATCTCTACCGAGTTCCAATTTTTCAAACACGATGGTCACAAGCTCTTTGGGGCCAATCTCGGCTCCCCTAACCTTCCCACGATTTCAGTCAGTCGCCGAGAGTTTTACGAATTGCTGCTCAACTATGCACGAGAAAATGGCATTCGTATCGAAACCGGCCAGACCGTGGAGGATTTCTTCGAGACCCCAGAACACGGCGGTATCCATCTTGCGGATGGACGCAGTGTAACGGCCGACGTGGTCGTTGCGGCAGACGGTGTCGGGTCCAAATCGTTGCGTCTGATCCGTGGCCAACACGAGACGCCCATTAGCTCTGGCTTTGCTCTGTATCGAACTAGCTACCCGACTGAGGTCGCGCTCAGCAACCCCCGTATCGCGAGCTTTTTTGGCGACAAGCGAGAGTGGACTTCTTTGCACATCGGCCCTGGAGCTCATTTCTTCATGGGTATGTCGCCTACCGAGTTCAGCTGGGGCCTCACCCACAAGGACGACGGAACCTCTGTTGAAAGTTGGACACGTGTCGTTGATGCGAGCGGCGCTCTCAGATATGTCGAGGGCTGGGATGCTATTGTTCATGACGTGATCAAGTCCACACCTGGCAATCAGGCGACGGACTGGAAGCTGCGTTTTCGCGACCCTCATCCCAAGTGGGTGTCCGACGGGGGCCGAGTTGTGCAATGCGGAGACTCTGCCCATGCATTTGTGCCTTCGTCTGGATACGGCGCCACCATGGCCCTTGAGGACGCGTTTTCACTGGTAGCTTGTCTCACTAAAGGTGGTGTTGAGGGCGTTGCAACTGCTACAAAGGTTCATAATCATCTTCGGTAAGCTGCAAATCCCAGTTATTACTCGCCTTTGTGTATATGGATATGGTACTGACAGCAAACAGCTTTGAAAGAACTGCGAATGCACAGAAGGTTGGCTACAAGTCGCGGGAGGCATTTCATCACACCAATTGGGACGAGGTTGCCAATAACCCGCGCAGCATTGCCAAATTCACTGGCAAGTGGCTCAACGTTCATGATCCCGAGCGATACGCCTACGACAATTATGATGCCTGCGCTGCTCATTTATTGAACCAAAAGCCTTTCCAAAACATGAATACTGTGCCCAATCACGATTTCAAGCTTTGGACTGTCCAGGAGCTGCTAGACAAGTCGGAACGGGGAGAATCAATCGAGGATGATGGAGATTGGTACAATTAGAACACAGATATGAACCAAGATGTCGCTGCGGCAGAAAATGGGATATATTTTGTAGCTAGAATAGATATTTTCATTGTGTTATAGATGGATTAAGACTTTAGATAGATCAAGGTGCATTTGTGTCGATGAGAGATCGGTGCTGTACTTGTCATTCCGTGATCTATAACGGCCTCATTACAATTTCAATGTCATCCATACTAGGATCGATTTCGCAACCAAGGGATCTTCTTCAATCGACTTTTAATACAGATGCGCCAATGTGAGGGAAGATTCATCACAAGTATTACGTTGCATGCCTCTCAGCATTTGACTACTGTGCCCCAATCTATGAATTCATCGATCAGAAAATACTTGGTGATAGACCCAGAAATCTAGAGAAGAGCGAGTTGTTCTATAAGCTATGACCAAAGTTTTTCGACTATCCAACCGTTGAGTGCGAACAGGTGTTGATGCGCTATTGAAATGGAATTTGGTCATCTGTAAATACAGGCGAAGGACGGCCAGAAGATTGACTGTTTGCTACTACTGTAACTCAATGTGCTTTTTCAGAGTGTCGATAGCGTGTTCCCATGCATCGTGCTTGATGCAGAATAACACAAATTTCATCGATTCCTCGTCTATGATCATTAGAATTGTGATCACATGTCAACTGGCTGGCAGAAAACTTACAGCTCGGTCGAGGCAGACTGGGATCATCCGAGGATCTTCCATTCCACCGTGTAAAGCTCTGAATGCGCTCTACTCTCTCACGACGACATTCCTCCCAGAGCTCTAGGCGAGAGGATACCTGAGCGCGGGTTGTACCATGGGGAAACAATGCGGCAAGCGCAGCGCCATCTTCTATGGCCATGGCGCCACCCTGGCCCATGACTTTGGACATCGCCTGAGTCAGCATATTTTCTTCATCTACCACAATATCGCCCACTTTTAGTTCACGACTCACACGGTAGGAATGGATGCGCTGCGTCTCCAATCAGTACCAAAGCGCCTTTATGCCAAGTCGGCAGTGAAGCCATATCCATGAGATCCCACTCCTTCAGGTCACCTTCTGGTACACTCTGAAGAATTTGCTGTACTTCATCACCGAAATCGTGATACAATTGCAACAAGTGAGCTTTAGAGCCTGGGTTATTCCAACCGACGGCTAGAAAGGACAAAAATGTCAGCTCACGCCTGTTTGCGAGGCAGCGGGTGGTATCTCACCTGACGTGCGATCTTGCTCTTGTTTGTCTGCTGGAACAAAGGCACCAAAATTGGAAATGGTGTGATCTGCACAAGCATAGTAGAGAACGCGGCGTTGCCCTGCGTTCCATTCCACCATTTTCCCCTTCACTTTGCTAAGCTCCAAGGTTGCTTCATGGTTCTTGAGGTCCTCGTTGGGCGCCAGCCATCGGTAGCAGCTGTAGCCAAATGAGAATGGCTTGATGGCTGCGTTGATATAGTTACGTGTCCATGACTTTGAATGTAGACTCTAGTTAGCTATCCGGTCAGCTGGTTTGTTAGAATTGGTTGTACTCACGTGCACTCCGTCGGCGCCAATGATCATGTCTCCGGAAAAGGAGCGACCATCATCGAGGACCAAAGTAGCCTTTTCCGTGTCCAGAGCGACAATGCGGCAAGATAGGTGAAGCTGCACTTGGATACCGGGTGCATCGCTCGAAAGTACACGATCTTTCAAGGCTTGATGAAGATGAGCACGATGGATCAAGAAGTACTCCTACAACAGCATCAACATATGGAGTTGGCGGCATTAGAAGATCACGAATACTTGCCTGTGCACTGTCCTTGTCTCCGTCTGCGCCCAGGTCAGTTAGTCCTTGAATTTGACCGTCAGGGCTTCGCATTTCAAACTAATCAGGTCCAGCAAAGTTAGAAAGTGTTTCCATCAAAGCTATTTCAAGGCACCTTCATACGCCAACAAGTGGGGTTCCCCCATGTTCCTCGGGAAACACTCCGAGTCTCCGGAGAACACGACTGCAGTTAGATGCCGAATGAATCGCCGCGCCAATCTCTGCAGCAAACTTTGATTTTTCAATCATCTATTCCCGTTAGTAAACTTTAAATGTTTATCAGTAGCCTGTCGCGTACTGTGACCTTGTGTCCCTGTTGGCGCAGTCCTAGAGCTGCAGACAAGCCCCCAATCCCAGCGCCAACGATCAGAATGTGCAGCGGTGCGGCGCCATCTTTTGGGGCTTCCATGTTCCTGGGGACCGAATGTCACAGAGAAGGCTCAGAATGTGCATGGAAAGAAAGAAACCGGATTTTTCGACTAAACGTGTATCGTCGAATGTGTCTATAAGCTGTGCCAGAGTACGAACTAAATAAAAGGATAGCGATGGTTATAGTCTTGTATGTAGCGACTGGCGGAGAACCCTGTTCGTGTCTAACTTGAGGTGAAATTGCGCACGGAAACTCGCGTCGCCGTGGAGGAGCCCGGACAACTTGATTGTCCGTTTGTGTTCCGGACTATCGGGCATTGTGAATACCGTGACTTGGACCCCATAAATAGCGAATGTGGATCAAATTGTAGCTTTCTTCATTGCCTTGTCTTATTTAGAAAAGTACCGACGATGCCACATAATTATGGTAACACTTGAACCACGATTGGCCAACTATAAGTCTAAGGCCAAGGGTACTTGCTATCATTGGTCCGGTGGAATATATTGACATGAACATATGTCAGTTCTGGCAACCTTTTGTTGTGAACCAATTATCTTCAGTTAAAACCTTTTACTACAAAAATACTTCTTTAAGATTTGGAGTTGTGAGCTAATTGAATTTCGATTTCATTTTGTCAATTCTTCTCGGAGCAAATGCTGGTGAATGTGGCTGTTATGTCTAGGTAGGCGGGCAACGGGCTGTCTTCGGTAGCACGTCGAATTGGGGACGGCTTGCTTCTGCTCCGGGAAGCGACCGAACTGCACTTTGTGCGAACAATTCCACTATATTATGCATTATGAAATCATTGCTTATGAGAAGAAACCATTGTTGCAATCTCAACTTAGACACTGTAGCTAATGGTGGTCAAGGCGTGTCGCTAATTTCGGTAGTGTAACGTACTCTGTAAACTCTCCGCTGATTCAGCACTTTCTGTGGATTCGCGGACGCCCTGCCGACTGGTCTGCATTGCATGACTTTTAATGACCCTTTTACCATCGAGTTGTGATTTGTAATAGTGTGACCTGAGAGCCCTTTCCGCGCAAGGAACTTTACCAATGCCCTTCCAGTGATGACGATTGGATAGCATTGCTGTCGATCAATGGACGCTGCCCCTCCTTTCGGCAGTTGCAGGATTCGCGCTTCAGGTTGCGGGTTTCTTGTACTACTACACAGAAAAGAGCCGCTTAGCTAATGCATGGGTCTATGTAGACATATATTATTCAATGCTGACTGCAAAAATGCATCTCCCAGAAAGTAATTTTCTGCAATAATTAATTTACCACAAAGACTTGACGTTCCTTGACACTTTATAGATGCGAACTCCTTAGGGCGGCTGTCAATATGTCTCAGATTCCAGCTCTCGAGACATTATCGTTTGACTCGAATAAGCCGGAACACCGGCTTGCATTTGCCGTTGGTACAGCCTTACTAGCATATGGCATTTATACAATCGTCGCTGCTCTCACATCTCCCCTTCGAGCTATACCCGGCCCGTTTTGGGCACGATTTACTCGTCTCTGGTATCTCAAAGAAGTCTGGACACACAAGGCCCATCGCACGAATCTCGAGTTACATAAAAATCATGGTATGAAAAAAGAGACACTCCCCTTGTTGATATACATGGCTGATTTCAAAGGCATACAGGCCCTATCGTCCGTATCGCACCAAATGAGTATTCATTGGACGATCCTGCAGCTTGCAAAATACTGTATGGCCATGGCACGGATTTCCAAAAAGGTCCCTGGTATCAAGGTTCTGCCAATGGTGCCGGCGACTACAAGGAGAATACATTCTCAGAGAGAGATCCGAAGAAGCATGCAGCCATGAGACGAAAGGGTGCATCATTATACACCATGTCTTCACTTCTGAAAATGGAACCGGCAGTTGATGAGTGTATTCACTTTGTTCAAAAACATTTCGGTTCGATTTCACAGTAAGAACAACGATTCTCGGGACTTGCAATCCTCCTGGGCATTTCTGCTTTCTTTTCTCTGTTCCGTTGCTTACTAGATTGTAGGAACAGACAGGCAGTCAACCTGCAGTGGTGGATGCAGTGTTACGCTTTTGATGTCATTGGAAATATCACGGTACGGAACTGTCCGTACATTAAAAAATCTTGTGAGAACTTTTGAACATCGAATGGCTGATCATTATAATGTCAAGGTTGATAAAAGATTCGGGTTTCTCGACAATGGGACGGATCCATTTGGTCTCATCAAGAGTTTACACCACTTCCTCGCATACTCGGCTCGTATCGGCGTCATACCCGAACTACATGATATGTGCTTGAAGATTATGCAGCTTGGACCAACAAATGGATTTGCTGCCGTTGCTGCATTCACGGTGAAACAAGTTAAAGACTACCTGGCGAGATCCGAAGTCGAGGGTGACTTGATGGACACTGGAACTTTTATGGCCAGATTGATGAAACTCCACCAAGAGAAACCGGATGTGATGAGCGAAACAGACGCCTTGAACGTTTGCCTAGGCAATGTCGCCGCTGGTAGTGATACCACGAGTATGTTTTGGGGCCTCATGCGTAATCCGGAAGCTTATGCCAAAGTGAGACCCACGCCTTCACAGTCCGAATAATCTTGATTAACCACTCATTGCATAGCTTCGAGCTGAGATTGACGAGAAGCACGCCAAGGGATGCGAGGACCCTCTTTCATTTGCCGATGCTCAGTCCATGCCGTACTTGCAGGCAGTCATCAAGGAAGCCCTTAGGCTACACCCAGCCGGATCTCTACCTCTGAGCCGGGTCGTTCCCGATAAAGGCGCCACCATTTCGGGTCAATATTTCCCAAAAGGTGTAAGTAACTTGCGCAACATTGTCTGGGTCTTTCTACTCGCAATTTTGTTAGAAACCTATGGCTAAATGATCACAGACTATCGTCGGAATCAACCCATGGGTTGCGGGTCGCAATGCCGACGTCTTTGGTGACGACCCCGAAGCCTTTAAGCCAGAGCGCTGGCTAGTGAGTAAAGAGGAAGCACAACGTATGGATAACTACATGCTTGCGGTAAGCGGAACTCATGATTGGCACTCTCCACAAGGGCTGGCCACTTGCTGACTCTACCTTCTAGTTTGGCCTGGGTTCTCGAACTTGTCTCGGGAAGAACATTGCCCTCCTAGAGATGAATAAGCTTGTTCCCCAGATTGTCCGTAACTATGATCTCTCGCTAGTAGATCCCACCATGAAGCTCGAGACGAAAAATGTGTGGTTTGTCCAGTAGACCAATATCATGATTCATGTCCAGGAAAGAAAATTTCCACTTTAGGAATATCGATAAACATGTATCAAGCAAGACCCGTCTTGGGCCAGTCGACCACAAAATGCCAATGTCAGTTCTCAAAACTAGAAAACAAATCCAATACAGGGTGATAAAAACGGTCAAGACCTACCTAGGTACAAGGCCTTCAGGGCAAGATTAATGTCAAGCCCCGGCGACCCCGTAGACCAGAATGTTTCGCGTCATTTCTTTAATATCACATCTATTAAGAACCATGCCGTCAATCAACAAGGACACGCCCGGTTAGCTCAATCGGTAGAGCGTGAGACTCTTAATCTCAAGGCTGCGGGTTCGACCCCCGCATTGGGCTCAATTCCCAATGCATCTCAGATTATAACTGAGATATCTTGGTCCTTTCTTTTTTGCAAATATGGTGTCCGAATCATCTAGTGCCGAAGAGATTTCCTAGGTTACTAAGAAACAGCCGAGGCCAAAAGTGGAGATCTCACTTGCACACCATATTTTCTCGTGTTTATCATACCGAAATACTACTCCCATGTCTCAAATTCGGGTTTTTTACTTGCCTTTGTATATCCCAAAGTCTCAAATCATAGTCATTGCATTAGTAGGTATGTTCGATGGATTGCGGGGAAATTCAAGTAGAGTTCAGACTATAGGGTAATGTCCAAGTCTTTTTTTGCTTCTTTCCCACTAAGCCAAGCGTAGACGATTTGATTTGGACTAAAATCTTCGTCCAAGCACATTGAGTGCCAACTGTATGACAAATTCAGGCGATCGGGGCCATATTTAGTTGTCATTTTGTTTGACTCGTCTGCATCTTTCAATAATCAATCACAGCTCGCATCAATGGGATCAAACTCCTGATCGCGCTTGTAACGGCAAATAAATCCATTTACAAAATTTTGTCTAATTTATCTTGACAACGGACAAACATGATTTCAACTCCTATCTATTCACATTTGGATTATAAAAGTATCACGAGAATCACGGTGATTCATATCGTTGGCCGATTCCTGCAGTGTTCGGACGTATTCATTTGAACTCGTCTCGGACTAGATTATGTGTATTTACTCTCAGACTTATCGTCAATAAATCCAGTCGTGCCAATTGTAACGGTTGCGTGTTTTAGAAATAAACTTCAAGCAAAATCGCGCCTGCAAGGCAATGCCGTGTATTTTGACCAAGACATGGATTCGACATGACAAGTGGCTCGCAAGGTATAGTCACTCCGAGTGTTGTGGTTTGCAAACTGCACGTCCAACACCGTATGTGCCTGCCGAGGATGGTCGCCAAGTGAAACAAGCTTTCCATATCGCCCCGCGGCAGTTATCTTCTCAACGCTCGACACTTGCAGCTGCCGATTGGTTTCACTGAATAGTATATCGATCAATGTGTATAATGTCTAAGACGCAAGTGTCGCCTGCCACCTGGTAACGTCACCTTGTGCCGTGCTCTGGTATCTTGACGCTCCAGCCGTGCAGATCCTTCCAATTTGAGGAGCAATAAGCAAAACCAAAGTTCATGATTCAGAATATGGTCTCAAGCTGCCGTTTGTACGAGTTTTCAGCTGCGCCAGCTCCGGATCTCGGATAGGGTGCAAAGAGTTCTTGCGGACGTTCATACTAGCATATATACCAAAGTCGCATCTCTGTTATCCCAACTCACTGTTCCGCCAACCATCAGAACTTTATCCTTGCACGTCCTTCTTGGCATCGTATAATTACAGTATTGGTATAAGATTGGTCTGAGCTATACCCGTGGCACCATGTCTGTCTCTCCAACCTCTATCGTTCGTCTTGTTGTCGGGCTGGTGATGGTTGGCTCCGTGTAAGCGACACTTCATGAGTAGAAAATTCATTTTTCAACAATACCGACTGACAACCTGCCTCAGCGTTGCCGTGCCTCCGATCCACCGGCCTCCACATATACCTCCTTTCCCACACCCACACCCACAACCACACCCAACTATCACGGGCATTCCAGCATCTTGCTATACCACCTTCATCGATACCGTGCACAGGACCGGCGACATAATCGGTCCTAGCTGCTTCACGTTTACCACGGAATTAGCCTGTATGTGTTCGCCCTCCACCCCTTCCAAGCCTGGACACACTGAGACAAATGGCTTTAACACTATTGGTAAACGACCATGCTAACATGCGCAACAGTGCCGTGCTTTGCGTGTCCGCCACCATCAACTCCGGTGGCGTGCCCCGCCCTTGCTGTCTTGACCAGTGTGACGGTGCCTTGTCCTACAGACTGTTGTCCCACAACCACAACCACGACGCTCCCGGGCACCTGTCCTCCGTGCGGCACTTGTGTTATTCCCACATACACTTCTACGGTTTCGGCAACGTGCACTCCCACTACTACTACCACTACCAAAGGTTATCATGTTCCACACTAGATAGCATCTCGTCAGTTCTCCAGCGTGCACTGGGTTGAATGAGCTCATGGTCACTCTGGGAAAAAAGTAGGTGTTGTAGCTGTCTGTGATTAGCAGGGTAGCGGGGTACTTGTCGTATACGTGCTCAGCTTCCGATAAGAATGATCGTTGAGTCGTGGTTTCCTCAGAATATATGCTGGACTGTTGACGTAAATCTCATGAGCGATTCTGAAATTATTTTCACCTAGTTTTCGTTCTGCTTATGATGTGCGTGAATAGCATCTTTTCTAGTACGATATGTATTGCTGCAATAGAAAGCCTTTTTATGATAATGCCATCCCGAAATTGTCACCTGATTATTCCGCGCCCTTCTGACGATCAGTCTAGCTACTTCGGATCCCGTCCTAGCTACGGTGGCTAACCATTCTGCTGGAGGGGAGAAAAAAAAGGGAGAGAGGGGAAGAGGAAACGAGAACGGAGTTACTTCTTGCGTTATGGTCAAGTCAGGCCAAGCATTGACTACTTTGAAGCTGGACGATGGATTGTTGGTAACTGCGGCCGCTTCATGGTTTGAAATCAAGAAATGGCTTATCAAGCCTTCACACACGTGGATGTGTGTACGGGAGCAACCGGATTGGGTACATAATCTCAGCGCAGGGAATCGTGTGCTACTTTTGTCCGTTATGGTGGCTTACTATTAAGTTTGTCCGTTATATTGGCCCACTATCAAGGGCCGTGTATCATGATATTAATAGCGACTTATACCTAGGTAATCAGATGTTGTATAAGGGCTGGGAAAGAGGGGATCATCAGTAGTTCACGGTCCTTACCTGATTAGTATGCCAATCTACCTAGGTAGTTAGTAGCTACCTAACACTACCCCGCAGCGCCAAGTAGGTCACTTCCCGTAGCTTCCGCAGCTTTCAGAAGAGCGGCTCATGGTGGGTGAATCGCTACATGTATAAATCGTATGTACCTTGACCCCTTCGACTATAATCAACAATTCTAAGCAAATCACAGGCAACCATGGCGGCCATTACTGAACATACAGTCCAATACTCCAAAGACCGCAGCATTCACTATTTAGCGGCTGGTCCCGTCGATGGACCACTGATAATCTTCATCCATGGCTGGCCGGCTAGTGCTATCACCTGGAAGCCCCAACTCGATGCCTTTGGAGGGCTTGGCTTTCGCGCCGTCGCACCCGACATGCCCGGCTATGGCAGGTCGACGGCGCGCCGGGTGGGAAGTGACTACTCTCAAGAGGCCCTCGTGGAGGGCATGATGGCGCTGCTCCGCGATACCGGCCGTGACGCCGCCGTGTGGGTCGGGCACGACTGGGGCGCCGGCGTCACCTCGTCGGTCGCTGCGCAGCATCCCGAAGCCGTGACGGCCCTGGTGAACCTCTGCATACCCTACAAAACCCTCGAGCTGGGCTGGGCTGGTCTCCTTCCGCTGGTGAACCGAGAGCTTTACCCCGCAGACCAGTACGAATTTGGACAATGGGACTACATGAAGAACTACGAGGAGAACTTTGAAGATACCGTGGCCTGGTTCGAGAAAGACATTCCCGGATTTTGCAAGGCCATAATGCAGCCCTCCAAGCAGCCAACTACGCGCTTTCACCCGCTTGCCCTAACCCGCAAGACGGGTTGGTACGGTGGACTACCCGCGCCTCCGAGCGTTGACAAGACGGGTCCGCCCATGGTCACACCCGATATCCTTGAGCAGTACACCAAGGATATGGAGCTTACTGGATATTGGGGAGGCTCACACTACTATATGCACCACGAGGAGAATGCGAAATACAATGCCAACGCGCCCAACGGGGGCAAGTTGCGACAGCCGGTGCTTTTCATCCACGCATCGTGGGATCTCGTCTGCGACACCAAGATGACCAGGTTTGCGGAGCCAATGAGGAAGCATTGCAGCAACTTGACCGAGGTCACAATCGAATCAGGGCATTGGGTACAATTCGAGAAACCTGGGGAGGTCAATGCCGCCTTGTGCCGATTCATCATTGAGTCGGTGCCCAGTGAGTGGCCTGGTTACTGGGACAGTGGGTATGTCAAGAGAACTGCTGTCGTCTAAATCGTACAAGAGTCTCATGAAATTGCTGGACGAAAATGTACATTCACGTAATACTAGGTCTCGATAGAAATAGCGCCTACCATACATTGATATAGGATAAACAATTCGCAATTTCGACAAAGCGATTGAGTCGACAGCAGGAGTTTTCAAGTACTATACAGTGTAATCTTATGTATTCATATATCTTCTTTCTTAACCCAATCCGCTAATCCAGATCAAATCTACAATACGTATCTAAAATGGGAGCCGTAGTCTTCCCCACCACGTGTGTTCTTTTCGCCCTTGACCACAGGACCAAATTCACGGTCAAGCTTGGAGTTCTCCCAGGAGAGGAGACATCTCTGTGCAAAGGCAAGGACAGCGCAGAAGAACATAAAGGCTGCGCAAATCGCCATTCCCTCGGTATATCTGGGGGACTGAGTGGTGGGAAAGACGTTGGTGCCTAGGAATGGCCCACACTGACCAAGAGTGTTCATGAGAACGACTGACCATCCACGGCGCGAGTCGCTTCCCTGATTATCTGTAGGATGAGTTAGTTCTTGAAATTTGGGATTGTCGTCTAAATTGGGGACTTACTCAGTGTTACTCCAAGGACGTTGGGAACAGCCGAAAACACACCAGCCGAGGCTAGGAAGGTGGCAAAGTAGCGGACACCCACGGTGTCTACACAGGCCAGAACAATGAATCCAATACCACCCACAATTGATGATGCGACAATGACGAGACATCTCTGCTGCGTCTTGTCTGCGATCCACGTGGTAATCAAGGCAAAGAGGAACGCGGCAAACGAGGGAGGAGCCGACAAACCCTGAGCATTGATCGAGGTGTAGCCCATGTCCTCAATAATGGTGGGCAGGAATACGGGAAGACTCGAGTAGCTCACGTTGCCGCAAAAGTACATGAGCGCACAGATCCAGGCCTTGGCGTCGAGGAGGACGGGGATGATCTCCTTGACATTGATGCCGCCGACTCGGGCGTTGGCGTCGGTGCCAACCTGTCGCACCGCTCGGGAGCGGACAATGGACTTTTCCTCTGCATTGAGAAAGCGCGCCTTCTCTGGCGAGTCGGGTACGAAGAAGAAGGCGACGGCTGCCATGGCGACGGTCGGAAGGCCCTCGACGAGGAAGAGCAGTCGCCAGTTTGCGAGCTTTGAGTGTCCGCTGGTAATGCCGTAGGCGAGAGCGCCGGAGAAGGTCGAGGCCAGAGGTGCGGCGGATACAAAGATACCCAGACGAAAGCCAATCTCGTGGCGCAGATAGAAAAATGACAAGAGGTAAATGATGCCAGGACCGAAGAATGCCTCAAAGGCACCAAGGAGGAAACGCAGCGCCATCATGCCACTCCAGTTCTGGACACCGGCCTGGACCGTGGCGAGAAGCCCCCATCCAAAGACAACGACGGTGCATACAAGGTGAGGAGGAAAGATCTTCCAGAACAGGATGCCAAAGTCAAAGACGATGTAGGTTATGTAGAAGATGTTGATGAGCCATTGGTACTTGTTGCCTACGAGATCAAGAGCCTCGGTCATGCCAGCAATCTTTGCATTACCAATGTTGCCTCTGTCAAGGAAGGCGAGCATGTAAAAGACAAAAAACAGTGGCATCAAGTTCCAGTCTAGCTTGCGGACAACACGCGCTTCTTGGGCCGGCGTGTAGTCCACCTCGAGAGGCAAGCCATCAGTTGAGACGTCCGAGGGCGCGGACCTGCCAGCCTCGGCATCAGTAGTGATTGCCGTCTCCTTGGTCGGCTCCATTTTATCTTTGATATGGTTAAATCGGGAAAGACCAAAGACTCAATTTGCTGTAGCTGCAATCCCAAGACTCGTCTGTTTGGCTGCCGGGTCTGAGGGCATGCATATATATGTATCAATAAGAGCAACAGTGGAGAGGGAACTGGAAATTCCTTTTCGGACCGGCCCGAAAGCAGGCTATCCAGGAGCTACGGAAGACTTCAGGAGCCTTTGCATAGTCAAAAGCCGTTCCCGCAAAGTGATACTACTGCCGGGTCAAGAATGGAGGTTCGATCTCGTCTATTCATCTTTGATTCGACGACTTCTTTTGCACCCTGGCACTTGCGGTGATTCACCGCAGGGGTGCGTGATAACAGGCAGTTGTGGACTACCGAGGCACGTGGTGGCAACTTGGCAACTGTTATAGACTTCAACCTTTTATTGATCTTGTTTCACATTGCACCGAACAATTGTAACATGCAGACGCGAGTAAGAGACCATTGTTATTGATAAGTCGATCTTGGAAACTACTCACTTGTTTGCGTTGTGTTTATCTTGGAAGAACAATTCCGCGAGTCTCGTGTATTGTCGCAAGAAAGACAGAGGCCCAGTAATGGTTATGATTAGAAATGCCAAGAAGTCTACAACTACGGCGGCGAATTTAGTGTTACAAACCAAGCATTGAAGTGCAAATCACCATTTCGGAAGGGAGTGGAACAGGACGGGATACCCCCGTCAGCAGGTAAACTGTATGCAGTATAGTCCAGTGGTACAGAACCAGATTTTAGTGCTCCAGCCTTGAAAACCCCATTGGCATACTGGCGTCCAGGCCCCTTCCCGCTTGCCTGCTTCCGTACGCAATGCAAAGGCATTTTCAACGTTCCGACACAACGCTTATTCTCGTCGAACACCAATGTAGGATCTTAGTTGGCTGCTGTGTAACTAGAGTCGGACTTTTGGACAGAAGACTATGATCGTATCATATTTCTCTTCAGATTAATCCAGTTGAATTGTAAAAATAACTCCTTTGATAAATCCAAGTTTCTCTGTCAGACGACGCTCCAGAGTCCCTTGACCCTTGCTTGGGTTTGAACATTCTGCTAACTTAGTATGTACCAAACCAGATAGCGTACGCTACGGAATCTTCCCCGTGGGCCGCTGATAGCTCCCTGCCGCACAGATGCGTTAGCGGCAAATCTGGCTATAGCAAAATAAAAATCCTGCCAGTCATGTAATGGGTGTGCTATAGAATTGTGGGATTTAGTGGCAATAAGCAGGTAATAAACCCCATCAATCCTCCAAGGCCGCCCATTAAATGGAGTCAAACCCGCTATAATTCAGGGATATGGTAAAATTTCTTAGCGTGTCGCGGAACCCCCATGCTGCACAGATACCTATCCATTTATTTTTCTTCAACACCACCACCCGAGCCACCTGGCCTACCACGTTTTCGGAGAATACCACCGGCTTTATCGAACAGCAGATACACCGCAATAACGGTTCCTTCACCGATCTTTAATTCGTATGTTGTGCTTCATTTTTATCTTCCCATCCATGCGGGATGTGAGTAGCAATTTACATGACCTTTATCATATATCGAAGCAATCCACGAAGTGTACCATGTAAAGGATTTGATTTAGTTTCGCTAAGCTTTGCGGGGGAAAAAATCGGTTCATCCTAGCCACGTTACCTATTGTGTGTACAACTGTTCATGCTGATTTCTTGCCCGTGGTCTCGGGGCATTACGCTTCTCTACCCATAGGCGCGAGAAGAGAGCTGCACGAATCTAACATCTTGTAAAATGTTCGTGGTCCACAAGGAAGCGTACAAAGATGACATGCACGTCCGCCACGTGGTAGTGGGCGCCAAGGATCGTGGAACAGAAGAGTTCTGTTGGCGCGAATAGTTTGTCGCCAACAACGGGTATGCGCAGATCCAAGCATGCTGTACTCATCAGCCCAGCAGGGCGTTGGAGAGATTCGCACCATTTAGAACCCACCGTTTGATGTGCCTGGATCGTCGGATCTGTCTGCCCACACTAGCCAGTGCTCCTTCCAAGAACTGACCATACACCTTGAGCCGATCATTTATCTTTACGGCAGACAGACCATGTGTCACGCATTGGACTTTATATCCGGACTCGGATCTAAAGAATATAATCGAATCAATAATTTATTATATCTCGTCTACAGTCTATTCAAAACCAATCATTTCTAGAGGTCCACGCTGCGACTTGGGTGTCTCGGCGAAAGCAAGGTCCTGTCCTGGCGACCATTAGATCGTAGCTGCTTTCCCGTCTACTTCTCCTCCCATAAGCATGTGTAACGTAGAACGGTCTTGGGATCATGACCATCGCTCGCTGTTTCTTGTCACGTCGCACTTAAAGTCCTGCTGGTTTAACCCAAGGACTCGGGGCCTGTACAACACCTGTCCTGTCCCGATGCTTTCCTCATACCAATTTTCCGACCAAAAAGTACTTTTGTCTTCATGTTGTGCAACCCTTGACGTCCTTTGAGGTCTTCTTTGACTTCTGTGTCTTTCGAAAAGATAATTCGACTCACGACCTTCCGAGGCCGGACAAGTTGTCAACAAACATTCCGGGCGTTGTATCTAAAGAGAACAAAGATCTATCAATCTCAAATAAGCAAAACATCTCACCCAACCATGTTCGATCATCCAAGATTTGATCTATTGCCTGCAATGTGACAATGTCTCAAGTTCAACTCCCTCTGGAGGCCCAGGGCATGGCCAACGAAAGCAGACAGCATGAGTTATGGGGCTGGCTGATATGCTTTCTCGTCATATCCAACATCTCTATCGGAGGTAGACTATGGGGAACTTGGAAATCAGTATCAACACGGTCCGAAGTAATTGCTGAGGAGATCTTTATCGGATTGAGTGGTGTAAGTTCTGACCCCCGCCGCGTTATTAACTTCCCAGAAAGTTGAATATTGCTCGTAGGTCTTACTCAACGCCATTATCGGGAATCTGATGGCTGCCACCCACTACGGTCTTGGTCTGCATACCAAAAGAGTCTGGGAAACAAACGGCAAGGATCCCTCGAATCTATCGAATATCTTCAAGGTACGTTACTTAACTGCTCCTATTAGTCGTCCAGCCCTTTGTGATCATTAGTGGGCACTGATTTAATACCTATTTATAGCATGTCTGGATTACCATGATACTCATGAGCAGTTTCTTTGTATGCATCAAGATGACTCTCCTCTTGTTTTACAAGCGACTGTTTTTGTGCTCTTCGACAGCGCTGCGAACCTTTTGGTGGGCCAACATTGGTTACATCCTGTTGTGGTTTGTTGGATCAACCGGCTTTTATGTTTTCCAATGTAAGCCGGTGCAATGGTATTTTCTACAATACTTTCAAAGATTTCATGCTCCAGTTCCTGGGGATATCCACGGGCAATGCGACGCTACAACAGTTCTGCACGTGGCAATGCCCATGGTCTTCAGTCTTCTGTCCGACATTGCCCTCCTTGTCCTGCCCTTGTGGGCCATATCGAAGCTGCGAGTGGATAGGAAGAAGAGACTCGGTTTGATGGCCGTGTTTGGAATAGGGCTTGTTGCTTGCTTGCTGGAGTTGGCTCGCATACTAGCACTCATCATCGACACAGATGACAAGACAGATCCAAGCTGTAAGTCACCACAGTGGGTTCCTTTGTCCTGTGTCCGCTCAATCAGGAGATCTATATTATACTGACTGGCATCGCGCAGGGGGTGTTGCCGTATTTCTCATCCTGACCGCTGCTGAAGAGACCACGGCTGTAGTGTGTGCTTGTCTTCCCATCATTGGGCCACTCCTGTACAGGCAGTACCGAGTTTTCCCTGGTAAAACGAACAAGGGTCGTTCTTCTGGCAATGACGGCAGTCTCAGTTTAGAGGCTCAGAATAACATCCGGTCGGGGAGCCGCAATTGGCGTAGTAGGCAGAGCTTTAAGCGTGTTATCAGCGTCAACCACATCCCGACATCGATTGGCGGGCTGACGAAGCTGGATGGCACCATGGACGGGGACCATATCCATCTGACCAGCATTGAGGCCAAGCCCCCAAGATCTATCCCAGAGAGTTTCGACACCGGGCCCGACGGGTCGACCATTGATGGAAAAGATGATGTTGAGGCTAGGGGTATCCCATCACGAAGTGCAATTGATGGAAATGAATGTATTCGAGCATCCACGCCATTGTCCAACATGATTCATGTGCGCACAGATGTAGAAGTGGAAGTATTTCGGAAGGAAGTGCCGGGACAGGGGCAGCGATGAGCGGCATTGGAATAAAGACACTTCGTTACTTCTTAGCTAGATGCATGTAACTCTGCAGTGCAGGCTCAAGTTATCGCGCATCGCGTATCATTACCGTATATTGTGAGATGAAGCAGCGTAGCAATGTACCGTGGTACAGTAGGACAATACAGGGATCTTGCAAGCAGCAAATCAACTGACTTGCCCGTGCCTGCGGTATATCCAGTCGGCCTCGGCTGTCATTGACTGGGGTAGATTGGAGGCTGCGGAGAATACACCATGTCCGCCGACCCTGAGGCCCCGAGACCCATGCCATTTTGTAGTCCGTCCCGATGATCTGATAATCAACCCTGAATGCATCAACGGCGTACTTCTGCCGGTTTGGTCTCAGTGTCAGGAGACGTTCCATACAATTCGTACGCTTCTGTATCTCGCTTTCCTATATTCATTTCCGGCATGAGCTTTTGACCAAACCACCATATGGAGAGCCAGACAAATACGCAGATTACAGAGTCGACCAGGGTTAGTATACTAAGATCCAAACCAAATGCTTTGCAAGATATTGAATCCACATCGCTAATTCATTCAAACTGCGACAGGCGACTTTGAGCGACCCCGCGCGAACAAATTTTGACAATTACTCGGGTCACCAAAGCACCGTTGACGACCCTGACTCTCGCGAAGATGCCGAAGGCAGAATTTGGCAAAATTATAGGCCCGACAAATACTTTCTTCCAAACGATAGCACTGAACAGGATCGTCTGAACTTGATCCATCGAGCTTTTTGTCTCCAGCTGTACTTGCTGCAAGATCCGGTGGAACGGAGCCATAAGGTGGAAGATGCGCTGCTTCTGTACGATGATCCCTACTGCCTGTCTAGCATGTTGGGTTTTGCAAAACGTTGGAAACTCCATGGTGCCTTTCATAGCACTATACATGAGGTCGCTTGTTTGGAAGCAATTGCTAAACTCAGCCTTCGCAGTGCCCCCATCAAAGGTGATCCTCCACGGGTGCTAGACATTGGAACAGGCACAGGTAAGAAGCTACCATCCCTGCGCTACTCAATGTGAATGATGCTGACCCGGGCTTGTTCATACCGATAGGGATCTGGGCGATTGAATTTGCACGCTGCCATCCCGAATCGCAAGTCATTGGGGCAGACCTCAGTCTCATCCAGCCCGACGTTTCCGCCACCGTGCCCAACGTCTCCTTTGTACGCGCAGACGCCGAGGAAGAATGGATGTGTGGCGCACCATTCGACCTGGTACATGCGCGGCTCATGTTTAGCTGCTACGTGAGCCATCGCGACGTGATCAAGCGGGTTTTCGATAATCTCAATCCGGGCGGATGGATCGAATACCAAGACAACAGCTTTAGCATCGACTCGGATGACAATTCACACCGCGGAACTGGCCTACATCAGTGGGGCCATCTCGCACAGGCTGGGGCCGCGGCCAAGGGCCGGGACTTTGAAGCCGCGCGCAAGTTCAAGGACTATTTCGTCGAGGCTGGTTTTGTGGATGTTGTCGAGATCAGATGTAAAGTTATCGGAAGCGCCTGGCCTAGCACGGAGCCAGAACAGAGTCTAGGGAGATACACGTCAGTTTCCAGCTTTGAGGTGGTCAAGAACGTGTCTCGAAAGCTACTCGGCGAAGGCGGTCTCGGTCTTCCTGAGGATGTCATTCAGCCCATTGTCGCGCAAGCGTTGAAAGATGTGGCGGATCCGAATATTCACTTTTATTGGCCGGGGTAAGATGTATACATGTTCTGGGGTTTACTGGGAGATGCTGATTAATCCACAGGTACATCGTTTACGGGCGGAAGCCTTTTGCGCACGAGATTGCATCTGCCCCCAGTAGTAGCGGCACAGCCCAGCACTAAACGATGCTCCCACGCTGCACCATCAGCCCCGATGGTCCCCTGGAGCAAAAATCCCTGCTAACACCCAGATTGTTCATAAGTCGTTGTATCAACAAATTTTTGTTGAAAAAAAAAAAAAAAAACGTACAACTTCACTACAAATTGTTGAGACTGGTTGCACAAATTTGTAATTATGCCAGGGATTGCCTTCAGATGCATCAAGCTGAATCTCGGACAATTTGGTGCCGTTGATTGGGCTTGATCTTGGCAAGGGAGACAATCGGGGCGGTTGTGAGCAAACAAACTGTATTTGGGTATCGTGTCACCTTCGTGTTAGCACGGCATCACTAATCTCGAAGTGGAATTTCTCGAGCTTTCACTCACCGTGCACACTGACATGTATTCATTATCACCAATCGTTTCAGCTTAAATTTGGAAAATACATACCTTGCACCCATCAAAGTTTCTCGGGTTGGTATTTGCAACCCGCGCGGCCTGGTTCTTGCATCACAACGCCAATGTGTGGGGCCGGCGGGGGAACTTGGCATCGCTCTCGGTGAATTCGGACAAACACGGCGCCTATACAATTGGCTACCAGCAAGCTCCCTCCACTAGGCACTATACGTAAGTGTAGACGTCGAACAGCCGGCGGGGGTTTAGTTGATTTCCAGATCATAGGAAAATAAGGCGTGAGATTTGACGAGATCAGATTGTATGTATGATCGTCAGTCCATATATCATTGAATAAAGACTGCATTTCTCTTTGAAAATAGATGCGCAATGCCCGCGACTTTTCTTAAACGATTATTCTTATATCAACGCAACAAACGGATCAACACAAAGAAATGGCACCACTGAAAGTAATTATAGTTGGAGGCGGCCTAGCCGGTGCATGTCTTGCAAATGGTTTGATCAACAAAGCAACCGATCCAATCGAAGTATTGCTATTCGAACGCGATCATGAAGCATCAGACAGAGACGGATATCAAATTCGTCTTGGGGCGCACGCGCTGACTGGTTTCCGGGCTTGCTTGACCGAAAGACAATACAGTGACCTCTTGTTGTGTTTTGGCAGATCAGGCGGCGTTGTATCTTCGGCACCGGCCATATACAGCCCTGAGATGGACCTATTATTGGATCTTGGCAAGTTCCCAGCTTACACCAAAAGCGCGCCGATTGGACGTGCTCGATTACGAAATTTTCTTCAGAGTCCTCTGCGCGAAAAGAGCAAAATACGCTACGGCAAGAAGTTTGTCAGGTTCGAAGTGCTCGGAAGTGGTGATGATAGCAAGGAAAGCAGAATCAGGGTGCACTTTGAGGATGGGTCCGGTGAGGACTGCGACATTCTGGTATCTGCTGAGGGCAGCGGCAGCCGCGCCAACAAGCAGCTGGGTTGTAATAACATCAGTGCCACATCTTCTTTAGGTGCCGGTTCAATGCTAGGCAAATGCCATCTTCCCTGGACCGTCCTCCGAGCCCTTCCGCGTCCGCTGCTGGACAAGGGCACCATGTTTGCCGCCACGGCCAAAGCGACATTATTTGCAGCAGCATATCTCCCAGACAGCCTTTCTCCATCTGCCCAGAATGCTTCCGCCGCGACAGATCTGAAGGGTATCAAGAAACCCAGCAACTACGATGAAGAGCAGGCGTCGTTGATGGTCGGGGTGGCATGGACTGAAGGCCTGTCGTCAATGGAAGCCGCCCAATTGCCGGATGCAAAAGCCTTTCTAAGAGACAAGCTGATGGAAGCTGGTTTCCATGCGGAATACTTGAAGCTGATTGACGCGCTCGACCCCGATGCGATTCAGGGAGTTCCCTTCCGAACGTCAAGCGACACCGCCGTTGATTGGAGACGCCGACTACTCGAGGGTGAAAAAGCCTCCCACCGCCCGGAAATAGGCAATCCCCGAGTCTGGCTGATTGGCGATGCCATACACCCAATGCTTCCGTCCAGGGGGATGGGTGCCAATCAAGCACTCCACGACACTGCCGACGCACTTGGGCCTCTCTTGGCACTGGCAAAGAGGAAGAGTTTGACGGGAACCGTCTCGGATGAGGAGGTTCGATTGCAATTGGAGACATACGAGAACGCAATGATTCCTAGAGCGTTTACCTGGGTGAAAAGAAGCGCTGCTCAAAATGTAGGTTTGTATATGCATTGCTTATGTACTACCGAGACTGACAATCATCACAGTTGCCTGGTCTAGATACTTTCAAAGGTCGAGCTATAATCTTTGTTCTCCGAGTCGGTCTGGTCGTCGTGGGTGCTTTCATGGAAGTCAGAAAATTGTTTGGTTGGAAGCCAACGGATGATGCGCCCGAACTTCGTTAACAGATACCATGGACATGTATTCTCTATTGTGGACTAATGGCTACAGATATACATTCTCCAAGCCAAAGTTCGGGTCTCTATCTTAATAAATCAAAAAGTTTCATTATTCCTCGCTGCACGCCACATACTGCCGCACTACCGTGATCTTCGCCGGCCAGTTCGCCCACTGAAACATCTCGAAATTTTCCACTTGCACGTAAACGATTTGCCATGGCCAAAGTATTTCTCCTCATGCCCTTTGCTTGAGATAGCACTAGTCTTCGTTGATAGTCCTCGGATGCCTCGTTATGTCGCTTTTCTGGGTTCTCCTCAAGCGATCCAAAGGTCATAATGAGACGAAGATCTGCTGGCTGGGTTTGGAGCTCCTCGACGCTCCATGAATCTTGCGTCATGGTTCTGCCAATGACGTCTTTCGAAAGGAAATCCTTCTCCTGTTTGTGAACAATCTCGCAGTCTTGAAACCAAATGGAAGGACTTGCTGCCAGATGGGCGCCAAAGAAGTCGGGCCGGGTGAAGAGAGAATACAACGTGAACAGGCCGCCGAAGGAGTGTCCGAAAAGGTAGCGACTATGGCGATTGAATTTCAGGCCTTGGAAGATATTGTCCTCCACATAAGGGGCGATTTCAGTCAGGAGGGCTTTGAGGAACTGCTCTGCGCCACCATATTCAACGCCTTCAAGCGGCTGCCCGTCTCTTCCCAAGGGTGGTTTTGATGGCTTCGAAGAGGAAGGGGTGAAGTCCGATAATCGACGCTTGTCATAGATGGCATGGCTCGTGGGATAGCCGATACCTACAATAATGATCTCTTTCCGAAAGACAAATTCGAGCCGACGAGCCACATCCGTAGCTGTAAAAAAGTATGCGTTGCCATCTAGAACATATCTGTAGACCTTCAGTGCCCTAATTTAAAAGGTCGGGTCCGACGAATGGTGAAAATTACAGTATGGGTACGTGGGTGTCTGGCGAGCTATTCTCGGGGCCTCGTGAACTTTTCCAGCTCAGTGGCCACGATATTTGAATGAGGTAGTCCCCTCGACATGTCGGCAGGGTACACTGAAAAGTATTTGGTCCCTCTGCTGGTCGGACGGCGAGATCACTGATGGCGGTCATTTTCTCTCGCTGTCTTGTGTCTTTCGTGAGGCTATCCAGTCCTCAAGTGTTAGCCTCGGTTGTCAAGTGAATCTGCGGCCGTAGTCGTGCGATTGAGAAGCAATTATTTTGGCCGTTAATCCGATCCTTCCGAGGTCGGGGCGAAAATCTGAGCACATAGTCGGACCACGTCCAACATTTACGTGTGCTTCGCAACATAGGGGTACGCAACTGTATGGTTCAGAGAAGTTTTCCGCTTGGTTTAGCGACTGGGCACTCTACTAGGGGCGAATCGGCGTGGTGCATAAGCGAGGTATCCCCACGATGTCTGTGTTAGCGATACTTGGCATTGCGGATCAGATTAGATTAGATCGGCTGCGATGGTTCGCACAGACTATGACATTTGATTGATGACTACAATTTTTTTTCTATGCCGATGCCGATTGTATAGTAAAACTCCGACGGCCACTGGAATTCCCTGCGAGTATTCATATAACTTGTCATCATGCATCTTGCGCTGATTCCCGAGTCAAGGTCCAAGCCAAAGATATCTGCCAATTATTGTCATGGCCACTGACAAGGAAACACCCGAGGCAATGGTCAGCTCTTCCCCCGAAGATGTTGACCCAGTCGCAAAGAACAATGAAGAGATATTGAAAGAATCTTGGTCGAGACGCTCACTCATCATAGCGTACACCAGGTAATGCCACACCCATACTCTTCTTTCGGCGATAGTATTCCTAACATTCAATCGTGTCAAGTCTGTTCGCTGCTACCTTTATCCTATCGTTTATCAAATATTCGACAAAAGTATACGATGCATATGCCACAAGCTCATTTTCGAAGCATGCCGCGCTTACGACAGCGAATGTGGTCTTTACAATTACCGGTCTAGTGACATATCCGATCATGGCAAAGTTATCAAACGTGAGTTGTCAAATTGCGGTCGAATGAATGTGACTCGTCGCTCAACTTTCAACATCAGGTATTCGGAAGAGCTGAAGGTTTCGCCTTGTCAATCACAACCATGGTGCTTGGTCAAGTACTGTACGCTGCGTGCCAAGACGTGGGTACATATGTGGTAAGTAACTTAGTCGAGATATGGTGTGGACAATGTTGACAAGCTTTTCACAGGCTGGGGGAATTTTCGAGGCCATTGGCGATACTGGTTACGCAGTAATGCAACAAATATTCATTGCTGACACAACCAACCTGCTGAACCGCGGCCTTTGGTCATCATTACCAGAGTCCGTCACTGCCATACCAACATTGTATCTGGGTACCATCGTGGCGGACCAGGTCCTAGCCGAATCAACGTGGCGATGGGGATACGGTAAGATTGACCGCGGACATATGGCTGGTGTGCCCTCTACTAAAAATGCAGAATAGGCATGTGGGCACTCATACTCCCTTTCTGTTCTGTACCCCTAGTTGTAACGATGTATATCCTGCAACGTCGGGCAAAGAAGAATGGATACATGAAGAGTTCCCTATGGAGCGCTGCCGACGTAGAGAACACCTCTCTTCCGCACCGTCTTCGCCAGTTGTTTGTCACCGAGCTAGACCTTTTCGGTGCTTTCCTTCTGGTGGTTGGGCTTGGCCTTACTCTCATTCCCTTGACTCTGACAGGATCCAAGAACAGCGACAAATGGCAACAGGGATCATTCATTGCCATGCTAGTGGTGGGAATCGCCATCACGATTGCATTTTTTGTATGGGACGTCAAGTTTGCTGCCAAGCCGTTCGTTCCGTTTCGCATGATCCGTGAGCGGACAGTCGTGGCGGCGTGTCTACTATCCATCCTGGATTTCTTTCACTACTCTTGTTTCACCATATTCTTCCCGAGCTATCTTCAAGTTGCCGGAGGCTACTCTGCAGGCCATGCCTCGCGTATTGAGTAGGTCCCAGGGTCTTTCATTTTCTCATTGTTCCTCATTACATCAGATGTTCAAGTAATGCTGACTGTATCGTACTAGTAACGCCCTTCGTGTCACATTCCAGATTTCCTCTGTACTAGTAGGCCTCGCTATGAAGTACTCAAAGCGCTCTCAGATCTTCGTCTTCATTGGCGTGCCCCTGTGCGTTCTTGGCCAGGGCCTTCAGATCTACTTTACAAACATGCATGGAACCCACGCGGCCAGTGAAATCTGCTTTATTACTGCCAAGACACTCGTCGGTCTGGGACGCGGGTTCTACCAGACGGCAGCCCAAGTCTCCATACAGTCGCTGGTCCCTCGCGAAGACGTTGCCGTCGTCACAGGTGTCTATTTTGCTGCCATGAATTTTGGAGCTGCGATTGGAACCAGGTTCGTTCATATCCGTGCATGGACTGAAAAGCTTGCAAATACTAACCGTAGACAGCGTGAGCGGTGCAATCTGGAACTCCTTGCTTCCTGCAAAACTGACGGAATATCTCCCCGAGGAGGCGAAACCCCAAGCTCAAGCCATATACAAATCAATCACGGTGGCCAAAAAGTATGCCCAAGGGACCATTATTCGTGCTGCAATCGATCAAGCATACAGAGAAACACAACAGCGCTTGGCAATTGCAGCCACCGCTGCCCTTGCACCGATGCTTCTGATCATGTTTTTCTTGAAAAATGTCGATCTGTCGGTCAAGAAGTAATGATACAAATTCGAGATTGGCCAGCATTAGAAGGAGGTCTATCATTGAGACGAGACGAGCAGTAATGTTCCTGCCTGGCCACATGTCTAAAATGAGGTTTTTACTTTATTCAACAAGAATAGTTGTACCATGTGCATACTAGTGGATAACAGTTTACACTCTTGATGTAATCCAACAAGCCTTTCATTGGACAAGTTCTCATGACCATTTGTTTTACCGCATCAGCATAATCTAAATCTCCGTCCTCTTAAGCGGTTTACCCAAATGAATATTGTGTGCGAAATTCCTAGGGCCCTAGAGGTCTAGGCAAACACTATCCCCATGCCTCAGATCTAGGACTTTCGACTGTGTTTCTGTCTCGACAGCCAATGTTGCAGCAGTGGTATCAATTCTGTATGGCGGGATGCAGCTAGGGAAGATCAGATTTATATTCGACATGTTTTGATCGAAGATTCAACAATACCTTTCATCATGCAAACACCAAATGATTTGAGAAGGGCTGTCAAGCCATTTGATCTGTTTCACGGCAAAATCCGCAGCGCATCCATCAAAGGGCCTGCCATCCAGGTTGGCACGCCCAGCGATACCCAAAATTGCTATATCAGGTTTCGGATGCATACTCTTGAGAACACTCTCATAGCCGCCGAGATGTGAGCTCCAAAGTAGCGCCTTGTGGTCAATGATGAAATTGTACATTAGCTGCCCTCCATCGCAATGGGAAAACACATTTCGTTTTCGATCGTTGACATAGTCAATAAATGACAGTTGCCCTTCATCAAGTTTCTCTGGCGGTACAAGCTCGCCCAGCTTCAGAAGGCCATGCTGCATGCCCATTGTGATATCCAGCGTACACGAGTAAGGGGTAGCCGCGCCCATGTAGACAGTCTTTGTGTCCATCACAATGGGATGCCCGTCTGGCATTAAGCAGTGCAGAGATGGCCAAACGTGCACAGAAAAAGCAGCCAGAGTATGGACTGGATGAATTGGCGCACCAGGAGGACCAGGTAGTCTCAAAGTAGAGTCGTGTCTGGCCTTTTCTCGAACATCCTTCGTAAACAGGGGAATGCGCTCGCCGCCTTGGACTGGAATTAGTTGCTCTTCTGGCACTCCTGCCAACCTCAAGCAGTTGATGGCTTCACAATTGGCCACGACGATTGCACCGGTTTTGATGGCGATTCGATCGGCTCCAGGTAAACTATTGCAAGTGAGCATACAGTCAATGATGTCTTCTTTTCCAGTGTCAACTTATTAAAAAACGTACTGGTCAAAGTGCGCGTGTGATATAAAGATATAGTCGGCCTCTGTCACATCGTCAACGGCAAGATATTTTGGCAGAACCGATGGTCTGTCGAGCCATGTGTCTAGGAAGATGGTGACTCCCCTGGTCCGTAGCCGAAACGTTGTGGCCCCTTTGGTATGTCAGTATTGACACATAGAAGTCCAAGCTTGGAAAGAATATAACGCACCAAACCACTCAAGTGTTGATTCGCTCATATTTATGAACATTTAAGTCAATCCCGCCTGGACTTCAGTCTGTGAACAAATCTCTGCATGGAGACTCGAGGACGGAGTCAACTGCTGCAGATCTGGCAGCGGACATGGTGACATAAATCAATCTTTTTCGAGGCGTTGCCCATAGAAGTGCCAAGTATCTAGTGAAACCTACAAATCCATCGCGGATCATGGCTAGAGAAACTGCCGTTGCCGAATTCCATCATCTGAAGCCAATTGCAGCAATCAAGGTGAGCCCCTAATGGACCCAAGCCGACGGGGTCGGTCACTAACTGCTGCGCTATTGAGGTGCTGGAGACTGGCAGGGCAGATCCCGGCGGGGGTGGGGAGCGGTAGAAGGCCCTGGGACGGACGCAACACGTGCCCAGACAGCGTTGTGTTCCCATGCTAAATGATCCGCAAACTTTGTCTCCATTGGCATCAATGCACCATACCGACTCCTGTGCCACTTTGTATGCTTTGTTGCTTTCCATACCGTGGTGCTTGACTGACTAAGCGGCTTCAAGGACTTTCTTGTTTTCCTTGCACCAGTTCCATGACGTACGGCGACAGTCTATGTACTTCTTGGTGACCTTCGACAATGCCCCACCCTTCACTTGAACATTGAACTTAGGAGCAGGTAATGGCACTTCAAGTTCTATACGCCGCCGCCGAGGTGAGGACATGCAAATGAGGAAGCCACTGCAACCTAGAACGGCACGAGGCTCTCAATATCTTATCACCTTATCAACACAAACGTTGGCAGCTTGTCTGTTCCTGGGCAATTGCGACGCGTTCCTGGAAAAACGTTCGGTCTTTAATAGCCCTGAAAAAAACATGCCGGCGGGGCCGTCGTCCTTGACCTGCGAGCACTGTGGTGACACATTCCAACGCAAAGAACATCGGGACCGCCATATGCTCAGGCACATTGGCACAAAGTCGTTCCAATGTGAGGTATGCGCCAAATCCTTTTCACGAAGGCAAGTTTCCTTTTCGGCTGCTGCGTCTCAAGCCTATGCTAACCCTGTCATGCAGCGACACACTTCTGCGCCACTATAGCTTGCATCGCCACGAAAGCCAACACGCACCGGGCTCTCAGCGTCGATGTGCCCGGGCCTGTCTCTCATGCGCTAGGCTTAAACAACGCTGCGATGGCTTGACCCCATGTGGTCGTTGCCGGCAGAAGCGCACTCAGTGCAGATATCAGCCATCGGCCAATGTGACAGGCAATGAGAACTCAACAACTCCCCTGGACCATGACACAATTGTATGTTCACCAGGGCCAAACGAGCATGATAGTCTTCGAATGGGTGAAGGTCCCCCATTCAACGCTCCGATTGTTGAACATTCACATCAATCTACATCGCATGTCTTGGTCGACACTTGGAACGTCGACTCGGCAGTGCTCTCAAACGCTCAGATTGGTTCCACAGTATCCACTGATACTTATCCTGCCTTGAATGATGACCTCTCTTGGACCACCCGTCCGCCATGGGACATGAACTTCCATTTCAATTCAAATGGAATGATGGGCAGTCTTGGTGGTATATGGAACAATAGGACTGATACCTTCCCGTTCTTACAAACGCTGGAGCCATTCTTGTCACCACTCAATTGTCTCGAAATAGAGCCTGATATTGTCGAAAATGCTCCGGAGTTGCCTTCTGTGAGCTGTTTAGGTGAGCCTAGCTCGTCTGGGGCTGCTAATTCGAGCCAGGCTGTCATGGAGGAATCATCCTCTCGAATCTTTCCAAGGCATCGTACCTCAAGGGCGGAGCCTTGCCTAGAGTTTCCCTCATGCCAATCAACACATTTGCAACAAGCTGAAGCTGAGGTATTTGGGCATGTCTCAGAGATATCGGCGTCGTCAATCGAGGCGCTACGGTTATTCTACATGACGCAGCGTCAGGAACTTCCGTCACGATTCATCTCGACTCGCATCCTGTGTACCTTTGTTGATCTCTATTTTGAGTACTTTGACGCTCAGTTCCCTCTCCTCCATCCACATCGTTTAGAGGCTAGTGGACTGCACTGGACTCTTCTGTTAGCAACGGCGACAATCGGCAGCCAATACTCTGATATCGAGAATGCACATGAATATCGCGCATCTCTCTGTGACCTACTCAAGAGGTCGATGCAGCTAAGTGTATGATCCTATTGGTGGCATTGTGGCCTCGAATTTTGTCATTAATGAGATTGTTCAGGACCTTGAGGACATCAAAGAGATGAACATATCTATTGCTCAAAGCGTGTTTCTGTATGATGTCTTCTTGATGTTCTCTGGATCCAGGAAAGACAAGACAATACTACAATACCGAAAGAATATTCTTATAACGATATGCCGAAAGCTGCGTCGGAACAGAGATGCCCAGGTGGCCTCTGAACTCGAGGAACGAACCACGCACGATGAATGGCTGTCATGGCTTTCAATCGAGGAAGAAGTCCGCCTGTTATCTTGTGTTTACGGTATGCTGGATTTCCTTCTAGTGAAGCAGGACTTGGCTCATATTGGCTCATATTCTAGTGCTGGAATGCTTGGGATTTGTCTTTATGGAATTTCCAACTATCCTGGCTCCATCGGATTTACTGCAAAGGCTACCATGCCCCACTCGCCTATGGCAGTGTAGAGACGCGCCCGCCTGGAAAGCTATAATCGGGACTCTATCGCGTAAATATCTAGGAAAGGGCTTCTGATAGATTCGTGTCGCTGACTTGAATATAGCTGTAACCTATAGGCAAAGCCAGCCAAAGTCCAAGTCCGAGTGGCTTGAATCCTTACGAGGGCCCGATATCTTTCGTCTGAAAGTGACTTTGTTGGGATCATATGTCGACGAAAAAACACTACAGCATCAGCTGCAGTCTTCACGATTTTTGCAGTCATCATTCAGCTCATACCTCAATCCTCCTTCAGAACGCGATTCTCGAGGTTCATCTACTCGGGACTATCGAGGGCTGCCAGACCCTTCTCACGTTGAGAGCCCGCTATTGAGTTCACTGTTTGAGTCATTAGAGTATGAAACCTTTGAAGCTGCCGTTGTTAGCAATGGCGAGGGTGCGGAAACTCTCATTCACGTACTTGCAATATTAAGACATGTCCCCCTCAAAATACTGTACTCCGCTACAGGCTGGGAGACCAACACGGACCAAATGGCGGCATCGAGGACGAGCTTGAGGAATTTCTTTCAACGTAAGAGGGATACGGCGCGGAAGGTCATGTGGCATGCCACGTGCATCTTTAGGACTACGCGAAAGACGCACCGCTTTGCCTGCTATGACATGCTGAGCCTTTGCGTTGCGACATGCTATATCTGGTCATATGACCAATTGCGTCCGGCACCAGTTTGTCAATCTGATGGTATCTCACAGCCGAGAAAGAAACGGCCGATAATCCGGCTCGACCAATTGCATGATAAGTCCAAGATCAAGGAGTGGGTAGAGCACGGTGACAACAGCGACATTCATTTGACAGGTGTTGGCATTTTGAACCAGTCTGACCACGGCGTACGATTCCTCAAGGATGTGGAAAGGACATTCTTCTCTCAGATCGCTTGGAAGGGCTTGTCTCGTGCTCTTGCTTGCTGCCTTGTCCAATTGGGACAGAATGGTGAACAAATATTGATTCCAGATCCATGCGAGATGGGGGATTGAAACCATGGATATGAAATGTCGACATGAATGGTTATTTGAAAGTATATACACGCCTTGGCCATACCATCATTTGGTCTGGTTCATTTCGCCCGACCCAAATGCAAAGAGACCAAAACGAGCTCCGTTCCTCTGGCGCCGCGCCTTGTTCCATGCCTGCACATTGCCATTCGGTGGTTTGACATACAATCCGGTGGGACCTCTGGCCATGCCTGGCGGAGGAGGTGGTAGTGTATAACGCTGTTGCGGTTTTTTCTGTTGCGTTTTTTTCTGAGGGCAATACCGGGTCAGTACCAGTCAGCAAGATCGCCGCTGCGGCCTAACATGGGGCTGGGTAGTACAAACCTTACGATGCCACGGGAAACACATGGCTAGGAATTTCGGACTTGGTATTTTAGTGCGATGATGGTATTTTCATTACATGCGGACTTGCCAAAAACACCAATTGATGAAGACTTGTGAGCATTTCCATGGGACTAAGCTGACAGATGCGGTGACATTTGTCCAAGCTGAGGGGTCGCTGTCTTACACGAGGCAGAGCAGTGCCGTGCCGACCTCCGTGCATTGCCCAAAGGGACGCTGCGCCACCAGTTTGCCAAGGGTTCAGTAGTTAGCGAAGCGGCCGTCGGAGCAGGCCCGGAATCCTTCTCAGCCTTTCAGCCTATTAGAGCTTTGGACACCCACGCGAACCTTCACTGCAGGTTGTACCACCAGCAAAGGGTTACTTTTTTATGCTTATCTGCATGAGGTCTGCAGCTTGGCAGGCCGGGCGAATGGGAGCTGCTTCACTGCAATTTTAACCCTCACGAAAGGGTTCATCGTTCTCGGAGCCTTGACTTTGAAATTGAAATAGTCTTTATGTTTTCAAGTGTTTTACTATGGGATAACAGGGCGACACACGCGGTTTATACCTGGAAATCGGACCCCCCCTGGGCACACACACGCACACACACACACCCACAAGATGGCCCACCTGAAAAGCAGGTCTCATCTGAAACGAGTACATAGCAGCAATGCCATGATGCATGGTGGCGGAGAGGCGAGGCTCCTAGGCATTACTAACCGAACTTGCCAATGCTGTAATTCATCTGAATAGATTTATAGCAGCACTTAGTTTCCAAGGAGCAGAAGTCATTAGCAACGGAAAGACGCAGCATGGCATTATCGACATGTAATCATATAATGCGATATGGTACACGCTAACATCACTAGAATCCATATTTTTGTATTATTCCAAGAATACGCCACACGCGATGATACTCAAGGGAGCCATAGAAGGTGATTACAGAAATTACATCGATAAAGGAGAACATGAATAATTCTACAAAAAATGCAAAAAGAAAGCCAAGATATCTCAGTGTTCTGAGATGCATTGGGAATTGAGCCCAATGCGGGGGTCGAACCCGCAGCCTTGAGATTAAGAGTCTCACGCTCTACCGATTGAGCTAACCGGGCCTAGAGCTTGTTGTTGAGCGTGAGGCTATTATCGTGCATTATTATAGTATTGTGCATCCGCTCGCAAGGCGCCAAGAATTCTTTTAGGCAATATCCAGGCAGAATGGGGTCTAGGCTTGGGCTTCTCATACCACATGGATCATCTGTCGTATCAGAGACTTTGAGAAATCCATTTCTGGTCACCAATAATAAGATGGACATCTTGTTGCCATTGGTTTGGATACCGGACGCTCGTGATGCGTGTTCACAGATTTCTTCAAACTCTACCTGGCAGCTGGTATGCAGTAGGGCTAGTGGCAATGCCGTTGTGTGGCGGATAGCCGGCCCATAGAGCTAACGCTGGTTGCCGTCGCGTCCACTGCCAGCAGATACACACGTGCAAACTCCACTGCCTGGAAACGTATTTATAATGTAAGCTTTCGTGTTTGAACATACATTTTGTCAATTAAATCGCGAGAGCGCGACGAGAATGTCGGAATTCCGCGGGCACTTTTTCAATGGCCTATAGGCAAATGCCGATACGTTAAGACCTACGTCATTATTTTGCAAATTACCCCCCCGGAACAGGTCACTTTCTGTTCAACACTAGATCACGGCTGGAATGAGTGCCTGTGCGTGAAGTGTACGATGGAAATAGCACTAGGTATTCCCAGACTCGGCGCGGCGCCTGTCAGATACCATGGGGATTGGCTAGCAGGACATCTTTCGAGACATGAGAACTAAAACTGTCACACCTTTGCAAAGCTTCTCCCGCTGCATTTGCTCCTAGAACCAATCCGATGCAGGGCATGAAAAAGATGTCGACAATAATTGGACGGTCGCGACCTTTACATATCTGGGGCCTGTCTTGGGGGCAACAACCTAGAAGTAGTACGGAGTATTATGCCCATGCAGCGCACTAGAGTCTAGGTTAGCTACCGCTACCTATACCTACTGCCAGGGGTTGGGACGTGAAACTCAGGTACAGCTGCAGCCATCCGGAGCAAACCTCCCGCAGTATATCTGAAGAAGGGCATTTCAACATCTCGATTACAGATGTCCGCATCATCAAAGGTCAACAATCCCTGAAGCGACTCAATTGAACGCCCGAATAAACCTATCAAAACGTCCCCGTTCCACACACAAGCTCTACCGTTGAAAAGCTTGGCCTCTCTTGGAGCAAACAAATGTGGTCTCGGGGCTTTGCAGCGGTATGTTTTGCGGGGCGGTTTGAAGGCTGCATGGCTTGTGATGGTGTTCTGACATCATGAGTACGTGAGTATAGTCTAATTATGAATCAAAAAAAAAAGGCGCGTCTTTGTCCATTGTTTGTTATGTCGTCAAGATGATTGGATACTCGGCTCAATGCTCGACACTTCTTAAAAAGCTCTCTGTTTCACCTCTGCTGGTCTTACTCTGGTCGCAACTTCCTCTTGACTTGGTATCTCTCCCGAGGCTCTTTAGATAAAAACAAGGCGATTTGTGGAAACAGTAACCAGAGCCTTTCAACCTTTGTAACTTCAAAGTCATCAAATCGATCAATGGCATCGAATGTGATCTCCGCGGCTGTCGAAAAGGTTCAAAACACCATGGCAGGCGAAAAGGGAGCCAAGACGGCCGATATCGAGCGGGATGCTGTCGCCCCGAGCCAGGACACGCGCATTACCACCGAGTACGGAGTCAAGCAAGGCAATACCGACGACTGGCTCAAGGCGACCAACGGCGACACCAGTGGCCCTTCGCTGATTGAGGACCACTTTGCTCGTGAGAAGATCTCCAGGTTCGACCACGAGCGCATTCCCGAGCGTGTTGTTCACGCCAGAGGCGCCGGAGCATTTGGAACTTTCCGCTTGAAAGAGAGCGCCCAAGACGTCACGCTTGCACCGGTCCTCAATGATACGTCCCGAGAGACTCCAGTCTTTATTCGCTTCTCGACTGTGCAGGGCAGCCGAGGAAGCGCCGACACGGTCCGCGATGTTCGTGGATTCGCTGTCAAGTTTTACACCCAAGAGGGAAATTGGGACATTGTTGGCAATAACATCCCGGTATGTCCTGAGTAAAGATACAAAACTCATCAAAGCTGCATGCTGACAAGGTATAGGTCTTCTTCATCCAAGATGCCATCAAATTTCCTGACTTTGTCCACGCCGTAAAGCCAGAGCCACACAACGAGGTGCCCCAGGGACAGTCGGCACACAACAACTTTTGGGACTTTGTCAACCTTCACACCGAGGTCAGTTTTATTCGCCATAAACTCTGCTAGAGCACAGCTAACGATGCTACAGTCTACTCACATGTACATGTGGGCCATGTCTGATCGTGCCATCCCTCGATCGTACCGCATGATGCAAGGGTTCGGCGTTAACACCTTTACTCTCGTCAACAAGAACGGCGAACGCCACTTTTGCAAATTTCATTTCACGCCACACCTTGGTGTTCACTCCTTTGTCTGGGATGAGGCCCTGAAGCTCGCCGGACAAGATCCCGATTTCCACCGCAAGGATCTGGCCGAAGCCATTGACAATGGTGCGTTTCCAAAGTGGGATTTTGGTATTCAGGTCATTCCCGAGTCCAAGGAGCACGACTTCGACTTTGACATTCTTGACGCTACCAAAGTCTGGCCCGAGGATCTGATTCCCGTCCGCAACATTGGAGAACTCGAGCTCAACAGAAATGTCGACGAGTACTTCCCACAAACGGAACAAGTTGCTTTCTGTACAGCACACATGGTTCCTGGCATTGGTCACTCTGATGATCCTCTGCTCCAAGGCCGCAGCTTCAGCTATTTTGATACGCAAATCTCTCGTCTTGGCATCAACTGGCAAGAGTTGCCCATCAACCGGCCAGTCTGCCCGTACATGAACTTCAACCGCGATGGACAGAGCAGACACCGCATCAGCAAGGGAACTGTCAACTACTGGCCGAACCGCTTCGAGGTGAATCCTCCTGCCAAGCCTCAAGAGGGCGCCTACCCCGAGTATCCACAGAAGGTCTCGGGCATCAAGCAGAGGACCCAGGGCAAGAAGTTCAGAGAGCACTTCAATCAGGCACAACTGTTCCTCAACAGTCTGTCGCCACCCGAGAGGGCTCATCTCACTAGCGCTTTTGGTTTCGAACTTGATCATTGCGACGATCCCATTGTATATGAGCGCATGTCTATGCGTTTGGCTGACATTGATCTCGACCTTGCCCAGGAGGTGGCGACAATGGTTGGCGGACCAGTGCCTGAGAAAGCATCGAGACCAAACCATGGCAACAAGGCGCCCAGGATCTCGCAAACCGAGTTCCCGGCAAAGGTCCCAACCATTGCTAGCCGAAGAGTTGCCATCCTTGTTGCTGATGGTTATGACTCAATCGCGCTGAACGGAGTCAAGGCTGCCTTGACAGCATCAAGTGCGCTACCATTCATCATTGGACCCCGACGCGCAGAAATCTTCCCCGCGGGTTCCGACAAGAAGCCTGGCAGCGGTATCAAGGCCGACCACCACTTTGAGGGTATGCGATCAACCATGTTCGATGCTGTCTTTGTCCCTGGTGGTGCCGACTCTATCAAGGCATTGTCTACCAATGGTCGCAGTCTGCACTGGCTTCGTGAGGCTTTTGGTCACCTGAAGGCTGTTGCCGGCAGTGGTGAAGCTGTAGAGCTCTTCAAGATTGCTTTTGGACTACCCAACGTTTCCGTCTCAGAGGACCACCAGGTTGTTGAGTCATATGGTGTTGTCACCATTGCCAATGTGACACCGGAGCATTTCACCGAAACCGTACAGATTGCCAAGGAGGGTACACAGTTCCTTGAAAAGTTTTGGTACCAGATCTCTAACCACCGCAACTGGGACCGTGAGCTGGATGGCTTGAGCTCACAGGTCGCTTACTAAATACTGAGCATTTGAAACAAGTCAGCATCTTATTTTCTTGGCTTTGTTACTCTCAGATATCCTTTAGTCTTTTACCAGATTCTATGCACGGCGATGATTTTGACTGCAAATTTTAATCTTATCTTCAGTTTTTCTATTATTTGGTTACAGTGAACACGTGTGAATCTGCTGGGAGACGTTTACTGAATACTGATTTGCATGTTGATTACTTCTACGTGTGGAGTTACAGTGGCTTGATAGGCAACCCCATAATTTGCACCATGAACATTGTGCTAGAGTCCACTTGAAGCACGTGATGGTTTATGGTATCTCCTTCTAGTGGCTACTACAAATGTAGTATTTCTGCACTCGACAAATCTCATCCGTTCCGATCAACCGACGATATTAATAATGATACTATTGAGTGCAACCGTGGGGCGAGTCGCTTTTGCCTCATGCAACGGTGCCATTCACCAGAGCAGCTTACGTGCTCGTCTCGACCTGCCTCGAATCGAGAAATGATGTTTTTGAAAGTCACGAGGATTGAGTACTGATCACCAGAATGAAATTTAGCGGTCAGTGATTCTGGCGCTTGACGCGTGCTCTTTGGGCATCTGGACCTTGATGGACTACAAGACATATGGAGCATTGCAACAATGAACGAGCTGATTGTAACTCTATCAGTATGGTGCAAGAGATACATATGGTGGCGAACAAGGGGGGAGGGCAAGCTGCCGCTACTCGATTTTGCTTTGTCAATTAGCCCATGTTGGATGACTGTTCCTGATGCCAAGCCGGCAAGGCTAGCAGTCGGGACTATAACGTATATGATCTTCCTGACAGGTGGGCTTGGGCCGGCGGCGCCCAGCCGAACATGACCATATAAAAAAAGGCATCTTCATAATCCTAGAGGGGACGCGTGTCCCAGGTTACCACTGGAGTGTTCTAGTTTGGTGAGCCGCGTCACCACAGGTCCCATGTTTGGTTGTGCGGTTTCCTTATATGATTGCCTTTATCAGGCCGTCGCGGGTGCTCGCGTATCGCGAGGGTGACCGAATCGGGAAGTTGGCCAGGAACCCGACGTGGGGCACCAAAGGGGCCCGAACAAGATCTACGGATGTCGACAGGCAAAGTGCATGTTTCGTCTTTTTTCCTCCCCTGCATGGGACTGCCGGTGACAGCCAATAGCGGAGGGCTAAAATGTTCAACTGCCGTGGGCCAAGCCACTTGCAAGCAGCATGTTTTAAGCTAAAGACTAGACTTTCTTTCAAAATAATCATTTTTGTACACAATTCCATATAGTGATGCCGGTAGACTAACAACTCGGTAGTTGTAGACTATTTTTGGACTTGGCAGAGCCGAGAGGCCAGAAGGGGAAATACCAAAAGGTTTTAAACCCACATGCATGGGGCCAAACCCTGGATCCCTGGTCCCATCTCATTGGCCGTCACATGTTAGTTGCCATAATATAGATACCGGAACACCAGTACAAGAGAGGAATGTGTCTTTGACCAATCTTAGTCAAATTGGTTGAATTCTTTTTGCTTTTTCGCCTCATCGGTGGCCATGCAATGGCACGTTTGGTCCCTTAATCGCGGAACCGATTCAATATCGGTACGACGTGAGAAAACATACGGCCGAGACCCCTGGCGTCGGAGAGCGATGGCGGGAAATCCGAGCAAAGCAGTATATGAGTGGCAGCCTCAGCCGCGGCGAAGCATCTCGGAATTGAAAGAAGTGTCAACCGTTTGAACCATCTTCAATCTCACGGCTCATCATCATGAGGGTAGGACGAGGTCTATCTGCGGTCGCAGCCCTTTCGGGCCTGTCCGTAAGTCTTGCACAAAACTCATCGTCCTCAGCTTCGGTCACCCCTCCTTTATTGGCCGATGGCTACAGTGAGTACATCCAAAACTTCCAAACACATACAACTAGGCGTGTAACTGACCTTTGCATTCAGTTGATCTCGGACCCGCGAGCGATGCCTTTGAAAAGGCAAAGGCTTTCGTCGACAGCCTTACCAACGAGGAAAAGGCCAAGATCATTGTCGGCTCGAGCTTCACTGGCAACGTCTCGTGGACCCCTCTCGCCAGCAAGGATGGAGTTCCTGGTATCAACATGGCTCTCTTTGTGTCCGGCTTCCCCATGCCCAACGCTGCGACCATGACATGGAACCGCGACTTGTTCCAGCAGCAGTTCAAGGCCACTGGTGAGGAGTTCTACGACATGGGTTACAACCTGATCCAGGCCTTTGTCGCTAGTCCCCTCGGCCGTGACCCTTACGGTGGACGTGCCAATGAGGGTTTCTCGCCTGACCCCTACTTGACCGGTATTCTCTTCGGCAAGGGAGTCGAGGGAATGAGCTCTGCTGGTGTTATCCCCGTTGGACGTCACTACCTGCTCAACGAGCAGGAGACCAACAGAATGGGAGGTGGCTACTCCTCCAACGCAGACGACAAGACCATCCAAGAGGTCTACCTTTGGCCCTTTGCCGATGCCGTCAAGGCGGGTCTGATGGCCGTCATGTGCGGCATGAACAGGGTCAACGGCACCCTTGCCTGCGAGAACTCTGACATTTTGAACGGCTACCTCAAGACGGACGCTGGCTTCCCCGGTCTGGTGCTGCCCGATGTTGGGTCCCAGTCGACATCGTACGGCTCTGCCAACTCTGGTCTCGATTTGGGATCCAGCCAGTACTGGAGCCAGACCACCATTCTCGACGGTATCGAGAGCGGCGAGCTATCGCAGGGCCGTCTCGATGACATGGCTATCCGCAACGTCATTGGTTACTACTACGCCGGTCTCGATGCCGGCAGCCAGCCCAAGCAGCCATCGGCGACCGAGATGCGCGACGTGCGTGGCAACCACTCTGACATTATTCGCCAGGTTGCCAACGAGGCCATCATTCTCCTCAAGAATGACAATGAGAATGGTCGTGGTCTACCCCTAAACAAGCCGCGAACCATCTCCCTCTACGGTTCCCGTAAGTTCCCATAGCCTGGTGCTTATTGTCAACTAGGAATTGGATGCTAACTGCCATTTGTTAACAGACGCTGGTCCCTGCATGGCTGGCCCCAACCAGCAGTTCTCGGTTGCCGGTACACCCGCTGACACCTACGCTGGTCATCTCGCAACTGGTGGCGGTTCTGGACAAGCATCTTTCCCCTACCTCTTGACGCCTTTCGAGGTCCTCAACGTGCGTGCCTCTCAAGAGGGCTCCATGCTCTGGTGGATCTTGAACAACACCTACACTGCCCCCGAGTTCTCTGGTAAGTCAGCAATGTTGTATATCTGACAGTTGACAAGGATCTGTACTGACTCCTATGCTTTCAGGCTTCCCCGGAGGCGGCGGCGGCGGCGGCGGCAATGGCTCTTTCCCAGGCGGCGGTGGTGATGGAGGCGGCTTCCCCGGTGGCGGTGGCGGTGGTGGTGACTTCCCCGGCAACGGTACCAACCCATACGGTAATGGATCTTTCCCAGGAGGTGGCGGTGGCGGCGGCGGCGGCGGCGGCGGTTTCCCTGGAGGCGGAGGCGGTGGTTTCGGTTTCGGAGGCACTGGCTCGACCCCCTCGTTTGTTGCCTACTCTGCCAACTCGGAAGTCTGTATCGTCTTTATCAACTCGGCTTCGGGAGAGGGTGCGGATCGCACGGAACTGGCCAACGCGGAGCAGGACCTCATGGTGAGCACGATTGCAGACAACTGCAACAACACGGTCGTGGTGGGCAACTTTGCCGGACCCCGGGTGCTCGATGCCTGGGCCACCCACCCCAACGTCTCGGCCATCCTGTACTCGGGTCTCTTGGGCCAGAACAGTGGACAGGCCATCTCGGACGTGTTGCACGGCGACGTGAACCCCAGCGGCAAACTTACCCACACCATTGCCAAGCAGGCCGAGGACTACCCGACACCGACGTGCATGGAGACCGAGTGCGACTTTGACGAGGGGGTCTTTATCGACTACCGCTGGTTCCAGTCCAACGACGATCTGGTGCGCTACCCCTTCGGCCACGGTCTGAGCTACACAACATTTAGCTACGGCGACGTGACTGTGTCTGTGACGGACCAAGACGCCCTTGACTCGCGCTACTCGACGGGTACCCCGACTCTTGGTGGCTACAGCGACATGTACGACGAGGTGCTGACAGTGAGCACGACGATTGAGAACACGGGCGGCGTCGACGGCTCCGAGGTTGCGCAGCTGTACATCACGTTCCCCGATGAGGCCGAGGAGCCCGCGCGCGTCCTGCGCGGCTTTGAAAAGGTTGCCATCGCCGCCGGTGAGACAGCCGACGTCACCATCAGTGTCCGCCGCCGTGATGTCAGCTACTGGGATACCGTCGCGCAGAAGTGGGCCATTGCCACCGGCGAGTACACTCTCGCTGTTGGCTCGTCGAGCGTCGATATCAGAGGCTCAACGACCTTGACCATTTAGATGTCTTGTACAAATCTTAGTTTTCCTTCGGTACTTATTACCTTTTCTTCCCAATTATAAGTATACATAGCAAAGATGATACCTCGAATACACCCACTTGCATTTACTCCTTGGTTTGAAGTCAAGGTGGCGGAGAACCGAATGTCCGACGCGAGACGTGATGTTCTCGAAAAGCAACACGTTAAGCAGACTTGATAACGCGTCTTGATTAACAGCCTGTTTGGGGCCATTTAATTGACGGCTAGACGCGACGTGTGGCCCGATCTATGATCTCCCGCAACCTTGGGACAAGCGAGTAATTAGGTTGGGTTGGGATATTGCACGTTGAAAAATCTAAACTTTGTGCAAGTTGTGCCGCGCATCCTAATTTGTCCACATTCACGAGATATTTTGATCGTACTGGCAGATTCTGCGCGCAAAGTGACGTAGATTCGTTGGGTACTCAATGTAGTCTGTAGTGCACCATCAGCCGCCGTTGGAGTAAAAGCAATGATCGCCGTGGCCGAATGCGCCTAGCGACGGGCTGCCATGAGGGGGTATTTAGATTGCGATAGCCGTGAAAAGCAGCACCGAAGCTCCAACGTGCAATGTCGGAAATGCTGTACCGGTCATCTGTGAATCCGATTCCCATTTACTTGAGAGAACGGGCAACGCCCCGAGAGAAATCGTACTTTGGTCCCAGAGGCCGTGGGCTGGGCCGTAATTGAGCTCCCTCGTCTCATCTCAACTCTGCTGGCTCGACAGCGGCAAAGTTAAAGTATAAGACTCGTCCATCTCTGTTACGGAAATCGAGTCATGGCCACGACTTGAGGAGCCCCCAAAGTGGTCAAGCACCAAGGCCAAAGAAGTGCATGTGTTCGTTTGCCAAGCGATAGATGATATCAGCCATGGCAGCAATGTATTTTGCGCCTAGGTGCAGAAACAGTGTTGGTGTGAAGCAGCGAATTATAAAGAAAGTTTGCAGTCGCAGGCTTTAACTCTGTTCCTGCAGGGGAATGCAAGCTTATCATGCCCCGATCTGCGCCATCCCCTGAACGATTGCTCTTCTGCGAAGCGCCACCTAATCTCCCTTTACGGCTGCATTCCAACCTTACAACATCCCACGAAGTACCGTACTCCCTAGATTGGAAGTGCTGATCTTTTGAATATGATTTTGAGCTTTCGATGCGGCTTTTTCCCCCATGATATAGAAGGAATCGGCATGACATGGTCAACCAAGACATTGGGTTTCGGTTTGTCTATCCCGTCATAGATTAGCAAGCCCAGTATACCGATAAAATGATGTCGCGCCCCCAACACCCTTTGGGTGCTGTTGTTGCCATAGACCTGTCTCCTGTTTTGCTTCTATCATTCTTGAGGGGGGAACCCATTGCTTACCAAACTCTTTTCCAACCATGCATTTCCAGTCGCTCATTTTCAGTTCGTGCCTTGCAACAGCCATCGCTGTGCATCAACATCATCATGTACATCAGCATCCAGAACGAGATTATCCTCAGGAAACATATACCGTAACGATATCATTGGCATTGGCCACTGCGCCAGCAGCAGCAGTTCCAACAACCAGTTGTTCTTCTTCTTCTTCTACTTCTTTTCTTCCATCTCAACCGAGTGACACTGGCGCTTTGTCACCACATTCAAATTCGAAATGTTCTTACTGGTTGGAAGATGTCCGGCACCAGGGTGTTGCCCCATTCAATTCCAATGCCACCAACTATAGGGTCTTCCGCAACGTGAAAGACTACGGGGCCAAGGGAGATGGTGTTACAGATGACACAATAGCCATCAATTTGGCGATCAGCGACGGTAACAGATGCGCACCAGGCAAGTGCGCCTCGTCGACGACAACACCGGCCCTGGTCTATTTCCCGCCAGGCACATACCTTGTTTCGGATGCCATTGTCGGCTATTACTACACGCAGATTGTCGGCAATCCAAATTGCCTGCCCATCATCAAAGCTAGCCCGCGCTTCTCTGGAGCTTGGATCTTTGACGGAAATAAATACGGCGCCAATGGCCTGGGCTGGGGCTCAACCAATGTCTTCTGGCGTCAGATTCGTAACTTTGTTGTCGACATGACCGATATTCCCGCTTCGAAAGCGGTTTCCGGAGTCCATTGGGCGGTGTCGCAGGCGACATCCCTTCAAAATATTGTCTTCCAAATGTCGGCTGCCACAGGTACACAACACGCAGGCGTGTTCATCGAAGAAGGCTCCGGTGGGTTTGCTACCGACCTGGTATTCCACGGAGGTCTGTACGGAATCAATGTCGGCAATCAGCAATACACCATGCGGAATTTGACGTTTTACAACTCCGTCACTGCCATCAGACAAATCTGGGACTGGGGTTGGACTTACTCCGGCATCGTCATCAATGATTGTCAGATTGGATTGAACTTGACTGACCTCAAGTCTGACGGGTCCCAAGATGTCGGCGCTGTCGTTTTGTATGACAGCGAGATAAACAACACACCTGTCGGCGTTTGGACTGCTCGTACGCGGGGCTCAACACCTCCATCAGGTGGCAGTCTTATCCTTGAGAACGTGAATATCCAGAATGTCGAAGTGGCTGTCCAAGGTTCCCACAATGAGACCATCCTTGCAGGTTCAACACGCCCGACAACTATCACCGCCTGGGGACAGGGCCATGCATACACAGCATCCAAGGGGCCGAGCAATTTCCAGCAGAGTATACCTGCTAATGATAGACCACGGACCTTGAACCAAAGGGGAAGATATTATATCCGCTCCAAGCCTCAATATGAAGACTATCCAGCCGCACAGATTGTCAGCATCCGTGGCGCTGGAGCTGTTGGTGACGGCAAGACTGACGACACAAAAGCCATCAACGCCGCTCTATTGGCTGCAGCTGCCGCCCAAAAAGTCGTCTTCTTTGATGCTGGGTACTACAAAGTCACTGGGACTATATTCGTGCCAGTCGGATCGAAGATTACCGGAGAATCCTACCCCGTCATCTTGTCGAGTGGCAAATATTTCGCAGACATCAACAATCCCCAACCCGTTGTCCAAGTCGGTAATCCAGGCCAAGTTGGCAAGGTCGAGTGGACTGACACAATTGTGAGCACCCAGGGTGCGCAAGCTGGGGCGGTGTTGATACAATGGAATGTTGCCTCTAGGGGAGCACCATCTGGCATGTGGGATGTCCACACGCGCATTGGTGGGTTTGCAGGCTCCAAGCTTCAAGTGGCGGATTGCCCCAAGACGCCAAACACGGTTTTGACTGCAAACAAGCTCAATGAGCAGTGTATTGCGGCATTTCAAAGCGTCCATGTGACCCAGAAGGCCAATGGCGTATACATGGAGAACTGTTGGTTCTGGGTTGCCGACCACGATGTTGAAGACCCTGAGTTGACTCAGATCACTATTTACGCTGGACGAGGTCTGCTCGTTGAAAGCGAGGTGGGCAATGTTTGGCTCATTGGAACGGGTGTTGAGCATCATGTCCTTTATGAATACCAGCTTGTCAAGACGCAGAACGTGGTTATGGGGCAAATCCAAACAGAAACAGCCTACTATCAACCAAACCCGGACGCAACAATTCCGTTCCCGGTTGTCAAGTCACTGAATGACCCAGTCATTGCCAAAGGCCAGGACGGCTGGGGGCTCCGCATTGTCGATAGTAGTGATGTTTTTGTTTACGGCGCAGGGTAAGTGCTTTGGATTCTGGTTGCTTGCCGTCGGGGCTCGCTAACTTGACGACAGGCTGTATTCTTTCTTCAACAACTACAATGTGTCTTGCGCGCAACAAGGTGTAACCGACAAGTGCCAGACTCGGATCGCGAGCATTGAAGACAGCTCCGTTTCAGTGTACAACTTGAACACCATCGGGTCGGCGTCCATGGTGACCGTCGATGGACGTGATATTGCGAGCTGGGCGGACAATAGAAACAACTTTGTGTCAACAATTGCCTGGCTGACGACTTGAAAGGTTGCGTGACTAATTAGAAAGGAAGTAAATGGAAATAATAAAAAAATGAGAAACAAAGAACATTGCGATTAGAACCCAACATCGGGTTATGCGGAAATGCAGTGCATGGGACCGTGATTGAAGTGCTGGGTCTTGGCTTTGGATCTGGTCGTGACGCTGCTGGACGAGCGGTTCTGATGCTTTCTAGTACTTTGATTGCGAACTTCCGATCCCTCAGAAGAAAACTAGGAGGCTGATGTCTCATGACCAGCTGCTTGAATACGCCCGGTGCTGCATCACCAAAAGATTCCAAGACTTCCAAGAATCGCCAATGCTGTCAATGATGCTTCTTTTTGTGCCGGACGATGTGCTGCCCGGACGGCGAGCCCCACAATCAGAGCCGTTACTGCGGCCGCGCACTGAGATGGCGCACTTCTCGATACACGCACAAAGCGCCTTGGGGTCGACGAGAAGAGAGCAAGCACGGTTCCGAGTCCGAGAGCAACCGGCATCGCATGAACGGATCGACAGGTAGCGATGCTTGGATCAACCCCCGCCAAGCGGCCAAGAAGGCCAAGCCGTGCCCAGCTGTTCCATGATCTGCGCCCCCAGGAAAATCTAGTGATCGGCCCACGAGGATTCCGGAACCTCGCCATGTTCCGAGGAAGATCCTAAAGTCGAAGCCAATGAAGTGAATATGCGAAGGGAAAATTCTCCGGTATGACAATGGTTTTTGCATGATATTCTTTTCGCCATCAATGATTATTGAAATGTTTCCTCTTGTTTGGTGGAGGATAAAACGGAATGTTTCGCCGTCAGTGGTCAAGGCTTTTTTTACCTCTTCAGGCGTTTTCTGCACCTGGGTGCCCCAGATTACTGGCCTGGTAGAGGGAGATATCGCGCTACTGGTGCTATTCCAGCAGTAAAAGCGCCGTGTCACAGCGGGAATGCAGCAGAAACTGGAGTTGATCGGCGCTAGGTTCTAGCGCTACGTTTTGTTTCAGCATCATGCCCCTTCTGGGCCTAAGCGGTTGGGTAGTAGTAGGTAACCACTGACCTGATTCCATCCAACCCCATGCTCGATCTCCTGGAGATAGGTCAACATTGCGAACAGACTTGACAGAGCCTCATGGTAACTAGGGGCGGGATGCATCTTTGCCATACTGCCAAGCTCATCGCCAAGATGAATTAAACAGATCTGCCGCAAGGCTTGAAGGCAACACAACCGTGGCTGAGGCCCGCATTCTTTGATGCGATTCGCCTGTGCGACTTGCTCTTGGCAGTTTTGCAAATCGTCTCGAGGTACCCTGAGTCTGATCCAAACACCAGCGAGAACAAACGAGACATGAGGCTGCGAAGACAACAACAGCAGCTGGAACAAACTACAGTCACGATGTTCAGACGATGCAGTCATGGAATTTTTCAAAGGCAGAACCTGCCATGGTAGCTGTAGTCAACTGGTGTATAAGAACAACCACTTTGTCCGTTCCAATACCTTTATTCTTCTCTCATCATCAACAGCTTCAGCATTCAAACAGTCACTACGACTTCTTTTCATCTCTTCCTTCTCTTCTTAATCTTTGCTCACATCTGAGAATAGCCCTGGTGGCCTTTTACAACTACTCTCTTTACTCTATTCTATTCTCTAATTTATATCGATACCCTCTTTATTCAACTCTCTCTCTCTAACTCTTCAAAATGCGTTACTCAATCATCTTCGCTGCTGCCGGCCTCGTTGCCTCCGTCTCCGCCCACGGTGTCGTTACCAAGGTTGTTGGCGCCAACGGTGTAGAGATGCCTGGTCTGTCTGTGGCCGACGGCACTCCCCGTGACTGCTCCAGCAACGGCTGCGGTTCGCAGGCCGACACTTCCATCATCCGTGACCGGGATATCTCCGCCGGTGGCAGCCCTCTGGGCAAGACCCAGGGCAATGGTCCCGTCGATGCTGCCACCATGATCAACAACTTCATGGGCGCTGGCTCCGCCCCCACCAACAACGGCACCGGTGTTGGTGTGGAGGACGACATTCCGGCCAATGTCGGCAGCCAGAAGAACAACAAGGTTGTGAGCGCCAAGTTCCGCAGCCGTCAACTGCTCGCTGGCCTCCTCGGTGGTGGTGGCGGCGGCGCCAACGCCAAGGGCACAAAGTCCACTTCCCCCGCTGAGACCATGGTCAAGGCCACTGCCGGCCAGGGTGCCACCAGCGGTCTTCCTACCGCCTCGGACGACGGTACCGTCGAGCTCCAGTACCGCCAGATCAACCAAGACGGCGCGGGTCCCCTCGAGGCCATGATTGACGGCACTTCGGGCGGTACCGACATGGCCGCCTTCCAGGAGGCCGAGGTGATGCAAAACGTGCCCGGCCTGGTCGCTGGTCTCTCGACTGCCACCAACACCGACTTTGCCGTCAAGGTTGCCATGCCTCAGGGTATGACTTGTGATGCTACCGTTGGCGATGCTCAGAATGTCTGCGTTGTCCGTGTGCGAAACAACACCCCGGCCGGACCCTTTGGTGGCTCAGCTGCCTTTACCCAAACCGCCGCCGCCCGCAAGCGCGCCATTGCCTACCGCCTCAAGAAGCGTGCTGAGGAGGCTGCCGCTCGCAAGTAAATCACAATCGTTGGTCTGTAATCGGGGATTAAAGTCCAGGACTCTGGGAAGTCGGGCATGGTTTGATGAATTTTAGGGTGCTTAGATGCTTGATGATCACATATATATTTACATTTTCAACTGGCTTGATTGGGTCGCATGTGTCTTCTTAGACTAAATAGAAGGTTCGTTGTATCTAATTAGAGCCTTCATACATTCTTTATCGTATACCGTCTTGACCAATGCATGAATACATGTGAACTCGTTTGAATGTAGCTTACTGTTTCTCAAGCCCAAGTCGCTTTTTGAATTGAAATATGGATCATACTTGACCTCCTCCGTTGCTCCCACGCCGACATGAAATGGATTGCAAATCTAGGAGTCATGGGAGCTTGCAGTCTGCACAGCGATAAGTAGTTCGAGGATTTCTTCATGTCTACGGAATCACAACTCTACACCATGCGCTCTTCAAAGTTCCCATTAATCATCACTTCAGTGGTGCTACGCTAGTGATGCTGATGTAGTATTTCATGTCTTAATATCGATTAATCTTTCCTGGCATATTTCATAATCTCCCTTTCTATGATCCACAAACTGTCCAAGTCTTGATTCTCCTGCATCAGCCTTGTAGCCCTGAGCTTGTACTTGGGGTCGGCCAAGACCTTGTCCACTGCGGCCGAGATGGCCTCGGAGGTCGGCATCTGCGTCCGGAGGTTGACGGCGAACCCGGCCCACTCGGCTCGGGCCGTGACCTCGACCTTGTCCTCGCTCATACCGGCGACCACCATGGGCACGCCGTTGATGACGCCGTGCATCATGCCGCCGTAGCCTCCGTTACTGACAAAGACATCGGCGTGCTCGAGGGCGGCGTCGTAGGGCAAAAAGTCCACCGTCCTCACGTTGGCAGGCACGTTGAGGTCAGCAGGCAGCACCGCATCCTTTACGCCCAGGATTGCAATGACTATAATGTCGTCTCGGCCGGCAAACGCCTTAATTGTCGGGATGATCACCTCGTTGTAGTCCGTGGCAATGGTGCCCTGGGCCACGGGGATAACCTTCTTCCGTTTGGGGTCGTCGGCGGCCAGCGTGCTGTTTTCTACAATCTCGTTCCACCAGCATGGGTATTCAAAGTTTGGGTCAATGCCTCTCTTGGGCAGTGCACCAGCAAAACGGATGCTGGGGTGGAGGTCGGAGCGTGGATACTCCAGACTCGGGCTGCACATTTGAAAAGTGGTGTCAAACGAGCTGACCCACGAGTCAAACATGAAGCAATCTGGCATCTTGGTACAGCCGAGGTCCTTTAGAATCTGAAGATATTCGTCTTGCAGGGGCTTGAATGGGCCTTGATGATAGAACATGTCGTTCATCAGCCTGTTCCTAGCCCGGCCAGACTCTGTCGAATCGGGGACGAGACCGGGCCCAAAAGGCGCAACGTCCTCACTGCTTGATATGAGGGGAACAACATTTATGTCGATAATTTTTGGAAATTGGCTGTAGCCCTTGGGAAGGGGTGCCCCAAGAGTGAATGGGACGAGAGCCACTACAACAACACGTGTTAGCAATTGCCTATTCGGGGAGTTAAATGAGTTTGAAGGATCTCTTTTGAGCAGTTTGTCTGAGTCTTCTCTCTTGCAGCACCAATTTGGGTAATGATTTCTCAGAAGACAACCCAGAGAAGGGGAGAAATTACAACGGAAGTTGCTTACTGCACACGGTCTCGGCGACAATCACAACGTCGCGGTCGGGCTCGCGCTCGCGCACCATTTCCAGTAGAGAGCGCATATTGTCGCTGCGTGGACCGATTGACGCCATGAACAAGCTCCTCATATCATATAGGAGCTTTGGAAGGCCCGGCAGGTGTGCATCTCGACCCTCGAGACTACCGGGTGGAAAAAATGGCGTGGTCTCCCAATACTCGGCTCCAATCTTTTCCACACTGGGTCTCAACTCTGGTGCCGTCATGAAGATGACTTCAAAGCCGCGCTTGATCATCTCACGACCGATGTGCAGTGCCGGGGCAGAATGGCCCATTATGGGACCAGCTGACATGACCAGCAGAGGCTTCCTTTTGTCATTTGCCATGATAGGAACAGCCGTCTCTCTCCCAGTGTGGTCGACCGTCATGGTGGGCAATGGTTTTGCGAGAAGGACTGTAATGAATGATAATCGATGAAGAACTAGATCAGTTGCTTGAATGAAGCACGCACGTCTGCCATTAAATACAAATACGTACTGCCGCCCCTGAGTAATGCCTATGAATTATGTATATGAATTATGCGTAGAGCCTAGACGATGGTGTTAGTTAGTGTCAAGCCATGATGCAAGGGTATGGATCCGGCGGCCGTCTACTCTGTATATAGGACGATATACTAGCCGGGTACTTGGTATGTCGCTACTAACTCAAATGTACCACTCTTCTTCTTGCATGGCAATCGGCGTGGCAGCATTGCGGCTTATACCAGAGACCATGAAATGAGTGGAGTATAACACCATCTTGCCGAAAGTGTCGGGGAATCGTAGCATATAGTGAATCGATATCTAGTGTAATGACACGGTCGTTGCGCGTTCATCGCTACAGTAATAACCATCTGTGCAACGAAGATGTTGCATCTGGGCTGAAGCCATCTCCACCCGAGTCTGAATGCACAGGAGGGCCTTTGCTTAGAAGTAGGAGGAAGAATGCTGAAAGTATCTCACAGCGCCAGGTCAAAGTGCCGCCTCCAGTTCTGATCTGCAATGTCCCAATCCATAAACAAACAATGAGGGCTGGCTGGCAAGCACTCTAGCCTTAAAGTTTCAATGGTGTAAACCAGTCTCAGATCCCTGGTGATCAATCGTTTAAACCGAGAGGCTCGAGAGGATACCCGGCTTGACTGGTGCCAACAACTTGATCTTTTTTAGTGCTCATCAACAAGCGTTGGTCGCGAGAAGATAACGCTAATGTGCCTGGCAAAGAACGACCAATACATGGAGATTCACGATATGTCAGCACTTGAGATTTGGGCGTCGACAGATGGCGAGGAAGATCAGCTGGATTCCCATGCATGGTTCGCCTATAAAATAGTATGTATTTGACCATGTTCTATAACCAGAAATGAGGTGGGTGTTATAATTGAAGTATATACCTACCTTAATACTTACTAGGTAGTAGGTATTGAGGTCAGATCCTTATGCCTGCCAAGTCCTAGAGCCGCTTCTTGAGTCAACTTCGGCTACCCAGTAAACCGGCAAGCTAGCGGCCGCACCCCCTGCCTGTAGCGTCTATTTCAGCCCATTCTTGGTTCCCCGCATGCGATTGACGGCGATTGGGGTCTATTTCCTTTGGATCTGCACCTTGTCCTGGTGAGCTCCTCAGTCCTGGGATTGCTAATTGAATCCTTGTGATTGTATTTATTCCAGATATATCTCAAGCCTTCAATTCCCCTAGTTTTGGTTCTATTCTTGGTTTTACTCAAGATAGCTGCTCCCAAATCAGTCGATATGTATCCTGAAAAGATGTAGTTGTAGGCTGTCTGGACCCCACAAGCAAGCATCGAGCTGTAGACAAAATCCTACGGCATGTTCAAGTTGACTATTGTTGACGTGGTATTCTTTCGGGATTCTTTTGGCTTATAAAAGCCAATTATTAGCTACTCATCAACTCAACTCTGTTGTCAATAAAGGATGAGCTCTCCATCACCCTTGTCGAATCGGGAATCGTTCGGTCGTAGTTTAGGTTGTTTTTGTATCTGAACACACCCCGTCTTGGTCCCCGACGGCCCATAGCAGAAATTTGGATGAATGGTCCTGCCTGGATTGGAACTTCGAATGACGAAGATGACTGACTAGTCGGGAAAATCCGTTGACTCGCATTATTTGGCGCTCCTAGATGTTTTGCTCCCTCACGTAAGCACTTAGTTGATGACCTTGCGAGACCAAGGGAAGTTATAGTAAGTGACGCCAAATGCGATATAAAACTAGTCAAGTGCTGTCCACTCCCAATTCAATCTATATATCTGGTCTTGGATATCACTGAAAAGACTCAATGGCTATGAATACGGATAATCCATCTGACAGACGATGAGCCATGGATTCCCTTTACAGCCACCCATAGTAGACCTGTAGTTAAGTGGCGAATCCCATCTTTGTACGGAAAGCGACATTATTTTACGACCTGAGGAATGACTAAACGTCAGTTGTTTGCCATACATAGTACCGGCTGTCTAAGCCACTTTCCATGTTGTCATGGCCATCCGGCCATCATTTCCTTTCCGAGGCTGCCTGGTCATATGCTCACTAGCACGTTTACGAGACCGTTGAATTCCTTGCTGAATGTGCGGAGGATACTGAATACAGCCGAATGAGGAATGTAGCATGTAAAGCGATATTACAAAGTGTGTCGAGTCATGTAGCGAAATAAGTGCGCTACATGAGATGTAGAAAATAGTTGCTCTAGCCAGGCAGATTCTCAACATGGCCAATCCACAGTTGGAAATATGGATCCAAACAGCGCATCGTAAGTTGGTGAGCTCATGAGCTCCCATGACAAATACAACGTCCATCAATGTAAGCGCATAGTTGACAATTACAAAACGCTGCATTGCAACACATTGGGGCCCGAGGAATACGAGATTGCAGCTCGATCCAACGCTCGGGTTGTATTGCCAAGACCGCTACCAAATTTACAGGGATTCATGCGGGATCGCAATAGAGTTGCCGGCCGAGGGATAACTTGCATCTGCCGGGACGGCTGTAAGCGAATTTTGTCGATATGCTTAAACGTACGGTCATCAGTCCATAGTAGTATGGGGGAAAGTTTGATATTTTCGCTACTTGATGGCAGACTTCTGAGAATTCGCGGACATCATTAGCAAAAAGACTGGAATTTGCGCATGTCGAAAATGGATTTTACGATGCTGATCTGCCATGCTGATGGCCCAATTGAGGTCATCATCCCTGCAAAGGTGCTGCTAACGTCGTAGCGCGTTGATTATTGTTACGGAAGGTAGTCAATTCTGCCAACTCTAAATGTTGGAGCATTTCTGGGGAAGAATCCTCAATTCTCTCAGGCAATTGCAACCCCAAGATGCTTGATAACGCCTCGGCTGAATGGCGTCGGGCGGAAGATATGGAATCATACGACGTCAGAATCTGTTCTCACAGACAAATAGGTTTATAAAAGCCGTCTTCCTCCGGCTTTAGGCTGACTTGCATCTCTCAAGTTTCCATCCCTCAAAACAACTCTTCATCATTCTTCTTAAACACTCGCAAACATGGCAATGAAGATCGCCCTATCCATCTTGTCACTCTTGCCCGCCGCCCTTGCCACCACTTGCGTGGCAGAGTCTGGCTGCGCCGGCTGTGGCCAAGTCGCCAGCGCCTCGTTCGTCCAGGACGGCAGCGACCTGGTGGCCGACGCTCCTGGCTGGGGAACCTTGACCTTGTCTGGCTCCACCATTGAGCTTGAGAACGTGTCTGGTAGCGTCTTGACGATTTGCAATTATGGCACCGTCTGCTACTACATCTCGGAACACAGTTCTTGCACTGTCGGCAAGCCTGATTCATTCAATACCGGCCTAGGAATTCAGGTCTGGCAGCACCCATAAATGGTAATCTACACAAAGCTGGTAAGTAAAAGCTCAGTAGTTTCTGTGACTCCTGGGGTTGAAATTGACGATTTAAATAGCATGATCACTTCACCTCTCAACAGTAGAGGCTGAAGGGCCCCGGTGCATTCAAGCTCATCCTAGAAAGAATGGCAGCTATGATATTCGACAAGTCATGCTAGGCGAGCAGGCTGCATGTACTACAGGTTGGCTGGGTCACATATTTGTTCTGTATCAGTTGTCTAGCATTTGTTAAACATCATATTCTATCGTATATCACAGAAACCAATCATTGATTCACCGAAAGTCATGACATCTCGACACCCAGCAGTGTTCGTGACAACTGTTTTCTAGATTCCTCCTTCCTGACTCTCCTCATTCTTCTTCTCAACAGTGAGGCTTTTCGCTTTCAACCAATATACTAGACCTCCAAGCATCATAGCGGTGAGCGGTATCGTAATGACAAAATAGAGCCATATCGACGGAGAAAGCGATATTAGGGAGTCGCCGTAATTGAAAAAGCTCATGCTCATGAATGTCTACCACCGATTAGGATTTACTTGATCATGACTGAATACAGGCACACAACACAGCATGTTGCTTAGAGGCCTACCTACCGCTACAAATGTCGCTGGGAAGAAAATTGCTGTGACTATGGCAATAGTCTTCATTGCTGTGCTGTCAGATTTGGAGGCTCTTGCTATTTTGGAAGTTGTCAGGTTGAAATACTGCATGAAATAACATGATTAGTTGGAAATCGTCCTTCTCTCAAAAATTGAAGCGAACTCCAGAAAATTGGCATACCAAGGTCTGAACATTGCTCAGCCGTTTGACCAATTCATCTCTGCTTCTCATCTGTATACCGAACTCTTGTCGAAGGGTGGCTAGATCCTCTATCGTGCTCACACCGCTTATGCTTTGTACTTCTCCTTGGTTTGTTGCTTCGGTCCACCAGAAGTTATAGAGAAAGTCCAGGGTTTGGCATATCGACTGCAAGCTCTCGATCTCTTCGTGGAGAAATTTGAGTCGAAGATGGATGGAGCGGATGTTGATGGCAGTCTCGTGCCTGTCGTCGGATAGCTCAGAATGGATTTTCTTCTCCTGGTCGTGGGCAAATGCGTTGAGGAAGCCGAGTCCTTCACGCCACAAGCCTAGAGCCATTCCAACATAGGCCACTTGCGGCCCAAGGTGCCACTGACACCCATTCTCGGCTCGGTCGCCAGCTGCACTCATTCGTGGAGGCACTTTGAACTTTTTCATGAGGGCTTCGTAATCACGTGTAGGTCGTCCGTGTAAGCTGCCACGTTGCCAATTATACCTGAGAAACACCATGACAAGCGATGTTTGAGGTGTTCCGATTACATAGCGGCTGTAAATAGCGGAAGAGGCAAGGGAGAAATTGCCCTCACCCTTGACTGTGATAGAGACAGGTACAGTATACCAGATGTCTTGAAAATGCAAGTTAACATTGATGCAGATATCACATGCATAGGATTGACTTACCGATAACTCGACCTTGGAGCCCATTACCAAGTCCATGCCCCCACTGTCGACAACCCAAGGCTGTTTTAGTCGTCCATAAACTTGGTAAGAAGGGAACGTGCATGCTAAACCCGGAGAACATCTTGTCGCAACAGTCCGATGAGATTTCAAATGTTTCCTTGTCATTGTCCTCTTGATCGGTGGTCCCTCCAAGAAGACTAGGCACAATTGTATACTGGTTTTAGAACGATGTCGTAAAGTTGAATGACAGTCAGGCGCCTCTTCATGGGAACTTACACGGGAAATTGTCTCGTTATTCCGCTGCCATTTTCCTGGTACGGCGCAAAATTCCATCTGGCTAGAAGCTCGTCAACAGTGAGCATCAGGGCGGTCGCGGCCATTTCTGGCGGCTCCTGACCCAACCTTCCCGATGATCGATTGTCCCGCTCTGAAGTTGGTTGGAAAACCTTCACTTGTGAGCCGGAAGAAAAGATGCTTGTTTCGAAAATGTCTTCAGCATTAGTTATGTGATCGAGTATCGATGTTGGAAGTGAAACATTCAAGGCCTCAGAAGCTCTGAATGATCTACTGCCGCCCGGCGTCGATGATGTTAAGGGGTTGAGTTGTGGTTTTACATTCGACGCATCTGCACTCATTTCCGAATGTATTCTTTGGGTAGACATCCCTACTAGCTGTTTCCCTATCTCCTAAACTAATGACGCGACTCAGGGATGAGAAACAAGAAAGGAGAAGATGGCAGCTTTTGGACAGTTGCTTTATTCCAGCTATGCGCTGATAGACCAGAATGGATGACTCTTTACCTGAGGTGTAGGAGATAATTACAGAGGGATCGTCAACTTTGTGCAGAGACGATGCGAGTCCAAGGCTGAGCGGGGAAGCGCAGCTGAACACGTCAAGTCGATGCTGGGACTCGCCGTGCTTATGCAACATCATTATGTCACGTGTCACCAGTTTCCTGCTTTTCGTAAATGAAATGTATATAGGTACCAAATCCCGTCGTTTTGGATTTTAGAGCAAATACCTTCTTGACCAAGGACCCCCGCCATTTTTATTATTGATTTGATCGGCCCCTCGGCTGTATTTATGCATAATCCCAACTTCAACATATGATCCTTACTTTTGAAAGGCCATATAGTGACTGTCTGGCTGATAGAAAGGATATGCCACCACACAGTATCAAGCCTATATACAGGCATGCCAGCCCACGAGTTCCCACAGTCTCGAGCATTTGGCTGCTGAGTGGTGTTGCAACAAGCAAGGCAAAGCTCACGACGAAATACATTGTTCCTACTAGAGTCAGTTTTGTCCATCAATTGGGTTAAAATTGGAAAATCTACCAAAGTATCGCCCATAATCGTCGGCATGGCAGATTTTGCCCATACACACTGGCGTCAATGATATGAATGATCCGCTACCGAATCCCCAAATTGCTGAGAATGCATAGATGGCGGCCAATGAAGATGACCCGAATGGCACCAAGATGATGGCGGTGAAAATTGCTGTGAACAGAACCATGCAGAGAAGCATATTGAAAGGTCCAAATTTGTCGCCCGCGAGACCAGGAATCAAGCGCCCTATGCAAGATGTCCCATTTGCAATGGCAAGCAGCACGAAACCGGTATCGGAAGAAAAGTTCGCTTTGATGGCATAGGTAGGCAGCAGCGAAAACATGCCGAATACCGCAAACTCGAGGGCCGAGAGGCCAATAGTCACAAATACGAATGACCCACTAGTAAACACTGTAAAGTTGAGAGCAGCACCCGAGTATCTGGTGCTAGATCGTCGTCTCGGGGGTAGCGCACGCAAACACATGACGCCTCCGATTAATGCTGATGCAACCATGAATGCGACGGCCCTCATGGACCATGCCCAGCCGACCTTGGGTAGCAGCGAGCGTAGCATTAATGGCATGACGACGCCTCCGATGCTTGACCCGCTCAGTGCGCAGCCCATTGCGATTCCTCGTCGACGTATGAAGCGATTGCCAATGACTCCCACACCGACCACGGAGATGATCCCAGCGCCAACACCACCAAGTACACCGAGGGTCAGCATGAAATGCCAGTACGCTTCGCATTGTGCGAGCAAGAAGAATACCGGGATGTAGAGGGCACATCCTAGGGGCGCCAGGAAACCGTCGCCAAAAGTATCGAAGACGGGGCCAATCTGAATGCCAAGAAAAAGAGCCAGAGACGTAAAGACTCCAGCAATCCAACCAATATCTCGAGAGGTATAAGTCGATAACTGATGAATTTCAAGGTACGCCTGGACTGTGCCCAATGTTTGCATAAAACCTTGGGGTTTTCGGTTAGAGCTCAAATTTTTACACAAGTCCTCATCTTTTCATGCTAATTACTTGCCATAGGTTGAGAATAAGAGCAGGAAAGAACCAAAAACAGCGCAAAAAGATTCTTTATTCAAGCTTTCGTCATCTTTTTGCAAGGTTTCGGGTGCGATTTCGAGGCATTCAAGTGTTGAAGATGGAGGTAAATGGTCTGATCGAATTGGTTCGAATGCGTCCGGGCTCAGCCCGTTACCGATGCGATGGTGCAGTTGCTCATTTCTTAACGATGTGATCACTTCTTGATGATCCATACTTGCGAATGTCATGGGCACGCAATAGCCTCAAGGTACGAGAGGTTCTGACATTCTGAAAGAAGTCCTGCACTCACTCAATTCTTGAAGAATTCGAGGCCGAGTTCGGCTCAGTTTCCGAATACCCCGCCCTATACAAAGTATAATAGGACAAAACTTAATAGTCGGCTCACCCGAGGCGGGGATCTCTTATCTCGCATTGTTTAGCGCAAAAGGTTTCACGCCCTTTCAAAAACATTGCGCCCTCGGAACTAATTACAAGATACACTAATCTTAAAAGCAATACATCATTTCAAATGTACATGAACCCAATGGGATACGATAATAAATGAGAAATAATGCATTTGCTCAGTAGTATATGAGCAGCAAGGTCTTCTTGAACACTATGACCAACCTCGGTGATTTGGTCACTCATTAGCGGTGTTCACTAAACATTATTAGCAAACCACAATGGCAGAGAGGTTCCACATCCACTATTGAACTGAGAAAACCAGCTGTATATATTCCATCCCTTCCTAGTCATGAGAAGGAAAACCAAGTCAAATACAAAGTGGTACAATACTCATTAATAAAGATATCGTGGACAACAACCAAAGAGGCGTTCCCAATAGTCTCTTTACCCCAACAAGTCATCGCACGATGGATTACACATTCTTCAGAATAATCCAAAATGATCCAGACATCATGTCTCTGGCTCATCGATATAAGACTCTTCGCTTGCAGGGCCTGCAACAATCACCTAGTGCCTTTTCTTCAACACACGAAATAGAGTCTCAATTCTCAGACGGCTTCTGGGCGTCTCGACTACAGGCAAAAGGCAGAGAGACCTTCATCTGTGCCACTCAATCGGGAGACTGGGTGGTACAAGTCACGTTGCGAGGTCCGCTATCCGTGGAGGATTACCGTTTACCGCCAGCAGCAGGACAGCCGGATGTGCTCCCCTCCGATATTGAAGAGAAGTGGCAAATGTTGAGCTTGTATACGCTGCCAGACTATCGGGGTAAAAGCCTTGGCAAGCGATTGTGTCGAGCAGCCTTTGCATATCTTGTGTCGCTCGAACGAGCACAGTCTAAAGTGCGGGTGCGCATCATGGTCAAGCCAGAGAACACGGCGACGCTTCACCTCTACAAATCTCTTGGCTTTGAAGATGCGGGGAGGTGCACGTTGGAGGAGGCGTTGAGAGCCAATGGGGATTCTGAACTTTTGCCCCATGGGGACTTGCCGGAGAAATATACGACTAGGACTGGGCTGATCATGGATCTCAGTCTGAATCGTGAGCCGCTCAGTTCAGTAGAAGGCTCATATTCGCCTGTGTCCTCGAAGAAAGTTTGTAGCTAGATGAACACTCGGAACACAGGAAAAAAGCCAATAAGTCTAGAATAATACAGTACGGCTCGAAGATGGTGTGCAACGGTATCTCTTTTTCTCTCAGTCAAGCCCATCTTGATATTTATTCTCGACAATTTTGGTTGGAGGGCCTATTTGAAACCTGAACACATTCTCTGGTTCAAAGACCAGACTCAGAATCACAACGCGATTGGGACGCTTAAGACAGGCGGTTGGGGCCTTGCGAAGCAAAACTTCGTCGAGACCGCGATGCGCAGCAACAGGACCACCACCGAATAATGGGGAACAAGAAGATATGAACCACCTGAAGAGATTGCTACCAGTGACACGAACCTCCCCGTCTCACATCAACACGGAAAGAAGAGGAGGTCCCGTCTGTATGACATGTGGTCATTTGGCTGCATCATACTGGAGTTTCTCATCTGGCTCATCTATGGCCCTGACCAGCTCAATCGATTCAACAGTGATCTAGGTAGCACGGAACATACCCGATTCTATCTGATCAAGCCCGCCCCTGGCGGGGGAAGAATGGCTACAGTGCATGGTATTGTTGAAAGTTGGATGGATCAAATGGCCAAGGATACAATATGTCGTCCCAGAACAACTGCCCTCGGCAATTTGCTTGATCTAGTGAGAACACGACTCCTCGTGGTAAAGTTATCAGAGCGACTGGGGACATTAACGGGCCTACCTGAAGCTGGGAGCCCGCTGGGAAGAGCCGACAGCCACAGACCCATGCCTTCAGGCTCTGAACTACCCTCTGAAGTGGCTGTGTCTCCATCGCATCCCGGTATTCCTACGATTGTAGAACCCACACAGAAACTCGATAACGACTACTTCAAGTCAGCCTTGCACCCGGTAGTATCGTCTAATTTGGAGCGTGCCAGTGCTGATACAGTGATGAACTTCATGCTGATCAATTCAGGTGATGATGAAACGGATGCATACTGGTGCTTGCGCCAGCCTGATCAGCCCGCAGGCCCTGATGTTTGTGGTGTCCTCCAGAGAATCCGAAGTGTTCCTGCTCAAAGCATCCTCATCGAACGAGTGAATTTCTACTTTGTTATCCATCCAAAGCCTGGAATCGCTTCACAATACCAGTGATATGAAAGCTTCTAATACATGCTTTCAAGGTTGTACGTACATCACGCCACAATCTCACCCTAGGACATGAAGTTCATAGTACTAATGTTCTCGCTCAAGGGGAAGGATGCAAGTACTGATGCACAGGGAGTACGTATTTTCTGATCGTTGCCTACTGCCTCGGAAAGCATTCTTGCTCTCTAACTTGAATCGACCCAGATCGATGACCACTAAAGCTACATAGTCGACAATGAGTTTGCAAAAGCTGTGGTTTCTACGATAGAATCCAGCTCGTCCCCATTCCCCCAAGTCTCTGTGACTCCGAAGTTGTGCACGGAGTGCCAAAGTTTACGCGACCACATATTCAAGCGCACGCACGTCGAGTCATACAACTGGGACATACTCCAGAAAAATGCCGCGACGAAAAATTGTGATCTGTGCATCATGCTCCATAAGGCATGGGAGTCTGAACCTATCACCAAGGTGATCAGAGTCGAGAGATACGAATCATTTATTCAGATCAATGGACAAGAGCAGATGCTATCAATCTATGGAAGTCCTGGTAAGTGTCAAGAATCAGGCATACAGCATCTGAGCTCCCGAGTTCTACGTAGGTGTTATCGCGGCCTGACTATACAGCTTTGAAAAACGAGATCGACCAGAGTATCCAGATTGGCTATCCAAGTCTGAGTGCCCCAAATAGCGATGCATACTTTGAGATCCTCAGACAATGGCTCACCCACTGCGACAAAAACCATGGATGTGTGTGCCCGAAGCCGAAATCATCCGGGAGCTCGACTGCGCTGCATCCCTTGCCGACCCGAGTGATAGAGGTGGGAAAGACGGGAGATGAGAGAGCCCGTCTACATGAAACCAGTCCTAATGACAAGGGCGATTGGATTGCTCTATCCCATCAATGGGGAACTGGCAAAAGGTTTAGGACCATGACAGAAAATTTTGAGAGCCATATCAATGGTATAAGCTGTGCGTCACTTCCAGCAACGTTTCACGATGCTGTCAAGGTGACTAGAGCGCTAGGATGTCCGTACCTATGGATTGACTTGATATGCATTGTGCAAGAAGGAAGTCGTAGCGACTTTCACGTCGAGGCGAAGAACATGGAGCAAGTCTTTAGTGGTGCGTACTGCGTTCTGGCGTCAAGTCGTGATCCTGGGCATGATGCCGGATTCTTGCAAGCTCGAACCCCAAAAGCAACATTGTCGCTGCAGAAAACAGGACAAACAGCGCCATTATACATCACCGAACCGATTGGCGACTTTCATGGTAATGTTCTGGAAGGTTCCTTGAACCAAAGAGGTTGGGTTCTGCAAGAACACGCGTTGGCGCGACGGACGATATACTTCACACATCATCAAACGTATTTCGAGTGCGGAGATGGTGTTCGTTACGAAACAATGACAAGGTTGACAAGCTTGACAAGGTTTGTATCCAACGTTTCACAAATCGACTGAAAACTAATGACAATCTCTGCTAGCAACCTTGCAGAAGTCCTGGGAGATCCAGACTTCTCCTAAATCATTCGGGAAGCCAACCAAGGGGAGAAAATACTTCGCTATCAGGGTCTGTACAGTAGTTATTCTCTACTAGGTCTTTCAAATCCTACAGATAGACCCTTGGCTATCGGCAGCTTGCACAACCGAATCCAACAAGGTCTGCCTGCTGACGGTGGATACGGCGTTTTTTATGAGGGACGTAGGAGTGGCAATCGAGCTGGGCTTCTGAGAAGGAGCCTGCTTTGGCGCCGTCATAGGAACGTACCTACGATGTCAAGAATTGAATTCCCGCCGGGCCAGATCGTTCCTTCGTGGTCGCGGATGGCTCTTGGCGGTGGAATTGACTATATCGGACCACCTTTCGGGCGCGTGGTATGGAACAAGTTGAGATCGCCATGGTCTTCAGATCTGGAGGGCAGCGCCGATGATCTTCAGACAAAGGACTCAAGCAACGACAATTCCCTGGTTAGCGAAGCTCGCGATTATGGTGCAAGCATCGCCGGGCAGGGAAAGGGGGAGATCATTTTCGATATTCCCGGTGATGCCGCATCGTTGCACACCAAATGTGTGGTTCTTGGCGTCAGCCATGGCCGGTTTCCAGAACTGAAAGTAAGGGACAGGACGCATTATCTGTTAGTTGTAAGCGCAACAACGAGGTCAAGCCTAAGCTGTATTCCGATTTATGAACGCGTTGGAGCGGGGTTCTTGCCCGGAAAATGTATTGGGGGCGGGAACATCATGGTCACGATTCATTAGGATGCCTGGCGCAAAATCTTTGAGAAGAGTACTAGCCTATTCAACATAGTGTCTTGTATTCAATCAGGTGAAGTGGGTCATTAACGATTGATACGGCGGCTTCTTACCTTTTACTTTTCGAGATATCTCCATCTAAATGACATTATCGAATTAGCCACAATGGTGACAGTCTTCATCAGATCCAAGCGCCCAACTATGTCCCCAACTAAATATTGTAAAGTCGGAAGACTTTTGAACGACGCAATGCCACTATTTAGAATAGTCATGTTATACTTGGTGGTTAAGTGCCCGCCTATGCTCTGGGTCTAAGAAGCTGAAGCTGGCATGGGATCGCAACGCTAATGCAGGTAAAATCATACCACCTGTTGGCAAGCCTGTGATTTATTGTAAATCTAGATCACAACGTGGGGAAGTGGTGATGATTTTAATAGTAGTATCTTGTTTCTCTTCATACTCACTTACTCTATCACAAGCATGAGCGCCAATATGCAAGTCTGGGGCGCCGACCTCTTCCTCATGGTATGATTTATTCAGCTGCTACTATCGGGAGCTCCACCTGAATGTTGATGATTCTGCTCACAGGAGAATTGGGAGGAGGCATCGGCATTGACCGACGATGACCAACTGGATCGGATATTCTCATCTTTCATCCAGCTACCCTTTTCTCAGCGCCATGTGGGTGATACCAGAAAAGCATGACTTTGGAAAATATGCTGATTGTAGACGATGTCTGCTAGGTCTACACACAGCGCGCAAAAGATCAGGGCCTGACCAGACCCACAGACCTTTCTCCGGCAGACCAGGACCTAGTCAGCCGGCTTCGAACGCCGGAAGAACGGCAAATTGTTGACATGATCTGGTTGCGCACTTGCTACGATGTCGGCACCGATGCAGCTTTTGCGGCATTCATGCAAGCGAGACCGGACGAGACGGAGTTGTACATCTTCCAAGACCCCAGTCGCTACAACTATGGCGGCGGTGATGGCTGGCGGCGCATCTTTACCCGACTTCCGCAGATCCTGGATCCTTATAGGCGCTCGTCAAACGACTATGAGGCCAGGAAACAAAAGGCGCTCGAGAAGTGCATCGAGGCAGAGCGACAGGACATCCAGGAGGTAGAAGATCAGGGCGGCGACCCGGAGGAGGACGGTACCTACTGGCCGGAGCTGTATTCGGACTATCACTACAAAGCCAAGGTCGGTATGGTCCTCGTAGTAGATGAGGAGACAATGCGCGCTGCTGCTCAAGATCCCAAGTCAGCCAAGGTTCTAGCAGTCTGGTTTGACGAGATGGGCCGCGTGATCAGACATACGCGTATGACTGCCCAAGAGACTTGGAACGTGGAAGGGTTGGAAATGACCATGGGAGGAGCTCTCCAGGAACATGGCGAGTGGACACGTGCTGAACCCGGCGAGGATTACGACTGGGACGGTCCATCAGGGCCGCCGTTCGATCCAGAAGAGGAAGAGTAAGCTGGCGTTAAGGAGGGTGGCAATGGAGTTAACTTGTGCTTGCTGCTTCCCTCGTGCCTGGAACCTTTATTTCTTCGACGATCGAGCAGATTTATGCCTACGCTGGTGCGAGTCAAGCGCGTACCTCGGTTTGACTATTCCTAGAGAACGGGATCAAATATCCAGACTTTTTGACGAAGGATAACCGGGGAAAAATGAGCAATGCGGCCATGTTCAAGCCAGAACGTCCATCCTTAACATCGCCATCAAAACCATGCCCCGGGCGCATATTGGCCATGGCGATGAATTCATTTCGAACCGCTTAGAGACCATTACTTGGATCGGTGACGGCTAGCAGATTCATGATGGTATACATATATATATAAATCTCTTTTAGTATGTTTTGATGTTATGATTGCGTAGCCCCAAAACAAAGCTGTTTGTCCTTACTCGAATTGGTTCTCTCCCACATATACACACCTTTCTGATGGGTAATTCGCTGACGATGGAATTCAAGCTAGACTCGACCCAGCGAATAAGGACTTTTGCCGGCAAGATGTTCATGGTTCAAAAGATAGACATATCATGTGGAACCACCCAGACCAGCAGGTCCACTCCTTATCACTGGAATCAGCGCTTAACATCTATCGGAACTGAGGAAGACAACATGATTCTCAAAACATCAACACAAACTGGCATGAATGACCTCTTTTAGTCAGCGCCGTGAAAAATTGGGCTTGATTTCAAAATGACCAAAAATCTGGAGCAAAGAGTCACGACATTGCTTGCATTTAGTCACGTAATCTCGCAAAACTGTGTCTGCCCGAGCCAAAGTGTTCTAGAATACACATACCAGAAGCCTCATCTGGCTGCAGGCATCAAGAACAAGGCATGACACGTGTTTTTCAACACTTCGCATGGATCATTACACAACTAGCCTATTCTATTGATGTTGAATAATTTCGAGGCTCTTCGCCGAAAAAAGAAAATTGCCACAGCACATTATTAAGTCGGAGTTAAGGTAGAGGTGGATAGAATACATCCCTACAGTCGATTACACATCTCCGATGGCCTGTCGTCTTGCAATATTAGTAAAGAGCATCGCGATTGTACTTCCGAGCAGACCGTGCCGTATACTTGGCATTGAATATCGTAAGAAGTACAAAGACGACCCAGTCGTACACGTGTATTGGACACTGGAGGGAAGGGATATCCATCGTTAAGGAGTTTGCTGGCTGGTGCCCCAATTCTAGGCTGTAGAGTCTCTGGTACCGAAAAGTGCCGCGTGGCGACGCAGGAGAAACGATGCCGAGCAGAGAGTCGTGACCAATCGTTCCTGATTGCGTGATAGTTGAGGAATCATGCCAAACTATGTATGAGCAATGAAACGAAACGATCGACTGCGAAAGTACTGTCGATCCAGGACAGGAATCAAGGGATAGTTTAATCCATCCTACTTCTCAAAGTACCAGAGGATATCTTGTTTTCTTGTAACCCAGAACCTGCTCAGGCTTCCACATTTGGTGCCCGAAGGTACAGTCTCTCCGACCACGGAAATGTCACGATATGCTCCAGCCTGGTGTTGCAGGAGAGTCATGCCGGCTTTGCGGAGCCCGCAGCATATCCACAGTTGTGCTCCGTTCGTGCTCCGATAGTCCCGGATATTATATTTGGGAGAACGCCACCCACGTCTGCAAGATATGTCGTGATCATGGGGAAGATGGAAGAAGGAGATGTCTAATAGTGAACTCGGGTCTATTCCGCTGAGTTGGCAGTGGACAAGTGTCAAGCACGTACGTTTGGGGCTACACTCGGTGACAAGACTTCAGATTCCAAAGAGGCATTACAATCACGCCATCGCGCCATGAGTCTCGACCCCAGGGTCCAAGACCACAATAATAACTTGCTATATAAGGGCCGGCCGGCCGGCATGATTGGATGGTGTGCTTGACACTAGTGAGTGATGGTGGCTTTCTCCAGAATCGAGATTGGATAGGCCTCCTCTACTGCCCTTATACCCCATAGAAGTTTCCAACTACCGACATATTCTCCATAGAACGAACGTTGAAGCTGATGTGGATGTGGACGTGTTGGAAGCAAGGCAAACACTTCTCTAGAATGATGACTTGGCTCTTGGTGCGAATTAGAAGCCAACTTGACACGCTGATGATAGCCTTTTGTGAGTGGTATTTTTCTCAAGTGAACACATACTACGGCCAATACCAGCCAGGAGTACAGAACACAGAGTACACTGCTACTTTTGCCATCTACATTTCGCTTCATGACGGCAGCGGCAGTCGGAGACCGAGATGTTGGCCATGAGGCTCAAAAACCAGCCGGCCGAGTCCCAAATTGAGGACAAGCAAACGTGCTCCGAGTGTTTTGTCATACGTTACTCAATAGGAAGTTGGAACAAAAGGATGGTCAATCACGAGTGAAATTTGGTAAATCTCATCAGATCCGGGAGCGCTGAGTGGAGGCGCGGGCTCGTCAGGCAAGTCAGGGCCTGGGCTGCTGGCTCGGCGCTGGGGCCATTGGGGGCCCCTGCTGCAAGACGAAATCGTAGGCGCAATCACGCAATCGCCATGGGTTTAGCAGAGAAAATTGCAGTCGCTCGGTCTGCCGGTGCGGCTGAGAATGTTTAGCCGCGCGATACCCGCTTGAGCTGACGGCTATCGGTGGGGCCGCGCCATCTTGCAGTCTGCTGTCGTCTTTTTTGGTTATCCTTGACCAAATCCAGGTACGAAAATGCAAAGAAATGGCAGACGTACAGCTAGAGGAATACTCAATCAAAAATCAAGATGATGCAAAAATCATGATTAAAATATTAAAGTGGAATCATGAGTCGGGACCACTTCTGGACACGGGCAGAATATAGACTATGAGAATGCAAAGTGGGCGCCGTGTGTGCTGTCAAGCCTAAAGTATACCACAAGTAGTGCATTTATTCTACACTGCAGTACCTTACTGTAGAACAGCTTAAAGCCTTTAACGTCTGGTGGGCTGGTGGGTGTGCAGAAGCGGTGAAAGCACCAATTAAACAACAGTGGTGTTCCTCTTCAAGCCCCATACGTACTATGGTACAAATGGCACGGTAGGGACCGTAGCGGCGTAGCGAGGGTAGGGCTCACTGAAAATGGTCAATCTGGGGTACAGGATAGTCGACAAGGGCAACAGCACCCCCTTCTGGCCTTTTGTTACCCTTCAGGTCTGATTCTGTACCGGCAGACCGGTAGGCGCAAAGGCTGACCGACAACCGCCGCCAATGGCCATGGCCGAGGCCAGGGGTTTCCATTGGCTGTGACGAGCTCCAGCTGAGGGATAACGCAATCGGCGCCGTCTCTCGCGTTGGCAGGGGGTCTCCCGCCGCAGAGGGCCCATGGCATGACTGATGGGATGCCGCTTTCGCCATCAGACGACGAGTTTTGCTCAGCGTTCAATGGTGCAACAGAGAAAAGCGAAAAGACGAGAGAGACAATTCAACATTCCTTCAATCCACTCCCAAAGGAGAAGCTGATAGAAATATCATTCCTCTCCTGCTGCTCGAGTTACATTCTTCTGTTCAGTCAGCCGTGATTCAAGCCGAGAAAGAGAAAAAACTTGCACCATTATTACATATCATTATTAAGGTTGCTACATCTCTTGTTGAAGACGGTTATTGTTCCATCCTCCTTCTCTGGATCTCCTCTGCTCCAGTCTGCCGTCATTTCCAAGGTTATCACACCAAACTAGGCCGCCCGAAAGCCATCAATTTCCGCCCGCCTTTATTAGCCAACAAATCTGCACCTATTTCACCTACCTTACCTAACCTTCAAGGTTCTGTTCTTACGACTTGCAGAACAAGCACGTACAGTACCAACCAGCCAGCGCATCACCAAGGCAATCAACCCTGCTGGACCACTCGCTTGGCGGTTTTTTCTTGCTTCTCCTCAAGTGTCGGTCAGCCTGCAGGGTCGACTCATATCTCTTGCGACATTTGACCTCCAAATTGAGACAGACACCAACCAAACTGTCCCATCACTAGGTACCAACCGCCTAAAGACGACAAAGAAAAGAGGTCCTGGTCCTGGTCCTGTACCAAATTCGACAGACAAGACAGACACCCTGCAAGTTCTCAAACCTTTTGGCGCATCTACCGAGTTCTTTTGAGCACATTGCGCAACCGGCCCTGCGATATTGCGTCTTACAGTTGAGCGTTTCGGCGGTCAAAAGCATCTCTGGTTGAGTCTATCCTTCACTGATTCGACTTTGCCGATCCTTCCAAACCTTGGGGCCGCTTTTCGCTTTGTTGGCGTTCTTGTCCTGCGGTACTTAGGTTGCCCATACCCTTGCCTGCATATCACAAGTACCGCGGACCACGATCCTCCTGTCTAAACTCACATATCAATCAGCCAATCTATCGAGCACGCCATAGCAGCTTGTCTGACCTCAACTCCTTCCACGCAGCGCTCCCTGGCCAGTGCCATGACCGCAGCGCCTGTACAACACGCCTAGTGTCCTATCCTGTCCGCTGCTGCTGCAAACCAGGCTGTGGCTTGAGTCTATCATTTCGCCATTTCTTACCTCTGCTACGACATGGCATATCTCACCAACTCTCCGGGCCACCAGCCCCTAAACCAAGACGACAGTGCTGCATCAAGGCCCAGTGCGCCTCTTGCTGCCCTGAAGAATCACCGTCGCAACTCTTCACTCACGCTCACTCACCACAACCTTCCCTCGCCAAGCTCAACTGCCTCCTTTCCCCTCCACGATACAGACGACAGCAGCCCGCCCACGAGGGACAACTGCGATAGAAGGCGGCCTGATGAGGACGACTGCTCACGTCTGCCCAACATGTCACAGCAGCTTGTCGGTCAGGCTGTCACACCTTTCCTGAGGGAACACATTCCTGGGCTCTACGCACCCATTGGCAAGCCCAACTTCCCGGCCAACGTCGACTACTCAGCCAGCTCGGCCGATCCCAACAGCAAATTCTGCTACCGCCACCGACCTGACTCGAAATGTCGTCGCGCCGCCGATGAATCAAAGATGGGCGCCATCCAAAGTCAACTCGAGAGATTACCACAGGCCGATCAACAGGCCATCACCCATGTCTGGTCCCTCTTCTCTGCTGCTCCGGCAAAACACCGAGAGCTCATGCTGCAGGGTGTTATTACGCAGTGTTGCTTTCCCCAGCTGTCCATGGTGTCGCGCGAACTATCGGAATCACTCAAGATCGACTTCCTGTCCGCCCTCCCGACCGAGATTTCTCTCAAAGTTCTTCGTTTCCTCGACTGTGTCTCATTATGCAAGGCCTCCCAGGTCAGCCACCGTTGGCGGGGTCTGGCCGACGACGATCTGGTCTGGCAGCACCTCTGCATGCAACACATTGAACGCAAGTGCACTGCATGCGGCTGGGCACTACCAAGGCTGGAGACGAAGAGATTGAAGGACTGGAAGAAGCAACATCAGCTCGCCGTTGCGCGCATTCGGCAAACAGAAGTCGTTGAACTTCCAAACACAGATACCACTACTGACGCGAATCGCATGACTTTGACTACCAGGAAGCGCGGGAACTCCACTTTTGATAGCACCGAGGTCTCCGGCTCCAAGCGACAGTGTAGTGAACCTATTCGAAATTCGGTGGAGCGCCAATGTCGACCCTGGAAGGATGTGTACAGGGATCGTTTTAGGATCGGCGTCAACTGGAGGTTTGGCCGATGCTCTATCAAGACCTTCCGAGGCCAACACACCAATGGCATCACTTGTCTGCAGTTCGATGATAACATCCTCGCGACTGGATCATACGACTCCACTATCAAGTTGTGGCAGATGGATACCGGCGAAGTCATCAACACCTTGAGGGGTCATACCATGGGCATCAGAGCGCTCCAGTTCGACGACCGAGTCCTAGTGAGTGGTAGCTTGGACGGGACCGTGAAGATCTGGAACCGACGAACAGGTGTATGCATTAACACTCTTCGACACAACGGAGGTGTCATCACCGTTCACATGGATGGCGACTTACTGGCGTCTGGCTCTATGGACAAGACCATCAAGGTCTTCAACTTCAAGACTCAGCAGATTGTCTGCCTCCGTGGCCACACCGACTGGGTCAACCAGGTAAAGATTGATGTCGCAAGCCGCACTCTTTTGTCGGCTTCAGATGATTGTACGGTCCGCCTATGGTGTCTTGACACTCAGCGTTGCCTCAAGGTCTACGATGGCCATATTGGACAAGTTCAACAGGTGATGGCACTTCCCGATGACTATGAATTCGAGGAAGAGGGCGTCCGTGAAGCCGACAATGCGTCTGTGGCAAGTAACCGCAGCAGCTCGCCTGCCCTGAATTCTTCGGATGCCACTCTTACGCCACCACCCGATGAGGAAAGATCGGCATATGGTCAAGAGTTTGTCGACGACAGCGGTCGCGCACTTCCTCCACGATACATGCTCACGGCCTCATTGGATGCGACCTTGAGACTTTGGGACACGGCTTCCGGTCGCTGCTTGAGAACGTTCTTCGGCCACGTCGAAGGAATCTGGGGATTAGTTGGAGACTCGCTGCGATACGTGACTGGCGCCAACGATGCGACAGTCAAGGTGTGGGATCCTCGTACCGGAAAGTGTGAGCGTACCTTTACCGGACACGAAGGTCCTGTAACCTGTGTCGGACTTAGCGACTGCAGAATGGCAAGTGGTGGAGAGGATGGAGAAGTGCGACTTTACCGGTTCGATTGCGATCCCTCCGAGGCCGCCGCGTGCGGAACGCCGGCATAGGCCATCGGCATTTGATTTCCATCATGGCGCAAAGGTTTTTATTTTTTTCTGAGATTATAGCACGGCGCAAGAGATACCACTTCATTTAGACAGGCTGGTCATTCTTGCATTGGGAAGCGCTTCCCTTGGCACCGACTCGAGATTGAGTCCATGGCTGATGTATCATTTCTGTACGAGTATTCCCTATTGGAGGGAAACTCTTGGAGGCGTTCATGGGAGGGAAATATTCAAGGAGTTTGGGAACGGTCATTTGCCGCGAAATCTAGCATAGGTTGGTTGGCAAAACGGAAGAGAAAACAACCAAAAATTTCAATTGACTCATGACTCCTCATCCGACTTTGCTCGATTGTCGTTGATTTTACCTCGTACATGCCATTTGCAACTGCCAAACTGGTCAAAGGTTGAAAGACCGATGGCCGATCGCACGTGATTCGGGGCGTGTCCCCGGTGTTCTTGGGTGAGTTCTGTTGCATACATAGATGCCTTATCAACCGGAACTATTGCCCGTTTGGAGCGATTCCGGTTCCGCATGCGGCGATCGCCACGGGGAAGGTTGATAAGGACCGTGATCATGGAGAAGATTGGATATCTTTGACCTCTAATCCTATACAGTCAAATTAGAACATTTCCAGTTGGCGAATATAGCAACGTATTCTAACGCTTCAAGGATTATTGGTGACACGACGTCATTGGGGCAGACGTTGCCGCGAGCTGTATCGTGTTTTGATTATCCTGTGTTACTTTTCTGTTTGACTTATCGCTGATAAAGCAGTCGGCGGGGGAGAAAAGTATTGACATGTAAAAGACAGCATGAGGGACCTGATGTTAATTGCAATGATACCCACAAGAATGAATAGCATGGTCAAGGTCTTGCAGGTTATGGATTGCAAATTACAGTTCGGTAGCTTTGGTAATCAAGCGAAGGGCGCGCGCAGTCACCAAGTCCAGGCTGACCAGCTATCAAATATGGAGATACACTCCCCAAGTATCTGATCTAGAATAACGGAAAGATAAAACACGTCCTGGAAAAGAGTCATTGGTACATGAAAAAAGTATTGATAGGGAAAGTCACCGCGAAAGTTTCAAGAACTTGTATCTGATGCGCGAAGTAGTACCAATTGGTAATGCATAATGGAATGGATTCGTAGGCTCAATGAATAAACTTCCGGCATCGCTACATTAGTGCACCCAGGACGGAGTCACACCGCGTCCATAAGTTTTGGAGTGCGAATATAGACATCATCGATTGCAACGTTCCACGAAACAGAGTATATACCCCTTCATCCTTATCAAATTATTTTCAACGAGAGAGACAGCGCAGAAAACAATAAATAGCATCATGTCTGTCACCATCCGCCCCGTCACCAAGGAGGACGAGCCCAAGTGGCGCGAGCACTGGGCAGCATACAATGACTTTTACCAGCGCACCATCCCGGAAGAAGTGACGGCAACGACATTTGCCCGGTTCCTAGACGATTCGGTGCCCATGTACTGCGCAGTAGCCGTGTCCCCTCCTTCTTCTACGACTTCTACAGACGGCACGATGCCGCCGACGCTGGTGGGATTCGCCACGTGGTTCCCGCACATGTCGACGGCGAGCATTGCGCCCAAGGTCTATCTAAACGACCTGTTTGTGGACCCGGGGGTCCGGAGCGGCGGCGTCGGGGGCAGGCTGATTGACCATGTGGTGGACCACGCCCGCGGCGTGCTGGGTGCCGACTCCATCTACTGGCTCACCCAGCACTTTAATCATGCTGCCCAGCTGCTATACGTCAAGAAGGCGACCAAGAGTGACTTTGTGCACTATACCAAGAAGCTGTAAAGGGGTTGTGCTTTTGTCAATCATGGCCTGGCTATACATGTTGGAAGCCAGGCTCGGCGGATATGCCAATAGCTTGCTATACTTGGACTTCTTTGCCGGTCGGGATGGGCCTCTGCCAATAATTATATTCGGACAGAGGCTTCTGCGCACATGGTTTGGTGTTATACTTGTGTGCACTGGTTCAGCACTTGAGTCATATGAATCAAAGACCGACTAAGGAATATAATGTGAATCATATCGTTTCTATAATCATACCCGGGGACCTAGGTATGACCTCATATCACATGTAAAACTACGAAAGCCATGTACCAAGTACTGTAGTAGACGACTCGCTTGAAGCCAGCTGACTCAGAAACCCAAGACGTACTATTAGCGGAATTGAATAACACAAAAAAACAAGACAGCGTCTTGGGGATTATGAAGAAAAGGGGGGGTGTTCGTTCCGCCCCGGCAATCGTTTCATGAGCAATTCTCGATTAACCTGGGCAATTCATTTGAGGCTGGCCGAGTAATCAGAGCAAAGACCCGATAGTTTCCGGTCTCGTGGCCCGAAAAGACCCTTGGGCCTGGGCTGAAAATGCACGTGGCAGCTAGGTGGAGAGGAGGGGGAGCGGAGGGTTTTTGGGGGGGAAACAATGAATAAAAAGAGCTTGCCAAACCAGCCAAGGAACCCTTTTGGAGGGGCGGGCTTTCAGATTCGGCGCTAGTCCCCGCAAAATCACAAGCTCGGCTGCTGGTCGGTAATTTCTCTTTGTGCTGCTGATGGATCTCACTGATCTCTGGGGGAGGGACTGGAGGGCGAGGCAGAGATTGGAGAGAGGGCGGAAAGAAACCGGGGTTGGCTCTCATCCACTAAGAAAAGAGACCCACGACGTCACGCCTTCAAAAAGTGGTAGCACGGGCCCGGCTGTCACAGGCCGAGGATATAGACGGAATCCCAAAGTCCAAGCAAAAAAAAGCTCCACGAGAAATCAAAGAAAAAATCATGCTACCGACAAACGCGGCAGTCAGCAGGTATCAATTAACTAGCCCGAGCAAACAACTCAGACATTATGATCACGGCTTTCTACTCTCACTGGCAAGAGATTATGAGGGTGCAATGAAAGGTCAAAGTCAGTATTCCAAGACATGAGCCAAGCTCTTGGTTCCTCTCCCCCCATATGTATGAAGGAGCTCCGGTACGCCGAAGAAGCTGCGCGTGTGTCATCCCGGTAGTGCGGGCGCGCGGCCAAAGGTAGAATTGGCATGCACTTGACCTGGTAGAGAGCCCATAGCAAACTACTACCTGTACTATGGTACCTACAAAGGGGGAACCACAAGCTTGACCCACGCGAAGCCGCGGGTGTACTGTTCAAAGTCTACGCACTTGTTTTTTTTGTTACCCTACGTTCTTTTTGCTAAGGAAATCCGATCCCAATGCCTCACTCTTTTCCCTACCTACACTCACCCCCCTCCAATTGACTCACCAGACATTCGTCTTCTTTACCGCCGGCCCGGGCCTGGGCTGTGGTTGTGTCGTACCCTCCCCATCCTCATCCCTACCCTGCTGGAACTTATATACTCGGAATCTCTAGTCATGTTGTCCAGCAAAAGTAGTTTATAGTTTTGGGTTTCCGTCTAAAATATAACATATTCCTTCCCAGTCCTGTCCACTACTCTTTTTTTTCTTTTCCTCTTCTTGCCGGGCTAGTGTACTCGACTCTTTCATACCTGCTGCTCCCAAACCACACAACCCATATCCCTCGGCTCTTTCCTATCGTGGTCTGCTGGTTGTTGAACCGGAAAGGGCATTGCCATCGTTTTGGACTCGTAGAAACGACACTCGTGTTTTTCTCAGCTTTTTCGGTTTTTCTCAAAAAAAACTATACCCATATCAAACATTAGACCGGCTGGTTTCCTCTCCCGATTTATATCGTTTTTATTTGTTTTTCGGCTATACGTTCGAACCGAGACCCGTACGCGCAAACGATCGCGGCATCTTGAGCTCCGCATAGCGCCCATATATATACATATACATACTGCCGATTCTATTTCTGGACATATTACAGCATCATATAGAAAAGCATAGGGTGCCAACCCGTTTCCAACGTTACGCCAAGACACCCACAATGGCGACCAAGGTGAATGAGAATGGCAAAAAGCCTACCTCGGCGGCGACCAACTTGGTCGGTAAGCATGACACCAGTCCAGTTCCTATCCGAGCAAAGAAGAACCGCGATCACTGACATGTATTATTCACTTGGCAGCTGGCGGAGGAGCAGGCATGATGGAAGCGCTTGTATGCCATCCTCTCGGTATGTATATTCCCTGAATGTTGGCACAGTTTCCCAACACTTGTATACCGCGCCGTTGGAAGAAATTCATGGACTAATATCAATCTTATTTCCCAACGTTTACAGACACGATAAAAGTCCGTATGCAGCTTTCCCGCCGCGCACGGCAACCAGGCGCACCGAAACGAGGCTTCATCAAGACCGGCGCCGAGATCGTGAAGCGCGAGACACCGCTAGGTCTCTACAAGGGGTTAGGCGCGGTGCTCACGGGAATCGTGCCCAAGATGGCGATCCGGTTCACATCGTTTGAGGCGTACAAGCAAATGCTAGCAGACAACAACGGCATCGTCTCGGGCAAGGCGACCTTTCTGGCGGGTCTGGCGGCGGGTGTCACCGAGGCCGTGGCCGTCGTCACCCCCATGGAGGTCATCAAGATTCGGCTGCAGGCGCAACACCACAGCATGGCCGACCCGCTCGACATACCAAAGTATCGCAACGCCGCGCATGCCCTCTACACGGTGGTCAAGGAGGAAGGCGCCGGCGCCCTGTACCGCGGTGTTTCTCTGACCGCCCTGCGTCAGGGCAGTAACCAGGCCGTCAACTTTACCGCTTACACATACTTCAAGGAGGCCCTAAGGCGCTACCAGCCCCAGTACGATGGCGGAAACCTGCCTGGCTGGCAAACAACCGTCATCGGTCTTGTCAGTGGTGCCATGGGTCCTCTGAGCAATGCCCCCATTGATACCATCAAGACGAGACTGCAAAAAATGCCAGCAGAACCCGGTGTCAGCGCCATGCAAAGAATCACCAAGATTGCCGGAGAAATGTTCAAGTAAGTTTTGACCACCTGAATGCGAAACGTTGGAGAAATCGATTGGAAAATATGCGGCTCAATAGCAGGGATGCTGACAACCTTTTCCCATAGGCAAGAAGGCTTCCACGCATTCTACAAAGGCATTACACCCAGAATCATGCGTGTCGCCCCTGGCCAGGCCGTGACATTTACCGTATATGAATACCTCAAGGACAAGTTGGAGCGAAGCGGGCCCAGCAAGTTCTTCGGCGGCAAATACGAGGAGTAGGAATCCCGGACCCCTATTGAGCCTGTGGGCATTCTGTAAAATTTCCATTATTGACGATACCAAAAGGGTGACGGCGCAAAAGGCATTGGCCTGAGTTGGCTTAGGGGTTGGGGGTTGGGAGCTGGAGGTTTTTGGGGAATCGTTTGAAAGCATCAGCACTGCGCTCGGATATCTATCATGCAGCATCTCGGTCATTGCCTGCCCCAGGCAGATCTTTTATTGATTATTGGTTTTATTTGTCTGTATCGTGCAGCGGATTTTTTCTTCTTCTTTTTTTTCGTGGCCCATTGCTTGTGAATGTCTAATAATTTGTACCTTTGGGCGATCATCGGCCAGGTCTCTTGGGGCGTCTAAAGGCGGTCCTGACTTCGGCCTGTGGGTGCAAGTCGTCCAAGACGGACTTTTCTGTGATCTCGCTCGGCTCTTCGACCTCGAATTTCTTCTCCACCTTTAGACCGCACTCGTTCTCGGCCGCCGTGATGACAGCACGTTTCATAAGTGGGTACATCATTCGGAACTTGATACTCTTGCCTGCTGCAGCTGGGCACGTGTAGAAGAAGAGGACGGGACTCTGCTCCTCACCGGCGTGTGTGTGCGTAAACCTCCAAAAGGTGAAACGAGGTTCCTTGTCATCGATGCTGCTGGCGAGTTCATCCACCGACGAGGGGGTCGAGCTGTTGGGCAGCAGCTCGACGATCTCACTGGCTGGGTTGATCTTGAGGGTGACAATGCCCGATCCCTCACCGCGGGCCATCTCACTCAGGGCGGCGACCGCGTTTGCATCGACGGGCATGTTCATGGTCTTGCTCAGATGGATCTCGCGCACGCCGGTACCGCGGCCCTCCTCGGCCTCAGCCCGCTTGACCTCGCCTAGGGTGCGCTCCTCCTCAGTCAGCGGCGCGGCGAGCTCCGTGTGCTTGTCGTGCCGCTTGAAGCCCTCGGGGGTCAGCTCTTCGGCCATCGTGGCAAAAATGGTCTCGGCAAAGTGCTCGCTGCCCAGCTCGCGCACCAGCGTCAGACGCGTCGACGCAAACAGCATCTTTTGCCGCACCTTGGCAACGTCGGGCACGTAGCTGACGGCGATCAGACCCGGCGGGCTCGGGGACCGGCGCAGCAGGGCATAGAGGGCTTCATCGGGCTTCAGGTGCGGCGAGAGCGTCGAGAGGTTGGCCGAGAAATCGGTGCCCTTGGAGGGCAGGGTCGTGACGGGCACGAGCTGCTCGCCCTGAATCGTTACGAGCAGACCGAAAATCGAGGTGTCGGAAAGCAGGTTGTTGAACTGGCTGATAAGCTCTTGCGAAGCTATTATGATACATTTGACAGATTAGCAATCAATCAAGGCACACGTGAGACACAAAGAGAACAGGAAGGTTGGGTGAAGCAAATGAACAAGGTATTACCTGCAATTCCGGACTGCATCTTGGCGGTGTTCTGACCGCTTCGCTTTGGGTAGTTGTCCTCTCGACTTTTCAGGAGTGCCGAGTACGAAGCTTGCAGCTTTATATAGTATTCAATTGTCGTATTTCCTTGGACAGCTCAATAGGCAGTAATTTGGCTGCCTTGCTTATGGTCTGGGAATGATGTGATGTCTGAGTTCTGTGTTTGTAAGGGGAAAGCTGTAACCTAGGAGATGATGCCATGCTTATTAGCATCAATACAGGGAGACAACATGGGTCGTAGCGCTTGACCCCGCCATCCTTCATGGGCCACGGTGAGCGACTGCCCCTCCTTTCTACTGCTAACCAACCCCACATGCACACCAATCCTCTCTTATTACACCGCTGAGACCAGTACACGTGTATTTGTATTTTACAGTATGCAGCTATAACAGCCATAGAATTCATCATGCATGTTCCTGCTTACTCGTGTTGAAGATGGAGTGAAGCCCCTCTGTTTTGAATTGAATCATAACTACCTACATACACATCAATGTTGACTTGAATATTAGACCACTCATGACAAGCACAAAATAAACTCCACATTGTTACTTTTCAATACGCTATATACACTATGAAACTTTTCTTTGGTCGGGTACCTGAAAGTTTAAACTCAAAAAGCTATTTGACCAAGGCAAGCTTATACACAAGTCCAGCTCTCTGCCAAGTCAATGTCGCCCGTCCCAGAATACTCCAGTTGAAGGGGGAATCTGCAAAGGTTGCGAGTGAGGCCATTGCCCGCGGCCGGGAGTGTATCCGGCGCCGTGCCGTTTTCGACCCACGCCACCAGTACGTCAAAAGGGTCAGACGGGGTCGCGCCGTAGCCTCCGCCGCAGTGTTCCACGCCGGGTGCCATGAAGAGCCGGTAAAACTCGTCAACCTTGTCCGGCCCGCCCAGCGTGTCCTGGACGTCGATGCGGTACTGCACGGTGCCGTTGCCGCCGATCAGGGAGTCGGCAAAGCCATGCCAGGAGAGGAGCTTGCCGCCGGCCTCTTGGAAAGGCGTCAGGTCGGGATCGCTAGTGCCGATGCGGTAATGCCACTCCTCCACAGACAGGTTGAAGATTTGAGGAAACGTTTCGTAGGTAATCGTTGACAGGTCAAAATCGGGTTGATGCAGGACAAAGGCTCTGACCCAGGCCGAGATGAGGTTGACTGGCGTTGTTCCGGCGATCGTAGCCAACGAGCTGCCCAAAGGTAGGCCCGAGAACAGCTTGTTTCCCTCCGTGCCCACGGGTCCATGTGCGATGCTGTTAAAGATCTTGGCCTGCCGCTCCGTGATCGTGGTAGAGTTGCCGCTGCAGTTGACAGCCTGGCCGACCAAAGAGTTGGCATCAAAGCCACAAGTATTGGGATTCACAATGAGTCCATCTTCAGCACCATCATCAATGTCACAGAGCTCAATTGCCGCATTCGTCAGGGCTGTAAAGATGCACTGCGGGACGAATTCGCCCTCGACATTCTGCACCACATACGGCCACAGCTCGGCGGGCTGGAAGCGGTCATAGTTGATAGCCGGAGAGGCGGCATAGACACCTTGGTAGTCGGTTGGGTACCGCTGAACCTCCATATGTCCTTGACGTCCACCAGTCGAGCAGCCGTTCCAGTACGAGTAGTCTGGCGCCTTGCCATAGAACTGCTCGACGAGTGCCTTGCCTACAACCGTCATCTCGTGGACAGAGAGGTAGGCAAAGTTATTGACCAGCTGCGTGTTGTTTGCCCAGTCTGACCCATCCGCCGAATTTGGTAGGCCAGCATTGGTCGTACCGGCCGCATACCCGCTGGCAACGGGCGCAATGAGAGCGCTGGAGCTGCCGCCAGCTACGACACCGCCACCGCCAGTCCCCTGGTACCGACCATTCCAAGAGACTGGCAGCCACGTCAGGATGAGTACATTGTCCGACGAGTTGCCATGCGTCAGGTAGACTTCGACGGCGCAGTATCCGGAAGCCGCTGTCGCGTTGACCGAGGTGGCGTTGATGGAGGTCGTGACGGCGCCCTCGACCTCTGGTGCGACCAGGGACTCACAGTCGATGAGGGGTGCAGAGTATGTCCTTTGCACTCCCTTCACCACAGTTGCAGCGGAGAGGACGAGGGGGATGATTGACTTCATTGTAGCGACTCTGCCTCTTCATCTTCCAAGATCCACATGATTGTGAATAGAGGCAACTCGATAGATATACTTGTTCATTTTACACGGAGCTTGTAAACAAGGCACGATACAAAAAGCAAGCCGACGAGATTTGCCGCAAAGAAATTACCACGGCAAAGACGCGCGCACCCATGGTCACACGTGTGACGCTCTCGATGACCATGCTTGTCATGTAGTATTTGGGGAAAGATCGTCAAGAGGAGAAGGGTACAGGGTTCCCCAGACCTTCCCCGTATCAATTATACATAGTAGGACCAGACCGTCGAGAACAGCGCCTGTGGTTTCTCCGCGCGGGGAGAAAAGCCCCTTGTAGCGGTGGGTACACAAACATCCATGGGCTAGTCCGAGTCGGGCATGTGCATTGTGGTCATATCGGACCAAACCCGCCGCGAGCTTGAACAAGTAGTATCAGCGACAAATACAGACCGGGATTCCGGTGTGCTTGATGCCTGCAAAGCAGTGTATTTGCCTCGGTAGAAGCCGGCGAATATTTACGGCAAATCATATATACATATGGCGCCAGATCTTTTACGCGTAAAAGAAACAAGAAAAGAGAGCTCGTGGCAATGATAGAATGAAAGGCAGATGTGTAAGTCGCAAGGGAACCGACTACTGGGGCGACGTATACGTATGTGTATGATACGATACATCCCTGCCAACCTAGAAGATTGCCAAGGCGTTTGGCGGCGATCCAACCAAGCCAGGCACGTTCAAAGGGACTGACGTGAGCAGAAAGGAATAGCGATTAACCTTTTTACAATGCTCAGAGAGCGCCTTCAGGTCCCACAGCTCACCAATACTCATGCCGAACATGGACAAGAGCCACGGGTGCAGAACTAAGAATAGGTAGGTTAGAAAAGGACGTCGTTGAGCCACCCGAGCCCATTCTGGAGCAGACATACCAAGATCGCTCATGTCAGCAGGAGTGCCGTCTTCCTTCAGCGGGAGCAAGGCCTCGAACGCGATCGAGTCACCTGCGACAGCTGCAAAGTGTCTGTTCCACAGCCATTTGACGGTCTCGAGAGATCCGTGAACCCCCGAAAGTTGAAAGTTGCCGAGCTTTGCCAAGTCGGCGGGTTGTGGATTTCCCCAGATCTCGGTCAAGCCCGTACGGACGATCAGGACGTCGCCGTGTCGAAACTCGACGCCCTGGTCCTTTGCCACGTGCTCCATTTCTGCAACGGTGATGCGATGCCCATCCAGCGGGTGAAAAGTGGCTTCGGCTCCCGTCTTGCCTTCGGCAGCGGCCCTGGCTTCATACCATGCCTTGAAATCAATCAGAACACCACGGGCGACGACGCCTCCACGCCCATGCCAGTGATCCAGCGTTGGCATCGCGTTGGTGCTTGTGGTTTCCGCCGACAAACCTTCGTGGGTAACCTTGATGCCATTGTAGGCAAGCTTGGAATCTTGATGCTGCCAATGGACTAGGCTGTCCCATTGACTACTAGACTGGGAGCATTACATCATCAGCTCGGGCTCCAGTAAGGAAAATGCATGGGGACGTGGCATCAGACTCACTTGCGTGTTGAAGTGCAACTCATCGTCCCAGCCGGCCGACTTGGAGATGCCCCCCTCTTCCAGGGTCATCAACTTGTGCGTCGTTGGTATACGGCCGGGCGTGGGTATCTTGGAACTGTGTTGCGGCCAACTTTATGGGCTGTCAGCCAAACAATGATGGATGCAATTTGGTGTTTGGATCAAGACGGACTTGAGAGATATTGAAATCCCATCCCTAGCTTCCTTACACGCCGCTGCAACAACCGTGGGTGTGAGTAGATTGAGTGTTCCCAGCAAGTCCTTTCGTCCGTCTTGATCAAAAATACCCCATGCACAGCCCTGAGGCATTCCCTCCACATGTGGCAGGTTATCAAAGTCTGGAATATCACTTGAAGTCATCGTAACCAGTATCAAACTAATGAAACGTCAGTACTTTTTAGGAGTTGAATGCGCCGCTAGTAGGAAGTCCCCGTCTAAATAGGTGCAGCAAGGCCAAGTGATGGACGTTTCTTTTGGGACTGGCAGCCTGTCCTAAGATGTGATTTGATAGAAAATACTAGCCCTCTGTATTGGCTCTGCACCATCTGCTCCCGCTTCAAGTGTGGCACGGCAACTATACCATCTTGAGCTCCCGGACAAAGCAACCAATGGCAGTCTCCGCTCTGGTCTCTACTTTCTCCCTTGGCGGTGCTACTGCTGCATGACATCAACTTTCCAGGTCTAGGGTGAGTACATAATGTATAACTCGTTCGGATCTTCGCATTGCCGACACACACAACATCGGGCCCTAAGAGTTGTTTCGCTCGATAGTACAGAAACGCGCGGGATGCGCGCGCGAGCGCCTTGGCGGGTCCCAAGACTCAACCCGAAGACGAACACGGCCCAGTAGTGGCGCGTATTCGTGAACGAACAAGACGTTCGAGCTACCGGGTGAAGATCATGTACGTACTATATCTCAAGCCTCTATTGTAACCCACGCTGTACGCGAACTTTCCTGACTGGAGCATAGTGCCTATCCACGGTCGCATGTCTACTCCATGGCCTTGTCCTGAATGTTTATAGAATTGCGAACCCCGATTATATTGCCCGAGACCCCGCGATGCTGTTGGATAGGGGAGGTCTGTTCTTTAGGGGGTACTTTTGAATGCTCTTCTTTAGTCGTATCTAGGTGTATTGAAACATGTACAATGTATCCCCTCCTTCGGTCATATAAAGTAATGCTTCCTGTCTTTTACCAGTAAATTCTCGTCAATTGCCCAAGTGCCACATATAAACAATTTCGTGAGTTGTTGTTGCAGTCATGGCGACAACAAATGAAGCAGATGCGCAGTTTGCGCAACAAAAGTACGCAGAAGAGACAGCAAAGCGTACAAGAGCAGATGGAATGGCACAGTACCAACAACTGCAGAACAGTAGCGAGGACCGCCTCCGGAAACTGGCCGACGACCCTTGGGCGGACCATGATGCTCTTGACAAGCTGCCTCGGGTCATCAAGTCTGAAGACCGAGTCAAGTTCCTCATTGTCGGAGCGGGCATGGGCGGTATCGTCAACGCTGTGAAACTGATAAAGGCTGGCTTGCCAGCAGATCAGATTCGCATCGTTGAAAGTGCTGGAGGTATTGGAGGCACATGGTACTGGAATCGGTAAGTCAGCTCACTTGAAGGGTAATTCTCAGAGGTTAAGAGTTAATGTTTGTGTCAGATATCCTGGATTACACTGCGACATTGAATCTTATGTATACCTGCCATTGCTCGAGGATACTGGGTATATGCCTCGGCAAAAGTATGTCTCTGGCGCAGAAATTCGGTCATATCTTGTGAGCCTCGCCAAGAAATATGGCCTCGATGACAAGATCATGTATCGCGCTGAAGTGAACGGACTGCAATGGTCTGATGACCAACGGGCCTGGAGGGTCGACATGACAGTTGGCCACGGGCAGGGTGGTCAAGAAAAGAGCCACTTGTGGGCGAATGCAGAATTCATCTTTTTTGCTACTGGTCTATTCCCCATGCCTCAAGTTCCCAAATTTCCAGGTCTGAGCGGCTTCCAAGGGTCCATGTTCCATACAGCTCGCTGGGACTACGAGACCACTGGCGGTTCGAGTGAGGAACCGTTCCCGGCATTGGAGAAGCTCAAAGGCAAAAGAGTCGGCATTATTGGAACAGGTGCCACGGCGATCCAGGTAGTGCCGCAAGTTGCAAAATATGCAGCTGATTTGTATGTCTTCCAGCGGACGCCATCTCAGGTCAACACAAGAGATCAGAGGGACACAGACCCCGAGGAATGGAGAAGCAAGATTGCAGCAAAAAAGGGCTGGCAAGCATACAGAATGGACAATTTTGCCACACATTTGGCCAAGGGCGCGCCAGACGACCATGAAAACTTGGTGGGAGACGCGGTATGCAATTTCCCATCTTCTGTCCTCTATTTTCTGAGTTTTGTCAAAAGCATATATTTCCCTATATGTTGCTATTGTGCAGCAGCCTTTTGGCAAAAATGCCCCCAAAAAAGCTGCTTACATTTCTGGATCTCCCGGGGGAATAAAAAAGACTACTTGCTAACAAATGTTTGAAGTGGACCAATTTGAAGACGTACTGCACCATGATTGGTGGCGACCACTTTGAAACCATCACACCAGACAAAGTCCCTGAGCACATCGGCCGCCTCCTCGCCATTGACGCAGAGCAAACCGCCAATGTCCGGGCAAGGGTTGCCCGTGTGGTCAAGGACCAAGATACGGCCAAAAAGTTGACCCCATGGTATCCTACGTGGTGTAAAAGACCAACCTTTAGCGACTTATACCTCGAAACGTTCAACCAGGAAAATGTTCATCTCATTGACACGGACGGCAAGGGTGTCGAGAGTGTCACTGCTGGCGGCGTTCTAGCAAATGGCCAGGAGTACTCTGTGGATGTGCTTATTCTGAGCACCGGGTACCGTTCTCCAGCAGCAGGCGCTGGAGACCCATCAGCTCGCGCCGGGATCACAATCGTGGGACGAAATGGTCGCAGCTTCACCGAGAAGTGGGCATCTGTTGGTGCGTCAACTTTGCACGGATATGCCTCCAATGGTTTCCCGAATTTCTTTTGGTTTGGCCCGCATCAGACGGGAGGGACAGCCAACTTTGCCCACAATATCGACCTCATGACCACGCATATAGCGTATATTGTAGGCCAGGCACATGAGCGTGTGCGAGGTACCGACCAGGATCGAGTGGTCGTCGAGGTGTCACAAGAGGCGGAGGAAGCCTGGAGCATGCGTATGGCTCAAAGCGCTGCTGCTTTTGCGGGAAATGGCGTATGTGGGCCTAGTTATCTGAACGGTGAAGGCGAGGCCCTCAGAGTGCAGGATCCAGTGAGTATGCTTAAAAAGGCCCGAGGGAGCATTTGGCCTACTGGCATTGTTGGGTTTGCTCATGAGTTGGAAGCCTGGAGGGCCGAAGGAAAGCTACAAGGCATTGATGTCAGTGTCTTGTGAGAGTATCGTAGTTCTCTGGTCGGATATCCCGCCAGTCCTGGGAATGATAAACGGTAGTTTAATGCCATTGTCGAAAGAAATACAAATGGCCTGTCGTGGCCTCTTCACTTTCGTCGAAAGTGTTTGACATCTTCGCCCTGGGCTGAGCTGACCATTAACTCCTGGAATCGACGCTCCTGTGTCTCTGGCCGCTTCGCAGTCATGATCCAGTGGAAGACTTGGCGCCTGTAACCCGGGGTTCGTTGTGCGAGATAGAAATTTGCGGGTCCCGCAATCCTTAGCCGCTCAATGAAATCGTCGCGAAGGACGACATCGCGCTCGTGGCTCATCTGGGCCGTGTTTTCCTCGAGGCGCCTCGCAAAAGCGATCCGGCCAGGCTCGCGAACGCGTCCGGCAGCCTCCAGCAAGGCCATCTTGTCGACGTTGACGCGACTCCAATGGCTGTACTTGGTCCTGGGGGTGAATCGCTGCGCCATGCGGTCATCATCCACCTTGCGTTTCATTCCATCGATCCAGCCCCAGCACAAAGCCTCGTCAACGGCATCTGACCACGTCAAGACTGCTCGGCCCGTGTGTTTCTTATAGTAGCCCACAAAGAGCTCCGGCTTTGAGTTGTGGTTGTAAGCTAGCCAGTGGCCAAGGGCTTGCGGAGAATCGAAGTAAATGGGCTGCGACCAGCTCGATCCGTCGATTATGGGCTTGGGTATCTTTGACGGTCGACCACTTCGTTTACCGATTGCTGTCGATTCGGATGAAATGGCTCGTCGGACCTGGGCAGCTGAAAAGCCGGTTCGCTGCTGGATCTCTTCCTTGGATTTCCCGCCCTCGAGGTACAGGATGCGGACATGCCTGCGGTCTTCTTCCGTCAGGTGCTTGGTATGTATGCCAGGCTGGCGACCCCTTGATCGAGTCATGGTTGGCGTCGCGGAGGAGGGTAGTGAGCTCATCAAGATAATTGGTATCGATTCAACAGCTGCGTGCAGAGTGTCTGGTGGTTGTTTGTCTGTGCTAAGTCGCGTAGTAGTGCTGTTCAGCAGGGGTGCTAAAACCTTTCATGTTGGTCAAATTGCCCTGCCACTCGCATTTACAAGTCGGTTGGTACGGGAATGCACTAAAAGTCAGGTGAGCAAGTGCCAAGTTGGTACCCCGCCAAATGCGGCTCGGGCTTTGTCCGGGGGCAGAAACATTGGAAACCTTCCAAGATCCATGGGTCCTTCTAGAGTCTCTTGATCTTCACCTAGCAGTTACCTACCTTGGTAATGACGACGACGACGACTAGTAGCGAACCCATATCAGAGAAAGCCCTGATGTATTGTCGTTGCGCCTTGTAATGTTGTTCATAGATGAGTTGCGAACCGAGTTTTGACAACCATTGACTTCAAAAGCTCAAATGCGTTACAGGATACGGAATACCATGACTCCTACTTCGTATTCTGTAAACTCAGCGTGTGTCTGTGCCGCCTGTAAGAGAGAGGTAGTGCAACGAACGACCCATATCCTAAAGTGACCAGCCCAACTTGCTGCATTGTGTGCTCTCATGACAGACAATTTCACAATACCTTCCAACATCTTTTGAATAAAAATAAACGTCGTTATGCCCCACCCGATTTCTCTCAATATTGCCCATATTCGGTATCTGGAGTTCAACTCCACCATCTGATATCTCGCATAGACTTGCCAGGAAGGCCAATAGCTTCCACCGATACTCGGCTTAGCTGCAGTCAGCGGGGCAGGCAAGTCGGCCTTCAACCCCACACGATGTAGGAAATCATAGCAGCTATCACGCATCCGAATCCTGCAATACCCATGGAATACTGACGGACATGGATACGTAGATACACTAGATACCTTATCTATTGGGCCTCTGTTATCTCAAAGGTGATACAAGATTGTGTTTCTATCGCTCATGTGGCAACTTAATGTGAGACTATTCCCTTCCTCCTCTTACATCTGCCGGGCGTCTTACTCGGCCTTTTCTGATTTTCCCTCCGTCAATTTCAAAATTAGAGTTGCTTGTCATCAAACCATTCACATACCTCGAGGATTTCGAAATCAGCCTAGATAGCTGAGAAAAATCTACAATGGTCGCTTCCAGACATCCTTTAACCTCGTTGTCCGAGGATGAGATTACCCTCTCGGCAAAGATTGTACGCGGCTCTCACGATGCCGGCACAAAGCTCCTGTTCAAGGGTATCACCTTGCACGAGCCGTCGAGAAAGGAGATGCAGCAGTATCGCAGCCAAGGGCAAGGCGGCAGCTACTCCCCTCCTCGCAAAGCGTGGGTGAACTATTACCTGACCGGAACGACATCCTTTTTTGAGGTCATCATCAACTTGGAGGCCGGCAAGATCGAGAGCAGTGCCGAAGTCCCTGCACATTTCCATGGTCCGGCTGACGAATCCGAGATCATCATGGTCGAAAAAGTCGCCCTCGAAGATCCGGGTGTCAAGGCCGAGATTGAGAAACTTCAAGTCCCTGAAGGAACCGTGATTGTCTGCGATCCGTGGATCTGGTAAATATGATCCAGCGTTGCACCAAACTGCTTTACAAGTACTAATTACGGCCAGGGGCGCCGATGGTGTTGCCGATGATGCTCGACAATATCAGTGCTACATGTATATGCGTGACCCAAACAACTCCAAGGAAGTCGACAGCAATCACTATGCCTTCCCCCTGAGTTTCTCACCTGTAAGTACTTTACATCCAGCCTGATACTTTTAAGTCAATATATGACCTATTTTGTCTTGAATGACGGACTGTGCCAGTATACGCATGAGAATACTGCGTCTGTTATCGGAGCAACTGACTGATCTGTCTAGGTTGTCGATGCTACCACCATGCAAGTGACCAAAATAGATTACCTCCCAACCGGCGCAGGCCTTGAGACAAAGTCTACAGGACCCTGGCGACCGACTGCCGCCAATGAGTACATTCCGGAGCTCAACGAGCAGAGGACCGATCTAAAGCCACTTAGAGTTGTTCAGCCCGAGGGTGCTTCTTTCACGCTCGAAGGAGACACCATCAAGTGGCAAAAGTGGGAGATGCGCACGAGCTTCAACTTCCGCGAGGGCATGGTTCTCCACGAGGTATCATACGACGGCCGGCCGCTGTTCTACCGAGTGTCGCTGAGCGACATGACGATTCCGTACGCCGACCCCCGCGCCCCTTTTCACAAGAAGCAGGCCTTTGATCTGGGCGATGTCGGTGCCGGCATCATGGCCAATGATCTCAAGCTTGGCTGTGACTGTCTCGGCGCCATTGCCTACAAGGACGGCCTCGTGGCTGACCACAATGGCTGCCCCGTGGTGAAACCCAATGCCATGTGTATTCACGAACAGGATGCTGGCATCTTGTGGAAGCACACAAACTACCGAAGCGGCCGTCCCGTTGTCGTGCGCCGCCGTGAGCTCGTCATCCAAAGCATCATCACCGTGGCCAACTATGAATACATCTTGGCCTACATTTTTGATCAAGCCGGCGAGATGTCCTACGAGGTCCGCGCCTCGGGCATTCTATCGACCCAGCCCATTGACGCCGGCGTCGACGTGCCCTACGGAACCGTGGTGCACGAAGGCGTATTGGGAGCCTACCACCAGCACATTCTGTCCCTCCGCGTCGATCCCGAGCTCGACGGCGACAGGGGCAACAGCCTGGTCTACGAAGAGACCAGCGCCCTGCCGCGCCATGCTGACAACAACCCCCACGGGAACGGCTACGTGTGCAAGCGTACTACTCTGGAGAAATCGGGTGGTTACGACCTCGAGTCCAAGAAGAATCGGGTCTTTATGATTGAGAACCCTAATAAGCAGAACCCCGTCAATGGAAAGAACGTCGCTTACAAGATGCACATTCCTCCCGTGCAGCCACTACTTGCCGAGGAAAACTCATTCCACTACAAGAGAGCCGAGTGAGTATTCGTAACAGACTTTGGTCGATGATGAAAGTGGTCTTGCTTGTAATATAGTAGCGCTGACTCATCATAATAGCTTTGCCGATCACTCGGTCTATGTCACCAAGTACCAAGAAGGCGAGCTATTCGCGGGTGGACAGTACACGAACCAGAATAAGCACACATCTGGAGTGCGAAAATGGGCGGCGCGCAATGATGATATCGCAAATGAAGACATTGTCGTTTGGGTCCAGTTTGGCCTTCAACACGTGCCGAGGATTGAGGATTTCCCAGTCATGTAAGCCTTTTCCCCCCCCTTCTCCCAGACAACCAAGTCCCACTCGTGTATACTGACAGCGATAACAGGCCAGCCGAGATTGTCAAGGTTTCTTTCAAGCCGGCCAACTTCTTTACGCGCAACCCTGCCATTGATGTCCCTCAATCCACGTGAGTAAAGGAACGACCCAGGTTATATTGCCAAATCACTAATGCTCCAACAGTCAGGAATTCAACAAGTCCGTCCTTCTCAACGGCCACCAAAATGGGACCAAGGAAGTGAATGGCAATGGAGAGTGCACCTCTTGTCAGTAAATTCTTTTATGCGATGACCAAGAATTCTTCACAATGAAATGATTTGAGAGCTCAGCGACGATACGGTCATGGATTTAAATTGATGCGTCATTTCACATGATGAGATTCTGGGGTAGACAATGATAAAGATTTGCCATCCAGTTTTGCCGGGTCTTTGTGACCATTCCACCAAGTTGCTCCTCATTTCAGATGATGAAATCGTCAATGTGTAGCTCGTTCTCTCAGGAACGGTTAACAAGGTTCTTGTAAAAGAGGGCCTGAATGTTGTGTCCTGATGCCCTCTGATCCACCTCGTTCAGACCGAATGATTCCGACGCGCGAGGGAAATTCTTCTAGGCCCTTTACCTGGCCAGACCGCCGAGTCCAATACCGCCCAGAAGACCACTAAGAACATCCTTGGCCCCCTTGCCGTCGCCGGTATTTAGTTGATCTTGAAGCTGCTCCAGGCCGGGCTGCGCATCCTTGCCGACCTCCTCGATCACGCCAGCGAGTGGTAGGCTGTCCAGAGACTGAGGTGCCGCAGCAACAGTGGCGACAAGAAGGGCGAGCATTGAAAGAAACTTCATCTTGTCGAAAGGAAGAAGAAGAAGAAGAAGAAGAAGAAGAAGAAAGAATTGTGGTATCGTAATAGAAGGTATAAAAAATAAGGAGAATGACTGATAGTTGCGCCGCCGAGGGAGTTGCTGCCGTGAGATGCCGAGAGATGCTGCGAAAATCCGATTGCCGCCAATGGCCTGGCATCGTTGCATCTTTTATAGGTATCAGCCGACCATATAATCCTCCCTTGAGCACTATAGTGGTAAATAGAGTGGTCGCCGAAAGGCATGTCTACCTCGAGGACCGACACCTTACCATTTCATGTGGGTGATCGGCAATAGACATGGTCGCAGGCGGAATGGACCATGTTGATCTCAACTCGCAAAAGGTCTTCGGCCCCAGTGCCGGGAATGAGGATGCCATAAGTCGCAGACATGCCAATGTCGCATACATTGTCGCCGCCATCCCTTTTCCCTTTGCATCGTCGCACATGAAAATTTCGCGACCAAAAAGAACAATAATTCTTATGCGACTCGCGCACAGATGGCAAAGAATTGCCCGAATGATGTATTTAGCCCCCAAATGCCCGCCAAACAAGATCCCTATCCCTTGATCACTACAGGCTTGGGCGCGCCAATCTGCGCCGTGGTAATCTTGGGGCCAGCCTTTGCCGAGGGCTTGTAGACGGGAATCTTGTCGCGGCGCTCCATCTCCTTGCGCTTCTCCCTGAGGGCCTTGAGCACGTCGTCGTTGCCGGGGCTGCCATACTTGCACTCCCAGACGATCCACGAGATGCCGACAAAGATGACGGGGCAGATGATGAAAATGGCGAGCCAGAACGGCAGGCTCTTGCCCGACGGCGGCCAGGCGAACTGCTCGCCCCAGTTTATGCTCGTCGCCGTGGCCGTGGATGCGGCTGTCGTCGTTGTCGCTCGCAGTGCTAGAGTTGCTGTGCGCTCGAGCAGCGAAGTTGCGCTAGTCGCTGGAGCCATGGTATTGTTTATTGTATTTGTATATAGGTATATTCCAGGTGTGTAATGAGCGGGTATTTCTTATCGAAAGAAAGCAAGGTAGTTTAATCAAGGTCAAACCAATAAGAACCAAACGAACCAGCGAAATGAGGGACTGAATAAATGAGTGAATCGAAAAAACGCAGTAAGCAAATAGAGCAACACAATGTCGTCGCAAAAGCGAAGAAGGAAAAAAGAGAAAGGGTATTGTTGGTAGGTAGAGTAGCAGGTATCTAGATGTTCTTGCTCTCTCTGTATTACCTAGTACCTTAGTATTACGCGCGGCTTTTAGTGTGTGTAAGTGGTTCTTGGAGTGCCAATTCGTATGTCTGATACAATCAATTGAATTAAGGGTCGACGCTTGAAATGTCGCTTGACCTTCCACTTTTGGGGTTTCAGGACAGGGGACGGCATTGTAATATGGGGGTGGCTGTGGCTGATGACGGACTTGTATCATCTTCCAAAAATCATCTTCATCTTCTAAAACAATGCCAAAAAAGAATCATGGCGCAGCTGTAACAAAGAGGGTTGGTTCAATACAATAAAGAACTCATTTGATGCTGCTTGTTCTAAAATGTTGGCGCCGCAGAAATCCGATTATGATTATCAGTGGAGGCTGGCCAGTTATTGAAATGGTGGCTTTTGTCGATCGGGTTCGCGTGAAACAAAGAGCCATGTGCGCTACCTGGTCAGTTCGTCACAACTCCAAATCGATGAACATAATCACCAGCATGGATTGGAAAGAGAATTCCCAGTTGCAAGGTATCAAAAAAGGTGGTGATCATTATTAACATTAATATTGGATGCCAACGCGACTTTCAGGCCGGACCCAACTGCATCCCCTTCCTTATAGTCAGTCACACCAGCGACAGACAACAAAGTTAGGCTAGTGTGCACCTAGTACTGGAAGCGGAAGTCGAGACGCTTGTTTCCATCCTTCTCGCGAGCTTCTTGGTCGTTCTGGTAAGCGGCTCTCTCCTCGAGTGACATCTGGCCCCAGACCTTCTCCTTCTGCTTGTTCAAGTAAATCAAATACTGTCGCTGGGCCAAGAAGGTGAGCAAGCTGAGCGCGCAAATGGAGACGCACACCTTGTTGCCCGTCTTGTAGTATGGCGCATCCCACTTGCGGTAAATCTGGTTACCGACCACGGATCCAATCTGCACAATGACATTGTACGTCGCCGCAGTGATGGCTCTCTTCTTGACGTCAAAAGAGTTCTCCGACAGCCACGAGGCGACCAGAGGGTGGAAGTACGGGTAGCCAGACGCCAGCGTGATGAGCGAGAAACGAGCCCAGTCGCGGCCGCCGTCGGGAATCGTGAGCAGGGCCGTGAGAATGGGCAGCAGCCAGAACTCGCCGATGAAGCAGTGGAAGGCTCGCTCGTTGAAGTGGTTGCTGCTCCAGGCCAACGCCAGCATGGTGATGATCTGGAGACCGGCAGATGGGGCAGTAAGCATGTTGGAGGCAAACGTCGAGAATCCGATGCGCTTGAGGGTCAGGGTGAGATACGCCTGAACAGGAGTCGCTGGGATATAGGCGATGAGACCGATAAAGTAGAGACCCCACATGGACTTGTCCGACCAAGCAGCCTTGATGTCCTTCCAGGTAGCGGGTTCCTTGACGGCTGTCAGTCCCTTGGCGGGATCGTCTCGCAAAACACGCTGTATAAATTAGCTTTGATTCTGTCACGGCCAAAGAAGGACCAAACTCACGTTGATCATGATGATTTCCTCCTTTTCAGTGTACCAGGGACGCGGGCATAAAACAGACGTTGTCTGAGTGGGCGAGAGAGGGAGATAGAGGATTGACGTAATACCCAGGACCACGGTAAGAAGGCCCTCGAGCAAAAAGAGCCAGAACCAGCCTGGTCTGCCACTAATGCCTCGCATCTCCAGAATACCGGCAGCCAGGAGAGCCGAGATGACACGCGCAATGTTGAGGGTCGACCAGAAAGCAGCCAAGCGAGTCGAGAGCTCCCTACTGGTGTAAAAGTAGGTGGCCATGAGAATGGCACCGGGGATGAATCCACCCTCGCAAAGACCAATCAGGGCGCGAGTGACGTAGAAACCTGCGCGGTTCACAATGAAGCACTGAGCCCATGAGACCATGCCCCAAGCAATCATCATCGACGGCAGGATGAACTTGAAACCGTATCGCTTCGTCAAAAACTGCACTGGGAATTCTGCGCCCAGGAAGCACATGAGCTGGATTGTGTTTCCCTGTCGAATTGTGTTAGTTTGAAACTCTTGACAGCTGATCAATGTTGCCGTCATGTTGAACTTGACATGTACTTACATTGTTGTAGTCGTCGGACGTGATGTTCAAATCGTCCAAAAAGTTATCAGCCAACGCATTGGACAGGTTTCCTCGATCCAATTGAAGTCCAAAGAACTATGATATACTGTGAGCAGGGCAGAGCTCAGGTCCCTAGACGAGTTCAAGACTACTCACCATAATACATAGCCAGCCGAGGAGTCTTATGTCGGTCTTGCGGACAACTCTCTTCTCCTCGGCGGCGGACCACGTGGCGTACGGGTCGAACCGATGTCCACCTTCGTAGCTCTCATGAGGCCGAATGGCATGGTGAATGTTCTCACGACCGACCTCGACGGCGCCCTTGTCCGGCTCGGCGTGGAACTCGGCAGCCAATTTGGAGCCTCTCTCGATATCGTCGGAGCCCATGATGTCAGCTTTGGGAATTGCTAAACAGGATGGTAGCAGTGAGGGCGTCCAGTGTATCCTCGAATGGCTCCTTGGGTGATCTGCACGACCGCGCTGTCAGGTCGAACGAGCTGGGACGATGGAAAGCTGATCAGTCGGAAGTGGCAGGTAGCAATTCATTCGATGAACTTATATTATACGGTCCAAGGCGTCAGCAAAGTCCAGGCCCAGAAATTAGACTATTTTCATAGCGGGCCACGCGTTTGGGACAACTGTGATTCGTTGTGCTATTTTTCTATTAGACCATACATCCCTGGGCTTGCCTGACGGAAAAGATATAACGACATACAAGGACACCGCCGAGAATTTGTCCAGGAACACACTTGCAGTAAGCCACCATGTGAAGGCCAATACCAATTCGGACACAAGTCGAGAACTCAGCTGTCACGACCGAGGCGACATGATGGTATGGTACATGCCGTGGTAGCGTATCCGACTCTCGAGCCGACGCGAACACCTCGAACTGGAACTCCATCTCCGCTAGCGCTATAGACGACTAGGTTGGTGATTCGCCATATGCGGCAGGCTACTAGGTGGCTAGTCGGCCACGTTCCCGGAATGCGGGGTTGACTGGAGAAATTCTCGGAGAGTCGAGCGGTTGCACCATTGCGGATACTGATGTCGTCTTCCGAATCGGGCGCTGGGCACTGCGAGGTAGGAACCTGAGAATTCAGATATTAAGCTCATTGCCCTGGGGGGTCGTTGAGGCGCCACTCCCATGCCATCATATCGATAATCCTGGGTTCGGTGAACGGACAACGACTGGCTTACCGAAAGAGAGTTACTATCAATCACGCAATCTTAGCGCTTGATTCGCAATCCTATCCCAGCTTCACTCTGATACTGTCCTGGTGTGCATTATTTACACATAGCCATCAGATCATACAATTGTGCATAGGATATCCCCCATTCGAGATACGCCGCCCCCAAATCCAAAGATGCCTTCCCTCAGCACAGACGCAGCCCTAGACTTTCACATCGTGGGAGGTCATGCAGAATCCCGCACTCGGTTGAGCCAGCCGTTGGTCTATTCCGGTACTCTGGATGGCTTCCAGCAAAATGATATTACGCCCGTGATTGGTCGCGAGTACTTTGGCCTGCAGGTTCGCGATCTGCTTGCATGGGATGATCAGCACATCAAGGATCTTGCCGTGACGAGTGAGTATACCATGCTCGAAACTTTTGGATTGTACTCCAAAAGTCAATTTTGGACAAAGCCAACTAAAAACTAATACCTCTTATCGTTTTATAGTCTCTTCAAGAGGTGTCGTCTTTCTGCGTGACCAGGATGTAACACCCATCGAGATGAAGGATTTCATGATCCGACTGTCTACCCTGGCCGGATCCCCGTCGTCCTCCGGCCTGCACATCCACCCCCTGACCGAAGAGGGTAGTGAGCTAGGTGACCAGATCTCTGTCATCTCAAGCGAAAAGCAAAAGAAGGGAGGCGGTCTTACACACGTCCTGAGCGATGTCAGCCGCTTTGCATCAACTGGATGGCACAGCGACATTACCTTTGAAAAGGTCCCGTCCGACTATGCCATGCTCAAGATCCACACACTGCCCAAGACAGGTGGTGACACGGTATGTGCAGACTATTTCACACTGGAAGTGTTAAACATGGTTGCTGACTTGTCCCTTCATTTGTAGCTCTGGGCATCTGGTTACGAAATTTACGACCGCCTCTCAGAGCCAATGAAGAAGTTTTTGGAAGGCCTTACCGCTACACACGATGCCAACTTCTTCCACGACGAGGCCGAGAGACTTGGTAACCCTCTGCGAAAGGGCATTCGTGGCTCGCCTCTGAACGAAGGCAGCGACCTCAAGGCCGTGCATCCCATCATCAGAACCAACCCCGTCACGGGATGGAAGAGTGTATTCGTCAACAAGGGCTTCACCAAGCGAATCAATGGTGTGACCAAGGACGAGTCAGATGTGCTACTTGCCTATCTCTTGAACCTCGTCACACAGAACCACGATGCTCAAGTGCGCTTCAAGTGGAATAAGAACGACCTGGCTATCTGGGACAACAGGGCAACCTTTCACTGCGCAACATATGACTATGAAGCAGCTCGAGCTGGAGACCGAGTGTGCAGTCTGGGTGAAGCACCATATCTTGACCTTGAGAGCATGAGCCGCAGGACCGCGCTCAATGAGTAAAATGAAGCATGATGTTGATGTATAAATCTAGCGAAATTTGAACTTTTTCTTCTTTCTTTCATCTCCAAGAAATTTAGCAGTGCATTGCTGAAACTTGAAAGGTCGCGATCGCTCCCTGTTCAAATCGTTAGCACTAACCTTAACATACATCAAGCTTTGATCAAATCAGATCATACTTCCTAAACCGTTCACACTGATAGGTGCCGACCCCGCTCACCTGCACTGCCGCATATCCAGTGAGCCACAAGGAGAATATGCAACCGACACACTGCAGATAGTGGATAGCTTGTAGGGGAATCAATGGGCTCCATTGGAGGTTGTTACTTTTGTGGTAGGACGTCGCATCATGAAATCCGACTGGATGTGGTTTCTTCTCCGTCGAATTCTCGGCCGTGGTTTGGTAGACGGTGGTCCGGTGGGGGGTTTTCTCAAATGGCCGAAGAGTCCCTCTTCTGCGAATTTGACGGCAGCGTAAAGCAGTTTCATCAATCAAACACTTCACAAAAGTGTATGTTGCATCTCTTACAAAGGAAAATTGATCGATCATGACTGCAGGGGAGAAGCTTCGCGTGACAGTGGTTGGGGCGGGTATTGCGGGCCTATGCGCTGCAATTGCGCTTCGTCGCGCAGGCCACATCGTCCACGTATACGAGCGATCGGGGCTCAACAATGAAGTTGGAGCGGCGATCCATATCCCACCAAATGCAACTCGGGCACTGCTGGCCTGGGGCCTCGATCCTGTGCGCGCAAAGCTGGTCACAGTCAAGTCGAGTTTCCGGGCAAAGGCAGATACACTGGAGAGATTCCATGTGGGCACATCAGAAGCGTCAATCACCGAGACGTATGGCGGGCCATGGTTCTTTGCTCATAGGGTAGATCTCCACGATGAGCTAAAGACATTGGCGACTGGTAGCGATGGAGAAGGTGTTCCAGCAGTGATCCACGTAAGGTCCGAAGTCACGAAATATGTGAGATCTTCCCCCCAAGAGCTGCGTTATGCATCGACACAAGAACGACTCATTCGCCATGTCTAGGATCCTGATACGCCATCCATTACTTTGATCGACGGTTCTGTAATTGTTTCGGATGTAGTTGTTGGGGCCGATGGCATCCACACGACAGCTGTTGAAGCTGTGCTCGGAAGAGTCAACGAACCTGTCCCGTCCAAAGATCTGTACAACTTTTGTTATCGGTTCCTGATTCCAACCACCGAGATCGAGAATGATCCCGAAACTCGTTTCTGGACCGAAGACGATGATGGTCGAATGAAGTTCTTTGTCGGTGATATGAAGCGTATAATTTCGTACCCATGCCGAAAGTAAGCGCAATATGCTCTATAACTCTCTCTTTGCGCGTGACTAAGGAATCGCAGCAACGAAATGCACAACTTTGTTGCGCTTTTCCACCAAGATGACTTTGGCATGATGAAGAAGGAAGGTTAGTTCATATAGCCACCATTCCGTTTCTTGCTTCTCACATGCTTGGCTAGATTGGCAGGCCTCTGTTGACAAGTCTCAACTTTTGGCAACATTCACCGGTCTTCATCCCAAGCTCCGGGCTGTTATCGACAAGGCCACGGAGATCAAGCAATGGGCTCTCCTGTATCGAGAGCCAATTCCAACCTGGATCCGTGGTAAAATCGTCTTGGCTGGTGATGCCTGTCATCCAATGTTGCCTCGTAGGTCATTTTCAGTCGTGGAAAATTGGCCTCAGCTAAAAATTATCAGATCAAGGACAAGGCGGAGCACAGGGGATCGAGGATAGCGTAGCACTTGGCTTGGTTTTCTGTGGTGCCAGCAAGAAAGACATCCCGGACAGACTTGCGTTGTACGAGACCATCAGGCGAAATCGCGCCAGTCTGATCCAAGTCTTTAGTAATGCTGGACAAGATGAACCAGAGCTTATCCGTAAGGAAGCTTCCAAGTATATACCTCTGGAGCAGATACCCAGTATGTCTTTCCTACTCCGTCTTGCGCGCATGACTAACTTGACCGGACAGCCACCCCAGAGGGATTTTTCGACTATAATTTTGGATATGATGTGATCCAGGATACCGTCAACCACCGAAAGAGTGTCGATCCGTCCTTTGAGGTTCCAAAAGCATTCTTTCATAAAGTGCCGGGGAAAGGCGTTTATCCCAAACAGGCGCAACACTCGGACTCGCCAATGGAGTCTCGGGACTTGGCAGGGCCTGGTATTGGCAAAGCTGATCGGGCAGTTCCTCAGATCCAGATGGTAGAGGTGAACGACCTGGGGCGATAAACATGTCTGCGCCAAATTGTAATTCCGTGAGGGCTAACCACTCGACGAGTGCGATAGGGTAGAGGTCAGTTGTTCGGCATCGATTATTCATAACTGCCTGTTGATTTCAACGGGGGAGAACAGTTACTCGAGAACTTGGAACATGGTCGCAATTGAATACATTGGTCCATTGAGTGGCAAGCTGAGCGATCTTTGGGAAATGATTTGCATTTTGTCGGCGAAGATGGCTGTGTGACTGTGATAATCAAGGCTCTTTAGCCACTGCAGCGACAGCTGGGCAGGCACCATCGCCCAGCTGGCACCTAGACTTACATTCTCAGCACTAGTTGGGTAGGCGATATCCACCGCCGTCTAAGAGACTTAGCTCTAACTCCTACCTAACCTAGGTTAGTTAATTGCCTGATTCCTTAGCGCACCTCGTCAAGCTAGACACACCAAAGAAACATCCATGCAACCACAACTTCGTGATCGGTTTCCGCCTTCATGCCATGGAGACATCGAGTCCGTCCCTCGTTGAAAGTGGTGGTGTGCGGGTTGCCATTGAAGGATGCGTAAGCTTGGCCCCACTTTCCTTGCAATTCGCAGCACCTCGTCCGTGGACAGAACTCCATGATTTAGGGAGCAAATGTCCGGCTCGGTGCCCGTAGGAGAGATTTCCGTCACTCCAAGACTATCAAGTTGATAGCTATCACGACAGAGGTGCCTGCATCCATAATGCTCGACATCTTTTTGCTAACAAAGTTTCCGCTAGGGCCATGGCACTCTTCATGCCATCTACGCCACTGTGCAAAATGCGGCACGCGCCAGAGGTTGGACAGGTGTTGACCTCCTAATCATTGGTGGTGACTTCCAGGCCGTTCGCAATGCCGCTGATCTCACAGTCATGTCTGTACCTGTCAAGTACCGGGAACTCGGCGACTTTCCAGAGTACTACAGTGGACATGCAACTGCACCCATCCCTACCATCTTCATTGGCGGCAATCATGAGGCCAGCTCACACCTATGGGAGCTCTACTACGGCGGCTGGGTGGCACCAAACATCTACTACCTCGGCTTTGCCAACGTACTCCGCTTTGGACCTATTCGTATCGCTGGCATGAGCGGCATTTGGAAAGGTTTTGACTACAACAAGCCACACAATGAGAGACTGCCCTTCAACCAGGACGATATCAAAGGGTTCTACCATGTGCGAGAGATCGATGTACGGAAACTGCTCCTCCTGAGAGAGCAGGTAGATGTAGGACTGAGTCATGACTGGCCTAGAGCTGTCGAAAGACATGGCGATGAGAGGGCCCTGTGGCGGATGAAGCCGGATTTCAGGCAAGAAAGCCTCGACGGAACTCTAGGTAACCCGGCAGCAACATATGTCATGGATCGTTTGCGACCGGCGTATTGGTTCTCCGCCCATATGCACTGCAAATTCACGGCACTCAAAAAGTATGACGCACCAGCACCCGTGGCGCCTGTCCCAACACAAGAAGCAGTGCAAGGAGCTCCCGCGGCAACCGACCACGTCCCCACTCAGGCCATGGAACCAGCGAAGGAACAGGAGTTGTCCAAGGCCGACAACCCGGATGAGATTGATCTCGACATGGATGATGATGACGAGGGGCCCAGTACTTCGACGGAACCAGCCGTGGCTCCTACACCAGCGCCCGCACCAAATAGCAATGCCGTCTCGGACGAGCTGCGAGCACAACTTCCTGCTTCGTTCGCAAAACGACCAGAGCAGCCAAGAGGCACGCCGGGTCAACCTGTTCCCTCAACCATATTCAACACAGAGACACGCTTCCTGGCCTTGGACAAGTGCATGCCTGGGCGCAAGTGCGTCCAACTTGCATACATTAAACCAATCACCCACAGCGAAAGCAATAGCCCGGATCTTTGCTTACAATACGATCCCGAGTGGCTTGCCATCAACCGCGTCTTTCATCAGTATCTCAAGATCGGCGATCGTCACGCTAAGAATCCCACCAACGAGGGTGAGGCGGCATACAATGAAATTATCGACAAAGAGCGCGCGTGGGTAGACGAGAACATTGTAGCCAAGGGCAAGCTGGTAGTACCGCTGAATTTTGCCATAACGGCGCCGCCACACAAGCTTGGAGATCCCGAAAAAGTCCAGGAGCAGCCAGAAGAATACACCAGTCCACAGACAGCAGCTTACTGCGAGTTACTTGGCCTCGAAAACCTCTGGGACGCGACACCCGAGGAGAGGGCTGCTCGCAAGGCCCACGGTCCACCTCCGGAGGAACCCCGCCGAGACAATCGTGGTGGAGGGTTCCGAGGTGGAAGGGGAGGCAGAGGAGGCGGTCGAGGTGGTGGCGGCGGATTTGGTCGGGGACATGGTGGCGGTCGTGGTCGTGGTCGTGGCCGCGGAAGAGGCTGAGGCGCCGCTACCACAGGTGCTCTGCGACACTGACCAGCAACATAACCGCAATTGACACATGTTCCGGTACACTTTACAATTTTGGAAGAGCATTATCGGGCCCTGGTGATCTCTGACACACTGAACAAGTGGAGCATCTCAGGAATCCCTTTTTCATTGGTATGTGAAAACAGCTGTAGCAAGCTAAAGATGTGATAACCCGCATAGAGCTATGGCTACAAAGTAGAACAGGGCTCAAGCACGGAATGAAGCCATGGATTATACTACAGCATTGGGTTTGCTCAAGGCATGAGAAAGTGAAGGGGAAGAGCAACAAAATAATAATAATCACGAAGGTTAGAAAACATTATGGTTATTCAGACCAAAACATACAACACCGTGGATTCCCCAGCCGTCACCGATCTGAGTACTAATCCAGCAGCCCGGCTAAAATACCACCCCCAGTACGTCGCGCAAACAGCAAAACACAATGGACATATACCAGATTATAAAAGGCTCACACTGCTCCTCGAGCTCCCGGCCAACCTAATGAACTCTAACAACTAAATAACTAACTAAGATAAGCTGATAATTCATCCTAACGCATCTGCGCATTTTCACTATTTTATTTGCTGAAGATATTGTGGATTTATGGTGTTTGAAGGACATGTACCTTTTTGCGTGGCTTGAGGTATTTTAGCAGGAAGGGGGTGGTATTTTAGCCGGGCTGATTTTCTGGAGCATATTCGTGAGATCCTGTTCACTATCGCGTGTTTCTGGATGATCGGCGCCCAGTACTTTGACCCTTAGAGCGAGCGTCGTGCGATACATCACTTCAGCCTCTTGCCATTTATCCTGCGCGGCCAGCGACATCGCGATGTTTCTCAGGCTGACAATCGTGTCAGGATGGTCGGCACCTAACACCTTGGTTCTGAGCTCGTGCGTCCTACGATGTATCGCCTCGGCCTCCGCGTCCCGGCACTGACCGTTGAGCGAGCGTCCGACATTACTCATGGCCACTAGGGTGTCGGGGTGCTCAGGCGCAACCTTGACCCTCAGGTCCAGCGTCCGGCGGAGCATGGCTTCGGCCTCCAGCCACCTGCCTTGTGCGGCCAGTGACATGGCGACGTTGTTCATGCTGATGACAGTGTCGGGGTGCTCGGCGCCCAGCACCTTGGTGCTCAGCTCGAACTCCCTCTCGTGTATCTCCTGCGCCTCCTGGAAGCGGCCCTGCGCGGCCAGCGTACTGGCGAGGTCGTTCATGCTCACAAGCGTGTCTGGATGTTCGGCACCCAGCACCCTGGTCCTGAGCTCAAACGCCCGACGGAGCATTGCTTCAGCGTCTTTGTATCGGCCCTGCCTGCCCAGTATGAGCGCGAGGTTGTTCATGCTCCTGAGTGTCTCTGGATCATCGGCACCCAAGATCTTGGTCCTCATTTTAAGGGCCTCCTCTGATAGTGTTTGAGCCTCTGTGTATCGAGCTTCCTTGAATAGCACCTGTGCCAGGTTGCCCATGCTGACAAGTGTATCTAAATGCTCAGCGCCAAGTATCTCGGTCCTTAACTCCAGCGTCTTGCGATGCATTATGGTAGCCTCCGGGTATTGGCCCTGATGGTACAAAGCTTCTGCTATATCGTTGATAGTGGCCAGTGTATCCGGGTGACTGATGCCCTGTAGCTTCTTGCTGAGTTTGTATGCTTTGCGATGCATCGTCTCAGCTGCTGCATATTCGCCAAGGAGGGATGAGCTCTCTCCTACTTTGGATAGAAGATGGCTTTCCGTACTTTCATCTGTAGCCTCTGCACAGATCTCAAGCACAGCCTGCGCATGTGGGAGGTAGTCTATCCACACCTTCTTGTTCTCGTGCTTAGGATGAAGATAGATCTCATCGACCCGCTTCATCACCCTGGTACGCCACGCCACCTGCTCTCCATCTTTCGCCAACTGGTTCCTCATCGCTAGCTGGACCAGGCGGTGAATGTCGAACCGGCTGGCATCGATGCGTTCGTCGATAAAAGCGTATGATTTGAGCGTGCCAAGGGCGTCGTCTGTTTCTAGCTCGTCCTCGCCTGGAAGCAGCGATCTTGGGATATTCTTCATTGAAAGAAAGCTGATGAACCGGAGGTAGTCTGCTGCCAATGGTGTATCCCGCTTGATATGCTCAAAGGAGATCAGCCACGTGGTTGCAACCGGGTTCTGCGCCGCATCGTACCGGCTACGATCACCAAAGTCTTTGCTAAGGAGCTTGATTAGAGTCTCGTCGCTAGACTCGCAGTGTGCAAGATATCGAGTTGTCGACACACGAGTTTTGGCCATATAGGCAGACGCTTGCTTGACTGCCAGGGGAAGATCGGTGAGAAAGTCCAGTAGGGCATCTGTGCTTGTGGTATCCTGTACCTGGTTCTTGCCCAAGCCCTGGCTAAGAAGCTCACTTGATTCGGCTCTATACATGGCCCCCACGATCCAAAGATGTGGCCACTGGATATCGAGTTGCATGGCCACGTCGTGGTTCCGTGTTGTGATGAGAATCGAGCCATTCCGGTTAAAAGGGAGCTTCAGAATCCCTTGCTTTCCAAACAGCAGTTCCGGGTCATCAGCATTATCAACGATCCACAGCCACGGCCCTGCATCTTCTCGTGCCAGCTCAACGTGCACTAGTGCGCGTACGTCAGCGTCCTTATCGTCGAGCCCCTTTGCGCCGAGGACCTGGCCGATATCGTGGTAAGCCTTGTAGAAAGATGTGGAATCAATAGCCGGTACCCAGAAGACAGAGCAGTCCGGGTTGGCTACATGCATGCGATAAGCTGCCTCGAGCGCGATCTGGGTTTTACCAACGCCTCCGAGGCCCTCAAGGGCGGTTCGCTGGCAGTCGTGCGGGTGCGTATCAGGTGTGAGACGTTCTACAAGAGCATCTAGGATGGCGTTGCGGCCCACGAAGGTCTCATTGCGGCCGAATGGCACCATTAAGTGGCTTTGCTTTGAGCCTATAGTTTTTTAGCACATCCCTGTTGCTCGGAACTCATACTCTCAAGGAACTTCAGCTTACCAACAGAAGACTCCCTGAGATACTTCTTTGCATCCTTGACTAGGCGCACAATAGCGTCCTCGACAGCTTGATATCCAGGGTCCGAAGGGCCAGGAAATTGCTGGAGATTATAGTGATGCCGTTCCAGAGGATGCCTCTCTATTCCTTTCGAGATGTCCAAGCATGCTGATTCTTTTGGTACGAGGTAGCCCTGAAATATGAGTTCTAGCATATATGTATGATGCAAAATAGTTTCAGGGTCTGACTTACATCCTTCAAGTCATTATTCCGCAGCGTTTTGCTTATTGGACTTGGCTTAGTCTCGTAAAAGCACCACAGCGGTATAGGATGTTGCCCACGACGGGTTTCCGTGTATCGATCCACAATGTGTTGCAGGTATGGATTCGCCTCAACGGAGAGAGCCATAGTTTCTGGGTAGATCTCAAAATCCGGGTTATACTGTGCAACAGCCTTGACTATTTGGTCCAGCGAGAGACCGCGGCGTCCTCGGAATGGCGTTCCAAAGAATATGAGGCCAGCCGTACGTCGAAAGAAATTTGACCACTTGTTAGAATTCTCGAAGGAGCTCCGAAGAGCTTGCATAAGCACAAGGCCGCCATAGCTATGCGCAATGAATATGATCGGGCGGGTCGTATCCTAAATTCGTCTTAGTAATATATACTAAGTAGGCTTATGAAATCTTCCTACGCGACGATGGAGTTCCAACTGCTTGAGCAGCATTTCGGCTACGTCAGAAATGTATGTCTGTTTAGGCTGGTCCTTCGCTGTACCATACCAGCCAGACTCATAGCCAAAACGCATAATCCGAGCGTTAGGGACCGCCTTGGGAAGCATGCTGGAATGAGTGAGCCAGTTGATCTTTTCCTCGTCCAGACCTCTCCCAGTCCACGTGTTATCTGGGTCTGCTCCGATTCCATGGATTGCCACGATACTGTACAGTGTCAGAGGCTTGTGACTGGTCTGGGAACGCGCGTACATACTCGACTGCGTCTTCATCCTTATTGGAGTTGGTTGCAGCCTTCTCGATCGGGTCAAGCAATATTTTGATTCCAGAACTCATAGTTCAAATGCTGTCTCTGACGTGCTTACGGGAACAGAAGTTGATGATGGTGACTGGCGTTATAGGCTGCGTATATGGATAGCGGCACCCGTATATGTATGTTGACCTCAGTGATTATCCAGAGCTGTGGGGGCGATGAGATTGAAGGAGCTTGTGAAAAATGCAGCCACAATTCTCTGTAAAAGAGGCGGAGACTCGAGTAAAGAAATGAAAGGAAGAGAAGGAAAGAAAAGAAGAGAAGACAATATAGAAGAGTAGAGAATGCCACATTGGGCAGCCTTACATGCTTACTCGTGGATTTCCGGTTTTCTACCTAGGTACTTTCTCTTTCCCCGCCACAGGACTCTGCCGTAGGACCTCGAAGGATATCCACACAAAAACATCCCTTCAAGCGGCGCCGTGCAATTGATTTTCTCCAATCAATTATAAGATTGATATGTCGAACTGGTTTGTCGAAAGGCGATTCGTAGCCTTGTTTACATTCTTGGGGTGGGACAGGACCACTTGCTGCCCGGCTTGAGTCCGGAGATATGTGATGTACATTCTAGTCTCTCTAACTACTAGGTACGTAGATAGATAACTAAATAGGTTAGGCGCTTCGTACATAGTAGTATCGAGGCTATGGGCTGGTATCTGTACTTTAGCTTGCAGAAGGAACGCTGATCTTTACTGGAAACGGGAATCGAGTGAGGCCGTTACCTGCTCTGTACTGGACTACAGGATTGAGTTGCGTAGCAAGGAAATGCGAGACCTTGGGTGACACGACCCTATCACAGAACGGTTTTGGCTGGCGTCGTCATATTCGTGCTTAGGTGGCCCACAGATGCATGCAAAAGTGCTTATATTTGACTGGGGTAGTAGGTGCTCCCGGAAATCCACAAGGGTCTGTCTGACGTGCAGGCATATATGCCTCGCTTGGTTTTTTTTTTAAAAAAAAAAAAAAAAAAAAAAACTTAGCCCGGAATTTGGCTAACGAATAATACAATGAACAGAATTCATTATATTACAATGGGCTTAAAAATATAACCTTATTAATACGCTATTATTCCTTAATCAGTTACCCACTGCTCCAATAATTACCTAGCCATTAGTTGTCCACGATCTTGCGTTGGAACCTCATCAGAGGCCATATTCGTAATGCGTGTATATAAGTATCTACCCTTCCCCGTGCAGCCGTGGTGTGGCTGCCAGCGAAGTGTGCAGCCTATCAAAGCACCTTACTTGCGCCAACTCACCGGTTTGCAGCCCCTCCCCTCCCCTCTTTATCTGCGCCTTTGCTGCTTATGCTGAGGCTGACTGGCATCCAGGCGCACACCGGGAAGCCGAGCTTATAAGCGCGCCTTTTTCCCTAGTAAGAGAAGCCGCCTGCTTCATATACCCTATTGAAACTCCTTTCAGCGTAACTTAAACTAAAACTTATTAATTAATGTCAAAACGAGCGTGGCTGTCGACTTCTCTGGGCGAGACACCGGGGGTCTTCGGAGAGCTCAATGAGTGCCTTGTCTATCAATCGGAAAATCAGGTATGTATAAGGATACTGGGTTCATGATGTCGTGAGATTTCGACTGGACCTTGACGGTAAATAGGAATCGCCTCGATCTCCAGCGCAAATTACCACGCTGGGAACCGAACTTGATGTATTGGCCTTTCTGAAAGAGGTTAACACCGTGCGCCGCTCCGAGACTGAATAACACTACTCGCCTTATGCTAACAGTCGACCAAGACTCAGCCATCCATTTGTATACTGTGTGTATCTTGCGCATCCCCCGAATGCATCAGGTGGTTGCTAACTTCTTAGCGCATTTCCAAACCGTTCCCCGGAAAACAATGGAAGACTCCCACTGCCCATTTCCAAAAACCTATTTTACCAAACCATTCAGGTCTTCGATATTTCTGCAACATTCCTATCTGCGCTGAATACCGGCTTAGCAACATACAGTAGCATCACCCCCTCAAGGGGCGGAGAGAGTAGCAAGGAGGAACGCTTATGTGAGTGACAGCCCCATCATACAAAGGGGCGGGGGGCTACTCACCAATAGCCACAGATTTCGTTATCCAGCAAAACAGGGCGTATTCCGCATGCTCAATTGGGCTCACATACAGCGTCCAAAGCGGTCAGACTCGCGTCCTGCTGTTCGGCGTAGAACCATGGTTTGTATCGCAACTCTTTGAATACTTGGGAACCATGTCATCTCTTCCACGTGGGCCAATGGTGATACCTACAATGGCTATGGAGCTACAAGCTCAGTGGTTCAGTAAGACAATCAAGAGATGCCATGACGGTGTTCGTGCCATAGAATCAGCTACTGGAATGAGGCAGTTCAACCATCCGCATGAGAAACCGGACGGTGCTATCGAGGATTGGAAGGACCTCGACTTGATATCTATCACTCGCGAACTGAGCAGCTTCGTGAGCAGATTCGCTTTCATCAAATTACAGGCAGAAACAGGGGAGTATCTGCTGGAACAAATGGGTCGGACTACACTCTCACTCAAGCACGAGGCGCACGAGGCGCACGAAGATCAAAGTGCGTTCTACTACGACCAGCATGAGATGATCTACAAAATCGGAGAACATCAAAGCGTATACAGAGGGATAGCAGCGCGCTGCCGCTATCTAATAGAGCGAGCTACTGCACAGAGCCAAACTGTAACAAGCCCACACCATTCATTCAAGCCATATACTAACTAGATAGGTTTATTGTCTTATCGCCACAAAGGACAACATGACCAACATAAACATCGCTCAAGCGTCTCAACATATTGCGGAAGCAAGCCGGCAAGATAATATAGAGATGCGGGTACTTGCAGACCTCGGTCGCAAGGACAGCCAATTGATGATTCAGATTGCGAAAGACTCACGAAGTGTTGCAATTGCAACGGCACGAGACAGTGCAGCAATGCAAATGATCGCTGCTGTTACACTTCTGTTTCTCCCTGCTACTTTTATAGCGGTACGTTTGCAGCCGAATTAAGGCATATCCACTAACCGCCGTATAGACTTTCTTCTCGATGACGTTCTTTGATTTTCTGGACGCTGATTCACCACGTGTCTCACCCTGGACATGGCTGTATTTCTTAGTTACGGCTGCTTTAACAGCCGTGATTCAAGTGGCATGGGCAGTATTATCGGAAAGGAAGAGCGCAAGAATTGTACAAGGAATCTCTCAAGATCTTTAAGGTCGACCAAAGCGGCAATAGCATGGTAGCAAAATGCAGTTAAAGGACCACTACATTTATTAAAATGCTTTAAATCATATAAAAGGGAATAAAAAATATATTAGGAAAATTAATATTAATTATAATATAAGATTTTAATAATATATTATGCCTTTTTAATAAAGCGGAATTAAAATTTATGCTTAAAAGCCAAAATAAATATAACGGCGTATAACGCCGTTATTTAGCTATAATTAATTAAGCCCGGCCTTTTATAACGATTAAATTATAAATTTTTAAAATAAATTTAAAATATAAAATATCAAGGTTTATATTAATAAGTGTTTTAAGGTATAATTAATAGATTATAAACTTAAGCATAAGGAAGCGTTTATATTATGGTAGACCATTGTCAGGGCATGCTGCTACCACTGTACGATAATGGCCAAAGAGCATGCTCGCAATCGTTGGGAAACGATTACGAACTGGGACCTATATGCCTACGGGACTGGGACAGTATATGCTATAATAATTATCCCCTCTCCTAGGACCATCGTCCCCGATAGCCAAAGCATATCGCAGGTTAAAAGCCGATTGCGAATAGCCTCGAAGTGGTAGCTGTCTAGCTCAATTAACTCAACTCAAATGGGCTTCCCAGCTTGCTGTGGTGCAGCAGCACTATACGCGTGCATAGCGTAGCATGCCAATTGGCAATGGGATAATGTCCCGAAAAGCTGGCGAACGCCCCACGATGAGGGGAAGATTCCCCTATGGAGTGTATAGGCACTAAATGCGCATACCACTCCAACGGCCCGTGGCCTGTAAGGGTGTGGCAACCCTCCGAGGTTTATGACACTATATAACCTCACGGAGCTGGATCTCTTACCCGCGCATTTTTACGCATAGAGCTGGAGTTCTTCGAAACGCTGGCCACCCGCGGGCGGGTCGAATTTTGCATCGAACCGGAGCTTTGAAAGATGCGAGCATAATTGTCAGGGCATGCTGCTACCACTGTACGATAATGGCCAAAGAGCATGCTCGCAATCGTTGGGAAACGATCACGAACTGGGACCTATATGCCTACGGGACTGGGACAGTATATGCCATGACAACGGTTCCTAGCCATGCTGAAATGGATCGGCTGCCTCGCCGCCGTTGGCCCTCATTCCATCCCTCATTCGTGCACCAGCATCATTTGCATCCAAATGGACGCCCTCCAATGCGGATGGCAGTGGTAGGTGAAGCCCACCTCTCCTGGGCCCGACCACCGATCTCTAATTAATATTGAACTCATCTATAACACTCTTCACCTCGGCGAAACTCTGCTTAATACCCACGAATGGCATATCGAGTCCGAATCCTTTAAGCCCGCTTGGCTTTTTCAAAGCGGACAAGCAGGCAGCGCAATAATAGTTATCCGTAATTCGTAGCATAAATCCTAAAAGCTACTAGGCGCTACCATAAGCAATGACGGTCGACGCAACCGCCGTGCCGCAAGCCCCATTGGAGCAATCCTGCAGACCGTACCCGAAGTCGACGTTGCTGCACAGCACAGGGCCGAGTACTGCGCCAGCATGTTGTTGAAGCAGGTCGACCTGCACGTCGTCAGGGCCGCGAAACCCGTGGCGGTGTGCGTCGCCGTGGCCGTGGCAAAGGCGGTGGAGCAGCAGGCGCTGCCGAAGGAGATGGCCTGGCTGGCGGCGTTGGCGCAGTCACGGAGGCTATTGCTGAAGTCGGTGTTATTGCAGAGGCAATAGCTGTCACCGGCACTTGATAGCTTCGTATCAAGTGTTACGGCGGGTTGCCAGCCTGTGGCACGGTGAAGCCACGGTTCCTCCACTCGCGGTGCGCCTGCATAGCCGCTAAAAGACCGGCGCTCATGGGTACCGGGGGTCGAGCCCGGCCAGCACCGTGGCGATCCATCCACATGCCCCTCTCCTCGATGATATGGCGAGGTCCCTAGGTCACCATGTACCGCGTCCCAGACGGGAAGCCTCCCGTGCGGGCGACGGACTTGGCTCGGACAATGTCATCCCGCAAGCTCATGAGCCATGGGTGCACGGCTTTCCTCTCCAGCGTTAGTGGCGCATACGTACTAAACAGTCGAAATAAAATAAGGGGGCGCAACCCTCACCTTGCATATAATCCCGCAACGAGACAAACGTCCCGCCGTCGCCCGGCTTTACCTCGAGCTCGAGCCCCCTCCTGCGTAGTGGCCGGTCCTCCCCGCAGCACCGAATCTTGAACTCGGTATCCGAGTCGGCCTCCCAATTACCGTCTTCGTCGGCGTGCTCGGCAAACGGCCGGTCCTCGTCGCTAAGGTCGCCGTACGTAACGAACTCGGCGCTTTCGTGGTCCTGGTGCCTGTGATGGGCTTACTAAGTGCGTGCAGTTACGCAGTTATGGCTAAATATAGTCTATAAATTAGCTTAAATAAAAAAAAGCTATTTTTTATACGCAAATTTTATTATAATTTATTTAGGCACCGGATTAATTATATATCCGGTGCCGAAAATCGGGTATACCCGTAATATTACCCTTTTTCCGGGCTTTTCGGAAAATTAAACCTTAAATTTTTAAAAACTCCCTTTTTAATTACTAAATTATAATAGCCGCTTATACCCTAATTGCTTTATATAACGCTTTTTTTCCGTAATTCCTATTATAAAACCCGAAATTTTCCTAATTATAATGCGTTTTTTATTACGAATAAAAGATTTAAAACGTAAAATCTTTAATAATTATTAATAAACCGTTATTTTTTTAATATAAAAAAAAAACGCTATCCGGGTATATTTAAAATATTAAGGCTTTTATCGGGAGGTGCCTAATTAATTAACTCGATATTAAAAGGCGCGTAACCGGCCATTTTATATAGCCGGTATTTTTTTCGAATAAATAAAAAGATTCCTAATACCTTTTTCGAATAAAAATAAGAAAATATAAATAAATTAAAAATTTAATCCTAAATTCCGACGGAAAGCGAAAGCATTTTGCTAATTAGATTTTTAAGCTTTTTTTTTTTAGCTAGCCTTTTTTTTTTAAGCCTTTATTAATTACCTATTTTTAGCTGCTTTAATAATAGCTTTTTATTTTTTTTTTATTAAAGGCCTTATTTTAGCCTTTTTTTTTTATTTATTCCGTTACCTATACTAAATCGGGCTTTAAAATTATTTAAAGCTTATATATTATTAAATATAATTCGGGTTTATTAGGTAGGTTTTATATAATTTTATTATTTTATTAATAATTTTCGTTCGAATCCTTATTTTATAAAATACCGCTTTATATAAAGAATCCTTTTAATAACCTATTTTTTTTTATAAAAGTTTTTTATTAAATATTAAAAACGGCTATTAATTTTCGCTTTTTTATAACGGTAAAAGATTTTCGCTTATTTTTTATAATAAATTTACGTAAAATCGTAGCTAAATCCTGCTAAATACGTTTAGCTTAATTATTTATAAGCTAATAACTTTGCTAATTTTATATTTTATATTAATTTAGGATAGCTTTTTAAATATTTATAATATTTTTAGGTTTTTAAGCTTAAGCTATATTAAATTTTTAGCTTTAAATCGTTTTTATAGCTTTTTATTTTTATTCGCCGTATTTTTTATTTTTTATTATATAGCTATTATTATAGCTTAAACTAGGTCCCAGCCTTTTTTTTATCGGTTTACGAATTTTTTAGCTTGCTTTTTATTTATTTTTTATAAAAGCTCCTATAGCGGGAGTATTTATTTTATAAATTCGGCGTGGTATTTATAAGTTAAAAAAAAAAACTAGCGCCGATCGAGGTATTACGGTTATTAATAATAAGCATAATAAAAAAAAAATTCGGGCTAATTATATTAAGCGAGTCACGGCTAACAGCCTTATATTATACTAGCTAGCCTAACCCCTCCAATAGGTCCGTGCACCTAAATACTAATATTTATCTAATAATACCGTAGCTATTTATTTTATAAATTTCGTTTATAATTAAATTTATTTAATACCTTTTACGTTAATGCATCGCCCTTAATTCCGTAAATCGTAACAATTATAAACCTTTCATTTATCGGCCCGGATAAACCTTTTAATTATCCTAAAAATAAAAATAAAAAAAATCAAAATAAATACCGAATAAACCCCGATTCCCAATATATAACGCGCCGCAACACGATTTATAAACCCGCGCTCCGAATACCCCTATTAACGCGCTTAATAATAATACGCCTTAACGAAAAAGCGGGTAGCAATATTACGCCTTTACCTTTTAAAGCTATACGCTAAATCCGCTTTAATATAAATCGTTATAATAACAGCTTCCTTAATTCCCTATTTCCTAAAAAAAAAAAAGCTTCGTCGTCGCTCTTTTATTACGATATCTTTTTTGCCTATTATTAAAAAAAATAAATAAACTTAAACCCTAGGCGCCAAAGCCGATAATAATAAATTTACCGAAAACGGAATCCCGGAAATTATTACTAACGCTATTTTTACTAATTATATAAAAATATACGGTAAAAAAAAATTCGAGCGCTATAC